CCATCATGCATGCATTGGCGTGCTGCGCGATAAGGCTATGCTCTTTCATTGGACTGGGCGACCTCTGTATCTTTGCCTACGTCGAGGAAATGAGTAAATGAAGACGGACAAGCGAAATATGTCTGCCACAGCGCCAGAAGCAACCCGGACGCTCCTAAAAGCAGCCCTTGGCATTACGACACGCAAATTCCTTCCTCTACGAGAACACCCGCGTGTTGGGGCCGCTGCTCGGCAAAACGAGTGAAAATTTTTGTGGCGAGGCCGACAGTGTTCGCTGCTGCGTGTCAAGGCCTGGTTTCCTCCATATCCTGCCGCCGAAGTCGGGCAAGCATATGCCTGACAGGGGTTGCCGAGTGCTTCAGCAGGTCAAGCCGTTCTTGCTTCGCACCGGTGGATTCTCCAGCACGGGTCAGCTGGGACAATCTTGCTTCTGTTGATTGATACGAGTGCCAGAGCCAAGGCCGCCCGGCACGACTGGGCTTCTACCATGATATCAATCTGGTGGCCTGGGATCTGGGGAGAGACAGAAAGGACAACGGCATGCCTTTGATAACGGAGTCCTAACCACTCACAGCATCGGCATCAAGGGCTCGGCGTCTTGGTTTGGCCGCTGACCCCAGCCAAACATCATCATTGCTGGGCAGAGTGCTCGACCGACCCGGCTAGTGCACGCTTCAGCTTCCACCCCACAATATCTCGCCCAGCATGAATCGCAAAGTCAACAAGCTCATCAACCCACGCATCCAATTCTGTGACATGGTTCCACTGATCACCAGTCCCTTGCTCGATCGAGATGCGAGATTCGACGGCACTCACCTCTGCTGAACGCTGCTGACCATGACGCGCCTCCGACATTCGCCCAGATTCCTCACCTAATCCGTCCTATTGCTTTCTTGATCTCCGTGTTGTTTTCCTTATCCTCTGTATCTACGCGCTCATCGTCTTGGTATACAGCCACCGTCTAGGCACATCCCTTGTCGCCTGTGCTTGCCTGGAGTCATTTCCTATATTACATCTCCTAGACCTTCACCGAGAGTGCGTGGGCCGCCTGGCAGTTTCCGTGACACTCTCCGCACCGACTCTCCGGAAATACCGCATATATATCGGCAACAACCGTTCGGTGCAGTACATGTCCCACCTTGTGGCCTGAGCCGCTCCTACACTTAAAGAACGCCTATCCGGGATTTGACGCCCGAGTAAAAACTCGTCTCATCTCAACGCCTTCGCCATGTCTTCGGCAGGCCAAAGCAGTTATCTTCCCTCCTATGCGTCCTACAACTGGACCGGTGCTCCAGCGGATTACACCCTGGCCACAAATGTGAGAACAGGAGGAGATTCAAGTAGGTACCACAGCAGACAAAATGCACACCGCCGTCTGACCTTCCACAGGAACGGAGAACTTGAACAAGTGGTATCAGTCAGGCGATCAAGCATATATCATCCTTTCATCATGTCTTGTGTTGGTCATGGTGCCCGGTCTGGGCTTCTTATACTCTGGTCTCGCACGGAGAAAGTCGGCACTTTCGATGATGTGGGCGTGTATGGCCGCAGGCAGTGTCATCAACTTCCAGTGGTATTTCTGGGGCTATTCGCTCACCTTCTCACCCTCGGGCCAGAGCGGTTTCATTGGAGATCTCGTCCACTTCGGCCTAAAGAGGACGCTCGGCAATCCTAGTCCTGGTTCTCCCCTGATCCCCAGTTTGCTGTACTCGTTCTATCAGGTAGGCTGCGCTGTGTCTTCCGGTGGAGATGGGTCCAATGGGCTGACATTTGACAGATGCAATTCTGTTGTGTAACAGCTGCTATCATTGCGGGTGCGGTCGCCGAACGTGGGAGGCTGATGCCCTTCCTGGTGTGGACCTTTCTCTGGGCTACCCTCGTTTACAATCCCATTGCTTGCTGGGCTTGGAATGCCAATGGATGGGCTTTCAAATATGGAGTGATGGACTATGCTGGTGGCGGACCCGTCGAGATCGGCTCCGGTATGTCTGCTTTGGCTTATTCGATGGTCCTCGGAAAGCGACAAGAGAAGATGATGCTCAACTTCCGGCCGCACAACGTATCCTTCATCCTGCTGGGAACCGTCTTTCTGTGGTTCGGGTGGCTTGGCTTCAACGGCGGATCCTCGTTTGGAGCCAACCTGCGAGCGGTCATGGCATGCTGGAACTCCAACCTGACTGCTAGCTTTGCTGCGGCTTCGTGGGTCCTGCTAGATTTCAGACTGGCCCGGAAATGGTCCATGGTCGGCTGGTGTTCCGGCACCATTTCCGGACTGGTGGCAGCGACTCCTGCATCTGGCTATCTCGAGACTTGGGGAAGTGTTGCCTTGGGCATTGTCACGGGCATCAGCTGTAACTTTGCCACCAAGAGTGAGTCTAGCATCGTTGCCCTACAGCGACCATGCTAACAAATGTTTCCAGTCAAATACTGGATCAAAATCGACGACTCCATGGACGTGTTCGCCGAGCACGGTGTCGCGGGCATGATCGGCCTGATGTTCAACGCCCTCCTCGGCGTCGACTACGTCGTGGGACTGGACGGAGTCAACACTGGCGTCTCCAATCCCGAGACCGGTACCCCCATCGGAGGATGGCCCATTGGCAACTATCGCCAATTCTACATCCAGCTCGCCTATATCGTCGCATGTACAGGCTATGCGTTTGTCATGAGCGCCATCCTGGCTTACATTGTGAACTACATTCCCGGCCTCCACCTGCGTGCTTCGGAAGAAGCCGAACTACTCGGCATGGATGATGATCAATTGGGCGAGTTCGCATACGACTACGTCGAGGTAAGCTAGCTAGCTTCAATGGCGACCGGTCCCCAGACATCCATTGTCACTCGTTTGCTGACGCATGTGACTGCTGAACAGGTCCGTCGCGATTACCTTGCATGGACGCCCAACAATCCCGACCAGAACGGTGTGGACCCAGACATGCCGCACGAACACCGCTTCGGCATCGGCGAGCACACCGACATGATCAAGAAGGCCAGCAACAGCAACGGCGATACCGTCGGAAGCCCCAAAACTCCCCACCAGCGTCTCCCCGCCCAGGGTGACCGCCACGCCATCGCGGCCGAAGACAAGGAGAAGGCCAAGCATGATCCCGAAGCTTGAGCTTGTGAACAAAAGCTACAACTGGTCCACAAGTCATGGGAGTGGAAGAAACGAAGCTACAGGAGCGTGATATCTATAAGTTACATGTGGCCTTTTCTCTCGAGCCAGTTCGGAGGAGCGTCTTTTTATCGATCTGGACTTTCCTCGACCCAGCCAGCTGGGGGTGAATCGTGAATCAAATCTTTCTCGAGATAGAGAAATGTAGCAGGCTGCCTAAATGGGAGATTATGGGCAGAAAGAGAACCCCCAAGCACGCTTTCCCTTTACGCCTCGATATATATAGACGGCGACGAGATACCCGGTCTGAGAAGAGGCGGAGGTGATTCCACTATTTTCGCGTCTTTGGTGAACCGCCGGTGCAATTGTGTACGAGATATGAAAGACGAAAGATGAAAGATCTGTAGTGGAAAGCACATACAGTATAACTATACAGCCCCTTTATCATTGCCACCACACAGTCTCTTCGAGTCAATGTCACCTTGGGCACGTATATCCTCGTCCTGTGTGTGACATGAAGCTCGGCTATGATCGTAGAATCTTAGGATACAAGGATACAAAGGATACAGTAGCAGGCGCGTCATCGTGGCTTTTCTTTAGTAAGATTAGATCCTGATAATGATCCTAAACCTGACCTCTCATGCAATCCGACTCGACTCGCCCCGACTCGACTCCTACTCCGTACACTGGAAGAAATTATGTTGATTGTCAATCATGTGACTGGGAAGGCCAAGGTACCCGAGAGTTGGCCAGACAGTCGCCAAGGGGTGTGTGTCATGGACTCTGTAACCCCCTTTATAAGATACTACCGTGTTGTTTACGTAGGTCTCTGTAACTGCTCAGTACCTATTCCTATAATGGTCAGGTCTCTCCCCAGACCCCCTCTGAATTCATCATGTCCTCCGAAAAGAGGTCACAGTTTGTACGTCAGTCGGTCGGTTGGTCGGCCGGTCAGTCACGTGGTGAGGTTTAATCTTCCACCAATCCAATCCAATCCAATGATCGGCTCTCTGACCAGTTATTCCGTACGAGTACGAGTATATTACTGTGGTACTCCGTACATGGTCCTCGGTGGCATTTCATTCCTGATTTTCCTGGTCCTCCCGTACCTTAGTTACTCTCTCTACTACTCTTATGAACTCTGTACTACCTAGGGTAGTTGCAATCATTCTGGATCACCTGGTACTGTACGCTTGGGCTCGCCTCCATTCGCACGAAATGCCCAGGCGCACCCACCAAGCTTTCCCTTTCTTCGTGTAGGTCTCAGGCGCTGTGAGAGCACAAAATATTCTAGATCGCACGACTTACTCGGCTGAACGGTGAACGCAACCCCTCGACTTGGCTGATTCGAGGTATGCACGCAGTAAGTAGGCCTCAGAGAGCCCAGGACCGCAATCCGTCCACGGTCCGCCGTAGGTACGTACGCTTGAATGGGCCCCTGGCTTCTTTTCTGCTTTCTGGTGTCTTTTCTGCTTTCTGCTTTCTGCTTGCCGTGTCATATATCACATATCACATACACATATCACATCCTGTCTCCGTCTCCCTTTGCCACCCTTCTCCTGAGCCATCTCCGTCACGGATGCTCATCAGGCTCGATGCAGAGGATGTGTCGTGCGAGAAGATTTTACCGAGGAGGAGGAACAGAGGAAAGCAACCCGCCGCGAAGACGTTTCGGGATGCGTCGGAGCAGGCATCAAAGGTATCTAGATGCACGGTCCACGTTCGAACATGCGGCGGGAAGTATCTCGTTGCGAATTGATAATGAGAGAGGAACGGGTCCTTTCTTTCGAGTCATTCACTTCTCTCTGGTGCAGCGGCGCGACAACGCTACTCTTGGTGCTTCCTGCTGCCCAGCTTCGGTAGAGCCGGCATTGTCTGACTTGTTCTATTGCACCTGCTTCTGACGCATTCTTTGCTCCAAAATCGTGGCCGTTCGGGAATAACCTCTTTTCCTGGCCATTTCCAGTGGCGACGTCTCCTCCAAGGCATCGCACGGCTCGGGCGCTCCACCGCCGAGATCGATGTCGGGTCGCTCGAGGAGGAGCTCAACAATTGCCTCGGAACCCTGGTACACCGCCCACCACAACGATGACCTACCGCTTCGATCTCTGACATTGACATCCACAAAAGAATGCTCCAGGAGTAGTTTCACCATGGAACGCCGCCTCAGCTTCACTGCTCTTAGCAGAGGAGCAACCCCACCTTTGTCTGGCGCATTGACATCGACGCCATTGTGCTTCAAGAGCAGACTCGCCACTGATACGGCATTCAGCTCCACGGCCCTTAGTAAAGGAGTATCGCCGTCTTTGCCTCTGAGATTAACATCCACGTCTTGGTGCTCTAAGAGCAGTCCAACGACTGCGCCAGGCCCTAGCCTAACTGCTCTTAGTAAGGGAGTGTCCCCGCTGTTGTCCTGCACGTTGACATTGATGTCTTTGACCTTCAAGAGCAAGCTTGCCTTTTCTTTACGGTCCATACTTGCGGCATATGAAAGTGGAGCTCCACCCTCCTAGTCCTGACGGTTCGCGTCTGCGCCAGCATCGAGGAGCATTTTCATGGTCGTGAGACTTCCAGAAATCACTGCCAAAGAAAGCGCAGTCTGTCCCTTGCTGTCCGGAGCATTGACGTCAACGCTGCATCGTTCCAGGATTAGCTGCACTAGGTCATCCTGCCGTCCCTTGGACGCCCATAAGAGCAGGGGATCACCCTTGATTTGCGCACCGTTGAGTTCGAACCCGTTGTCCACTAGAACCCGAGAGATAGCTCCAATGCTTGGGCTCGGGTCCTCGTAACATGTGAGAAGGCGCAAAACATCGCGTCGGAATGTGGTGTTGGCGTTGGCTTCTGTAACGACAAGCTGAAGTGTGTCAAAGTCCCGCTGTGTGACATACTGCAAGAGAAAGTCGTAGATCGCCTTATCAGGCAAGCGGCCCAGCGAAACTGGATTATGCTGAACGATGTATTTCACCCGGCCCGGGACTTGATATTGAAATCCCCACGACAAAAGAAGGGTCCAGTCTTTCTCTTTCAACTCCTCCTGCCACCGGCATGTTGATAGATTAGAGACGTCAGGTCACGGTCAGTGAGCAGTAGTCTCACATCCGAGGCAAACGACCTTGGTGGGAGATAAAGGCAATCCACATATTTCGCAAAATAGTGCCAGATGAGATGCCTGACGAGAAGCTGGTAACCGTGTTGCATAGCGTAGGGAAGCAGATCATGAAAGGATGCTCGAAAGGGGTCTACGAGTATTTGGAGTGATAGCCCTGAGGGCGTCGGATGGGCGTCATTGTCTTTCTGATAGAGATTTGCGGTAATACCATTGCGCAGTGTGATCGCTTCATAGTGTACCACGACTTTTCCTGTGGCCAGGAGGTCGTTCGTGAGGCCGACTTCGCCACGCAGCACGGCCCAGAGGAAAACAGACCAGTTTCTTGCGGATGAGAACAACTCTGCTTTGCCCTGAAGAAGAAGTGACACTGACTCAGAATGCTGCTCGTCTTGGCTAGCAGTTGAAGAGGTTGAAATCCTGGCGTCCCGTTTTCGATCGGCGGGCTTCAAGAAGGCCTGGATGGCTGCTTCGTTCTTGTGTGCTATAGCTGCTCTCAACGGGCAAATGCAGCGCTCCCCTCTTAGATCCATGTGAGGCACTCGGCTAAGCTCTTGGCAGATCAAAGCAGGCAAGCCCTTCTCTGCGAAAATAAACCACAAGGTCACCGAAGGTGAATATCGGCGTGTCTTGTATTTCTGAAGGACATTGTTCCGGGACGTCCAAGCTGCAAGGTCGAATTGATCGATGAACACTCCTTGTGATATACCCGTCACGAGAGCAGCCTCCGCATGGTCGAACACATGATTAACAGCGTAGTCGAGAAATGGGTATCGCAAACACAGTCTCTCACGGAGCTGCTTGGACTGCTGGTTGCTGGTAACGGCTGACATCTTGTTGTCTTCGTTGTCTTCGTTGTCGCGGAAAGGGATCTCTCCAACGTCGTCACTTTCGTTGCCAGGCTGCTGTTCAGCCCCCTCTAGGTCGGCTGGGGTTGGTGCGTCAGTAAGTCCAAGCTCCGGAATCCCAATGGCCAAATAATTCTGACAGCACAGCTTTAGCCTCTCGTGGCTTGACCCTGAGAGATTGGCAACGAGGTCTTGTCTGATATGAGCCAACCCGTTCCCCTTTAGTAGATAATCCCGCACCGACTCGTGGATGAATTGGACTGTCTGGTTCTTGGTCCTGGTCAGAGCCGTCAGTCCTTTGGAGCAGTCAAGGATGAACCTGTCCATAACTGTTGGTGTCACTTCGGTGGCATCCCATGGTCCGAGATGTTGGGGTTCCGTGCCAGCCAGTATTGCAAAGTAGAGCTCCTCCCGTTTCATGGGCCTCTTGGCGAATAAAATCCATTGCAGACAGACCAGGAGGTCGTCAGCGTTTCGGGTGTCCCTGGTCAGAATGTCCCTGAACAGCTCATCAAGACCAGGCGGGATCTCTTCTAGTCGAGTCTGAAGGGCGTGCACCCGGCCTCGGTCGAATTCCTTCTGCAAGATTCGGACGACCAAGACAAGCCAGAGAAATATTCCATTGGTTCGCCGCAGTAGTTCTTCTTTGATCTTTTCGCAGCGTTGGCTCTTCCCGATTTTCAGCTCACTGTGTAGATAGTTGGCCAAGTCTTGTTGATGGCCCTCTTGACCTTCCAGAACAAGCTCGATGCACCTGTCGACCGTGATGTGGGGATAACGTCGACTGGAGAAACAGATACGAACTTGGAGTCCTGACTCTGTAGCTTCCTGGCCGAGGTTCTCAAAGCAAGCGACCATTCTTCTGACATCATCTTCGTGGCATTCATCCAGGGCGTCGGCGAAGCAGATCAGCCCCCTTTTGCCAATCGCACTGACGCGTTTTGGAAGGTTCCTATCAAGGTCTCAAGTCGCCATTCGCCGTCGAACTCACCGGTAGCAGACAAGGATGGCCGAGGAAGCACGTTCAGGCCACTTTGGAGCTCCGGGACATGCTCGAAGAGTTGCCAGAGCAAGGAGCGATACATGCCTATGGTTGATTTCTCCAAAGCGTAGCCTCTAGCGTTGAAGAAGAATGAAATGATGGGGGTCCCTGGCATTGTCTTGTTGGCGTGCGATGAGATATATTTTAGCATCGTCGACTTGCCGCTGCCGGGTTTGCCTTTAATCCAGAGGAATCCATTGTGTTCAACTTGGCGTTCCGGAGCGAGCCAATCCAGGTATTCGGATTTCTTGAGTATCCATTTACAGGTCTTCGAGTGGGCCGACTTATCGCTGGCATGGCGGGCATCGATTTGATCAAACCTCAACGAGTTGATGTATGCTTGCCGTTCTGCGTTGTTGAGTGCCGTCCGAGTTGGAACGGAAGGGCTTCTGTGGTCTGCGAGGACTCGGTCGATGGCGGCGACAACCTTTTGGTACTCTGCATCGTGGAGTAAGCTAAACCGACACATGCCCATGTGGTCGTCTGCGATGTGCTGGGTGAGTTCTAAGCTGGCATCACCCAAACATGACGAGACATCTTCCACGACCTGCAGAAGTCAGCATGGTAAACAAGGCAGTGGTATCTCATTGAACCGCTCACTTTCCGTCCATTGAGAGCAGTGATGCCATGGTCTTCTTGAAAGCAATGAACGATCCATCCCCGCGCGCGAGCCATGGGTCCAAACTCGTCCCTGAGTTGCCTCAGACGTTCTGAGGAGGGCAGCAGTGTCTCCACAACTTGTTTATTGAATGTGACACCGATGGCCCAGGCAACGTTCTCGGCGATGGTCTTTAGTAGGCTCCGTGGATCCGCGCCGCCGTGAGGGGTGCCAAAGAAGATGATGCCTGAAGTTGACTCTGATAAGGCGCGAAGCTCAGGTTGGTGGTCCAAGTATCCGTAAGATTGCCGGAGCATCTCCTTGACAACGATTCCTCCGAGACTGTGAGCAATGGACACGAGCGGTCTCTTGGGTTGACACCGACGTACTGCCTCCAGCTCCAGGAGGAAGTCCTTTGCGAAATCATAGACTGTCTTCTGACTATGTGAAGGCCCGAGCCGATGCCCGAGAGAAGCATCGTAGCCATAAGTTAGAACCCGTGCATGTGGCAGCGACTGTGGTAGGAGATCTCGCGGCTAGTAAACAGCCTTCCGATCGCGTGAGGTCCGATTGCGTGACGCCTTGAACGAATCGAAAGCCTTTTGAATCTTTCGAGGCCGTTCGTCCGTGTAGTCTCCACTGGAGGCGCTTGACTGACTGTTCGCATCGCCCTTGTGCAGCCAAGTCCGTTCAGGGTTGCCATTGAAGCCGTGAACAAACACCACGCTATCATTCCGGTAAGCACCATGCTGATTGGTCTCAGATAGCTTCGACGAGCAGACTTACTCAGCGGTCGGGTTTTCAGGGTCGGCAATGAGTGATAAACCCAGACTAGCGGGTTCGTCCACTACCTTTGACCTTGGATGCTCAGTGCTGGCCATTCGATTGCATCGAGTGTTTGACAGATGCTTCTGCTAAAGTTGTGCTCAAATCTGCCCAAGCCGAAGCGAAAACAGGTCGTTGCTGCAGATGTTTGTCTTCAAACAAAGGCTCTGACCGCCACGTTGTCCGTCCTCGGAAGTGCCTGCCTGCAAGAACTCGCAAGTTGGCTGCTGCGCGGTCCTCAACAATAACCGGCAATTTCTGTTCTACCACTTCTTGAGAACACGCCTGTAAAGAGTGACGAAGCCGGGAATCGTGTGCAGAACGACGATCCGACAACATGACGGAGGGGGAAAAATTGAAGGCTGAGGCTTAGATCCCAGGATGGGCTGTTGTTGCCAGCAAAGCCTGCGGCGCCTGCCAAGCGAATCAGACTCATCCGATAAACTGGGCGAGTGTGGTTGCTACATTATATGCAAGCCACGATCAGGCTGACCACTGAGACAACGACAAGACCGTGCCGTATAGTCGAAGGGGCAGCCATGCGCCCAGCTTTGCTCCGATGTTGATGAGACATGGCATGCGAGGAGGCGAGGCGGATTCGTGCGGGGGCATTTCCCAAATCCCTAGCGAACTTAGCTGTTACCAAGCCAGTTTCAGCCTCAGCGTCGAGCTTCCTCGCTCGTTCCTGCCCTGGTGGTACGCCTGTGCTGTGATAGAGAGAGTCCCTGCTAGATTGAAGGCGCACCTGCACTGTCCGCAGAAATCTTCAGCTGCGCCCGACCTGCCATCTGCCAAGTCAGAAGCACAGCGCACCGCCGTCGACGCGAAGATCTGCGCCCGTTATATATCTTCCGGCTCTTCTGCTACTTAGAAGGACAACAGGGCCTGTGATTTCCTCCACATCTCCCATCCTGCCCATCGGGCATCGACCGGCCCAAATATCCCTGATGGGCTTCAGATTGTCACCAGCATTGAGCACCGTGTCCATGTATCCCGGCGACATGCAATTGACTCGGATGCCATGCACAGCCCACTCAGCCGCCAAGTTCTGCGTCAGGTGCACTACGCCCGCCTTGCTGACGTTGTACGCTGCTTGAGGTTGGGGGTAATTTGTGGCGTGAGCGGAGATCGAGGCCGTGAACAATATCGATCCACCCGATTTGGACTCGATCATGTATTTCGCGGCAGCTTGGGCGCATAAGAACGATCCCGTCAAGTTGACGTCGACGACTTTGCGAAACTGACTCGCGGTGGCGGATATCGAGTGCACACAGCCCACAATGCCGGCGAAACAACACAGGATATCGATGCTGCCCATCAAGTCCCGAGCGGTCTGGAAGGCTTTGTGTACGTCTGGCTCTGCAGTCACATCGACAGCGACCGTCGATATGCGGGATTGAGGAAACTCCTGCCTGAGCTCGCTAATGGCGTCGGTGGATGAATCGACGGTCGACTGCAAGTCCATGAGAGTGACTGCTGACAGACCGTGTTCAAGGAGTGCTCTGGCAGACACCAAGGCCAAGGCACCAGCCCCTCCGGTGAGGACGGCGTTGCCTTCGACGGCAAATCGTGCTGCAGCCCTCTCTGCAGCAGATGTTGCCCGTACAGGCGGCAACGGTGCCGTGAGAGTGTTCTCAGCGGTAGAGAGAGTCATGGTGGGAATGACTCGGGAGGTCAGGGCCGCTCGTTCGTCCTCTGTGGCTAATGACGCTGCTGCGGCGGGAGTAGGGTCCCCCATTCTTACGTATATTTGTCCTTCCAGCGTAGTGAATGCCGGCTCCCAAAGAGTGAGTGAAAGTAGGTGTCAGGACCAATTTGAAATTTTCAGGACACACGTCTCCAATCCAAGCCACGGGGCGTGACTCGGCGCCTGGGTCAACACCAACTTACCAAATAGCCAGGAATGATCTGACGCATTATCATCGCTGCGTGAATGGGTGGCCTGCATCATCGCAGCAGCAAAAGATGCGTTGAAGAACTGCACTGCAAATGTGCCACAGCAGCAACTTGGTTAAGTAAACGCCCCGCGCCTCGGCGAAAGATTGGCCGAACCGCCGTCCGAATTTTTTCCAACCTCCCTCACTTTTGCCTCACCTGTGCCTCATCCACTTATGCCTCCACCGCATACGGTAGGCAGGTCATGCGTCACCTTCACTTTCGCTTTCGTTCCACAAACTTGAGACTATCATGACCAGAAATTGTTGAGCGTCTCCCTTTTACTGCCACAGCCCCTTTACGGCAAGTACTCCCGTTGACCAGGAACCGCGTCCGTTCGACGCACACCACCCGCAATGGCCGAACCCAACCATCCCACTTCCCAGCAAGCCGATCCATCCCCCTCGTCCCTAGTTGACAAGGCCGTTCCGTCCACCCTCTCTGCACGCATCGATCTCCTCGTCGCGCTGCACCTCTGGTCGTGGCCGGCCTTGACCCTCGCTATCCAGAACAACTGGGGGGGCTCGGCGCAGGTGTCCAAGGACAAGCGCGACTGGCTGGCGGGTGCGGTGTCCGAACTGCTCACGTCAACCCCACCGCAGTTGGCCGACGTAGGCGATCTCGAGGAAGTGCTCCTACAGGTCATGACCGACGAGTTTGAGGTCGTGGTAGACGACGATAGCGCCGAAGAAGTCGCAAGGGGGATATGGAGTGGGTGCGCGAAGCTCGTGGATGGCGACACGAGCGGGTTACAAGCGCTCTATGAGAAGTGGCAGGAGAGGCAGAAGAAGGGTGGGGAGCCAAAAGTTGAGATCGTCAGAGCAGAGGATAAAGAAGGCGAGGAGACGGATTGGGATGATGAGGATGACGACGACGATGACGAGAACGATTGGAAGGCCGATAGGCCAGATGTCAATATGGACGAGGCGCCTCCTCTCGTGGACATCGATTGGATGCCGAAAAGGGCGTGTAAGAACAAACCCGAGCCGGAGATCGACGAAGAGGGTTTCACGAAAGTGGTGGGCAAGAACAAGAAGAAATGAAAGCGCAAGAGATCACAGCCAGCATATCTTGGACCTTGCATGGATAATCGACGCTACGATCCGCCCCGACTCTACTCGATTCGACTCGAAGTCTAGTGCCCCTCCGGTTCTACGAGGCCCAACTCCTCGTTCTCCTTCTTACTCCGCTGACTCCACTCCGGGGCCTCGTCGATGCCTTCCTCCTCCTCGCGATCTCCCTGCGCCTTGTCCTTGTGCACGGTTGTGGGCTTGTGCTCCGCAGGTGAATACACGGTGTATAAGATGAGAGGCGTAGGACCTGTGTTGATAAACTGATGCTGCGTGCCGGCGGGCACGATGATCAGATCGCCGGCCTTGACATCCTGGTCCACGCCGTTGATTGTAGCCTTGCCTTTGCCGGATGTGAAAGTGAGGATTTGGTCGACTGTGTGTTTCTACAGCGAGGAAGCGAGGGAAGTCATGTCAGCAAGGTGGCGTTGCACGCAGCCTGAAGCAAGGAGCGGAAGGAAATCCGTACCTCGTCTCCAATCTCCCCATCTACAGGCACGGTCATCAGGACCAGTTGGCTGTACAGGCCTGTCCACAACACACGGCGAAATTCACCCGACTCGCTCGGCAGCGACGTCGTCATATCCGGAAAATACGCCATCTCATGCTTGGGCGGATCCGACGAAGGGGTTGGAAACTTCATCTTGGCGATGCTGGTGGTGAATGCCCGAGCTGCTGGAATAGTCGCGGTGGTCCTTGCTCTTGTGTCGATGGGAGCGAACAAATGAAATCCTCGATGGTGTTGGTTCACTCGGGGGAAGCGTACACCGTGTGAGCGTGAAAAGCACCTGTTTGAAGACCTGACGGAGTTTTGCAGAAACGACATGTGAAGCAAGGATGAATCTTCGATCTCGTGATTGAAAATGAGAATGATGCAGACTGGATGTCGAGCCTAGCTTAGCACTTGGATGGCATGCTGTCGAAACCACCAGTAGCAGTAAGCCGGGAGATGTCAATTCTGCCTACTAGTTTCTACGCAGGATGGGATTTGCCCGGCCTCAGTGTCATACCTATTAGTTAATCGCTCAACTCGCTCTCTACTCGGTCCTGTCGAGCGAGTTCATCCACAAAACATCTGATGACATTATGACTCTCCCCCTGGTCGACGGCCGGGGATGGCGAACCGTGTGATTGGATGAGAGCATTGCTGAGTAGGCATTCGTGACGTCATGCGGCTGCTCTGGGGTTTCTGTTCCGGAGCCTCCCACTCAATGCGACGGCGGCAATCGAGCAGCTTAACTTCATCCAGCTCACGTTCATTGACCGTACGAGTACCTCGTACTCGTACAAACGAAAAGCACTAATGTGCGGAGCCTTGGCATTGGAGCACGTGATCGGTAGACATCTCTCAGTTCCGAGTTGCATCTCAGTAACACAATACCATTCAATGGCATGACAGTCCGCATAGTTACAGCTTACAGAACGTGACCACAGCAACATTCTCCCAGTCCGACTCGCGTTCCTGGTCAATCCGCCTACTTGTCCAGATCCTCTCTACGCGTCCTTCACCACTATGACTTCCTTTTCCGACGTCACAGTCAACTCGTGACGCTTGAGCGACGCCTTGACCGGGTTCTTGGCCGCAAACACCTCGTCCAGCTCCTCGAGCGTCCTCTGCTTCGTCTCCGGCAGGAAGAAGTAGAACACGGCCGTCTGCACCACGCACCAACCCATGAAGACGAAATACGTCTTCCACCCGATCTGCTCCAGACTGATGGGCCAAGCGAACTGGTTGAGCAAGCCGGCGGCGTTCACCGACAAGCTGGAAAATGCCATGCCCTTGGCGCGCAGTTCGAACGACAGGACCTCGACCGGGTAGAGCGCCTGGAGTGGCGTGATGCCGACGGAGAAGACGGCGCCGAACAGGAAAATCATGGCGATGACAGCTCGAGCGGCGTCTTGGTTCGTCTCGCCGGTGTTGTTGTAGATGCCGGATGCGGCAACCACTCCGATCCAACAGATACAGCATGTGCCCATGGAGAACAACATCAACGGTCGGCGACCCACCCGGTCAACCAAGCCGGCTCCGATAAGCGCGAACACATACTGGAAACATGCGTATCCGAGGTTGATCTTGGCCTTGACATCGTCGGTGGTGTATCCGACCGTGTCGAGAACCGCGGGCAGGAAGTAGGTGAGAGCGCCATTGCCGGCCCACTGGGCGAAAATGACAAAGACACAGTTGCACGCCACGCGGTAGCGAGATGCCCGCGAGCTGAACAGTTTACGATAGTCCCACCATCGCTTGTCCGAGCCTTCGGTGTTCAAGAACTGCTCGTACTCGGACAGCTGCAGTTTTACCCAAGGAGATTCAGGATCATCTAGGCCGTGCCATCTGGTCAGAATACTCTTGGCTCGCTCGCGCTTGTTGTGGACATAAAGCCAGCGGGGAGACTCCGGGATGAAGAAGACTCCTAGGCAGATCAAGCACGAGAAGACCAATTGCAGCCACACCGGGATTTGCCATGAGCTTGTGCCAGGGAGGTGCAGTGCTCCGAGAACAGATCCGGCAGCAAGGATGGAGCCCGTGAACCAGAAGGTGTTGCAGTAGGCAGTAAGGATTCCGCGGTAGTAAGGATGGGAGGTCTCGACAACATAGATCGGGCCGGCAGCACTGGCGATGGCGACGCCGAAGCCAAGAAAGAACCGCCCAGCCATGAATTGGTCCACCGAGGGATTGTATTTTGTCGTGCCAGAGATGATTGTCCCCATGATGATTATCACAGAACCGATGAACATGCCGACACGCCGGCCCCAGGTGTCGATGGCGGGACCAACGAACGGCAGGGCCGAGACGCCACCGATCTGGTACATGGCACTGACTAGGCCAGCCCATATCTGTATATCAATGTTATCGGCGAGTTGCCCAAGAACGAGGGTTCGAACTGACCCCATCGTTTGTCCCATTGAAGTAGGCCAGAAACTTGCTGTTGGCCGTCAAGCCGCCGAACAAGGATCCATCAAAGCCGTTCATCGTCTGGCAGGAAAACCCCAGGAGAGTACACATTAGAAGCAAGAGGAGCCGTGGGTGCAGAAACCGTGGCTTTTCCTTCAAGAGGGCCTCGTGGAACGCTTCCGATCCCTTGATCACTTTGACTTGGTCGACTTGAGGACCCTACACGGACATTTGCAGTTAGCCAGGCGTACATTGTGACCGGGAACACCTCTCACCTCATGCTGTTCGGCGTTGCCGAGCTCTTTCTCGTCCATGTTGCAGACACTCGGTTAAGAGTCAGCGATGCAAGCCAGGAATCGAAGTCGTTCGAGCCTTGCACGTTGTCGTGTCGAGCGCTCTGGCAGAGAGCTGGTTGAGACGGGAGACGCTGGGGTTCGACCCCCCAGTATATAAATACACGGAGTGCAGACCATTTCCCGACCAGGTTTCTCCTGCACACACGGACCTACCATCCTCTAGTTTGATCGACAATCACCTGCACCAGCCCATCCACCAGCAAAGCAAGCACCACTGACGACCATTGTGGGATCTCTCACGACAAGGGAATATCAGTCCAGGCTGGGAAGCTAGCCTCTGGACGGGCGGCGTGTCTGGCTCCGCCCTCAAAACGGCAAGCCCGGGGATGGAACTAGTCCGACTCCACTATGGAGTATGTACGGAGGAGATCCGGAGGCCAACGGTGGGAAATCTCGGCAAACCCAAAATCCCATGCCGGGCGAGGCTGAGAAAGGTCCACGTACAGTGATTACAGAATGCCACGGTAGCACGGTATACAGACTTGATCTCCTATTCGACGTTTAGTGAGTGATCGACAAGGACGCGTTGAGCAGACGAACATGAGTGAGCAGCGAGCACCAAGACAGAGACCCAAGATCCCTCAGAGAGACACCTCCGCGTCGCCCTCACCTGATTAGTGACCTTCCCAAGTCAATTCGGATCTCTTTGTGTTTGTATCTGCATGCATCCATGAATATCTCTCATCATCGGGTCCCCATCTGAATCGCCACCATCATCCACGCGTCTCAGACGGACGTCCTTTGTACAGAGCACAGAGCACAGTATCCACGTACGGACGGAGTATTGTACTTACTGTACTCCGTACAGTACTTGTGCTGCAGAAAACACCACTTCCACCCCGGACTCTCCTGGCTCCGCGCCCAAAAAGGGGAGCGAACCTGCTCCTACGCCTGCACGTCATCTATGTCTATGTCCGCACCATGCGGCGCACACCCAACACGCCACGAGTATTACTATACGCTCCCCACTCTCCGCTCTTCCGCCCTCATTGCCGCCGCGTGATGATCGGCGCCACTATTGTACTGGGTACCACAGTGCGAGTATCTAGTACAGAGGACAATCCTTGTGTGTGTGTGGTTCCGCTGCTCGCCCCCACCCAACCTCCGCGGTTGGAGACTGGAGACTGACGCCCGGATACTGGAGTACGGATACTGGAGTACGGATACTGGCATCGGGACGCCGCGCCCCCTGAATGCTAATGTACAGTACGGAGTATATACTCAGTATGTGTGCTGTATGCATGTGTGCTGTATGTGTGTGTGTGCCGTATACTCTAAGAACCGCCACAGTCCTGTAATGCGCATCGCTATAGCCACGGGCGTCACAATCACCTGCTGATACAAGTATACTGTACTCCGTACTCACTGTCTGCGTCCTCCGTCTTCTCCCAGAAAGCAAGTTCCCGAGTCCGTGTCGAGGATGGGCTGCATTGCTGGCCGGCTGACAACAAGAAGAACACATTGCATCACAGGCAGCCTCAAGCTTGTGAACTTTTGGATTAGGTATTCTCTATCTACTGTACGTGACCACCAGGTCCCGTGTGCCGTTTCCAATCCCGGGAGCCCCAACATCGTACGGAGTACATATTGCAGCAACCTCAAGCTCATATTGCATTGCTTCAGGTCCTCGTCGTTGATCGCATCCAAAACTCAAGTTCCAGTTCCATTGTGTCTGTCGTCCCGTAAAACTCCATATCCATGTCGAAAACATGCTGTACCTACCTCGGCGGGCAATATCCAAACATTCCGTCAAAGCGACTTTGTGCATTTTCCAAGGCATCATTATTTCCTACAACCCCTTGAACCTCTGCCATCCTGCGGCCCCGTTCCTCGTCGGACTCGCCCTTCCCTCCTCAGCTACTTTGCCACTGACATCTCTCCGTCTGCCCATCCCCTTGCCAAACTCGGTCCCCAGTCCGGCATATCCACTGTTCAGGTCGTATCCGGTGGAATTGCTCGCCTGTCGCACGCCGTTCCACTGGCTCGGACTTGCGGTCTGCATGGCACTGATATGTGCACTCAGCTTCCCATCCTCGGCATCGCTTTCGGAGCCGTGGACCTCAAAATTCGCGGAATAGTCCGACTCGGTCTGCATGGTGCGCGTCCGCTCGTACATGTCTTCGACTTCCCTGACGACCGAAACGATTTCTTTCTTTTCGTCCCTGTTGGTGTGAGACGGCGAGTTCAATGGAGAGCTGCTGACGGAAGAGCGGAGGTTGCCGTAGAAACGGGTCTTGCCGCCGGAGCCGACGAAGCTTGAGGGCCGCGAGTTGGTAGGGGTCGCGTATGGTCGGCCCTGACTGTTGGCGGTGGTGTCTTGCAGAATTGTACGGTTGGGACTTTCACGGGTGTGGTGATTGGGGGTTCTGATGGGTGTCGTATACGCGTTTTCGTCGCCAAAGGGAGAACGCGTGGGAGTGGGAGGGTTCATGCCCAGCGGTTCTCGGCTTCGCTTCTTGGGAGGAGACTGAGGAGGTGGCATTGCAAGCGAGGTTCTGCTTCCAGTGTGCGGATGCGACTGAGCTGGGCTGTGGTTCGCCGACGGTGGTAGTTGAACCTGACTGTCGCGAGCTGGAGAACCAGCGTACCAATTTGCACGTTCACGTGGCGCCCTATCGAACGAAGCGTCTCTGTCGGAGACTGCTGAAACGGGTGAAACCGGCCGAACCTCGTTGTCAAACTCGGCGTTGGCGTCGTCGCTAATGGGGGTGGGTACACCTTCGTAATCAAGGTATGACAACCAAGATGATGGCCTCGATGGCTTCTCGTTAAGCACGGACGAGCGCTCAGGCCGGAAGTCCATGCCACTACCTGCAGCTCGAGAAGTCGGCGACGGAACGACCGCTGACTGGGGTCTTTCTGGCGATGAGTTTCTTGACCAGCGCCATGGGTCTTTGCCCGATTCATTCAGATCCTTGCGGAGCTCCAGGCGTGAATTTCGAGCGCCTTCACTACCGTAGAGTGTGACGCTGTCAGCCGAGTCGGTGCGCGTGTGTATGAAGGGCACCCTCTTGAAGCTAGAGGCTTGCGATTCTCGCTTCGCGGCAACCAATCCGGAAAATCTCATATTCTTCTCGGTGATCTCAGACTTCTTGTGCTTGTGCCTCGATGTGAGGGTCGGCTCCAGAGGGTTCATGTCGGGGGGTAGCTTGGAAATTTGTCGGAACTTCATGCCCAAGTAGATGTCCAGCAAGAGAGATACAACCATCAAACCGCCTTCGATGCAAGCGAGCAGGAAGAAGGCGTAGATGATCTTGTACGACAGGTCCGAGTCATTGAACAAGGTGCTCCAACCATACTGATTCTTGGTGTAATCCTCATGCGCCATCCAAGCCGAGAAGACCCAGAAGGGAATCAGGCCACTATCCACCAGAGCGGCAAAGATCATGTAGCTTGCTGTTGAGCCTGCGGTACGGCTTGTGGCTGTGCGCGCGAGGTGGAAGATTGCGTAGACGGTATGCAGAATGGCGATCGCTGGAGCGCCTCGAATAATCCATCCCACTGTCCCCGACGTCTTGGTGATGGCAATGACGCAGAATAGGATTCCCAGCGCTCCGACCAGTGCGCATACGCGGGAGAAGAGCTGCAGCTGCCGGCCGCGGATGATCCTCCTCTGGGTGTTTGGAGGCATGGCTTTGGCATTCAGGTTGCCGTAAGGGACGACGATATACTGCGAAAGCGTCAGTGCCTCGGCGCTTTATCTGCCTGCGAGTCAACCACCTACCGAGTCAGGATGCTTGTTAAAGTCAACAAGCGGGCCGTCCTGCTTTAGTTTCTGAGCCTTAGGTGCCCATGATGCGTGTGTTGCCGCCTTGGGTTGGAAACCACGATCAGTTGGTCCGCCAAAGGTGTATGTCGAGGGTCGGTCGTAAATGAATGGAGGTTCGACACCCATCCTCTGCTGGACTGGAATGTTGGGGCTGCTGATGACAGATGACGAGATACGGCCGCGGGCTCTGGAGGAGTTCGTGCTGACTGGGGATTAAGAAATGGTCATAGCGAGCTGGAGAGGTTGGTCGAGGCTGGTGCTCATTCGCCCAACCGTTTATTTACTGGCCACTAGTTGCCGAGCAACCACGCTCAGCCTTGTGCAGTCTTATGCAGCCGCCCGGGCGGGGCACGAGGCTGGGGACGAATAACTATGCGTTTCCGGCCGCGGCTCCGCACGTCAGCGTCGTTGATGTGTTGTCAACCGTGTGCGTGGTGAGCTAGTGCTAATAGATTGGGGCTTACTCGACACCGTTTGGGGTCACCAGGGATAAGTAACAGACGAGAAACAGTCCGCTCACAAGACCTCGTCCACCAATCCCAGTAAGACCAACACCCGCTGCATCCGTTCCGCCGCCTCTTGCACCGCGACAAACATGGCCCCTTCTATTACAGCCCCTCCTTTTGCTCGGGCCATTGCTGGTGACCCTCCCCGACGCAGCTCCCATACAGGCCCGTGCGTCGTGAAGCCAACCTTATACCAATCCCTCCCGACGCCTCGAAGCTCGTTGGCGGCGTCGTTTCTGATGGCAAGGATGCGTTCTGGCAACGAGACGTCTTCGATTTCAAAGCCGAAGTCGACTGTCCAGGACTCGGCGCCGTTCCGCTCCTCCCAGAATGTAGGGTCTGAAGGCGGCATGCCTAAGTCGAACCCGGCCGTAGAGCAGACGTAGTCGAACGTATAGCATGCGTACGCCTGCACGAGTTGCTGGACGCCAAGGATGTCGATAGAAGATGGGAAAAGGTTGCGAAGATGCGCCCAGCGGCCGCCGCCTGCCGCAACGAGGTCGACGAGGCGACGTACTGTCTCAATCTGCCAGCCATTCTCTTTCAATGGCGTTGGCATTGAGTGCTGCATTGCCTTGACTGCAGCCCGCATCCAGACTGTGATCAATTCTGCAAACGAACCCATGCGCGCTTGATCCTCCAGATCGATGCGACCCTCCAGCCTTCTCAGGATATCTACTGCGATATCAAGCACAGGGACGGCAAACAACATTGATGGGTGAGTATCGTCGAGTGCAGTCTCAATGTAGGCCGGAAACACAGCCTTTAGGAAATCTAGTTGCCCAGATATATCCAGCACAAAACTTCCGTCGTCTTCGATATAATCAGGGTTCGATGCAGCAAAGATGTTGGCCATGTGCGAAACCAGCACGTCCTCCTTTCTCCTTAGACATGCCGACTCGACAGCCGATAAGAAGACCTTAGCCGTATATCCATTGTCGAAGTCGGTTGGTTTGTTTCGACCAGGTGAACTGACGAAAAGCCGCTCCAGTCTAAAGGCGTTGCTCTTGATATCCCCCTCATGGAGCCCAGCAAGCAAGGGGCCGCTGCCAAAGGCGGGACCTCCGTACAAGATAAGCCGGAATAGCACTTTCTGCGAGAATGTCATCCAATCTGCCTGTCCTTCTCCATGGACTTGTGTCATTGTTCGAGCCAATATTTTGGGAATCATTGTCATCAGATCGTTCCATTGCCCGTTTGTGAGGTCCCCGAGAAGGGATTCGTCGGCGGCAGGACGAACGACATAAGCATAGCGAATAAAGTGGTCCACAATAGCAAAACGATGGTTGATGACATCGAATTTGTCAAGGAAGAAAGGTCTCACGCCACCTGACAAATTCTGGCGCAGCCCATCCAATGCGAAGGCTTCTGGTATGCTCTCCATCAGCTGGTTCAAAAGTCGATGAACAAAGGAGATCTTCGAGCCAACCAGGACGGGCCCCAGGACTGACCGCAGCAAAACATGGATGAAAGGATAGGGTTCTGCGAGGACCGCGCCTCTCTCTTCTGCGATCTTGCTCATCAGCAGGACCTGACAGTGTCTCCCGTTCTCGACGTCTGCGATCTGCGGGAAGGACATTGGTGACCAGTCATTTAGGAACTGATCCCAATTGGCCGGTCCCTCGGTCACCATGACTCTTCCAAGGGCGTACCACGCCTCAGCCATGGACACCAATAGGCGTTCAAACTCCGGTTCGTCCTGCTCCTTATTGCGGGTAAGTTGATCCACAAGAAGTCCGCGCAAGTCTCGACGGAAGAAAAGGAATGCTTCTCTCTCTTTCTTGAGGCCCTTCTTGATGTATGATGTGAGAAGACAGAAGACCTGGCCTACCACGTTATCGCCGAGACCTTGGTTGGTGTAGCATCGCAGGATCAGACTGCTCACTTCTTCCCGCGGGAGAAGGCAGGAGACCTGCTCTTCATTTGCGCAGAGGCCAAGAGCCGCACAGTATCTCGCGGCAACTTGACGTAAACAGTCAATGGTTGTCAATCTATTGATCCGATGCACATGGTATTCAGCACGAAGGCTCTCGTCCGCAGCGGCGACGTTATTGTTCTGGGGAATATTGTCCATTTTCGCACACATGGAGAAGAACATCTGCCGGATCCACTGGCCGAGCTCTTGGAGTCTGCCACCATTACTTGGCTGAGCAAGCACTGATCGTACAAGGCTTGTCCAACATTCCAGAATGACCTCGCGTACCCTACCATGGGCGGTAGAAAACTCGACGTAATTGCTGATCTGTGTGAGAACCGGCTTCGACTCGTTTGGGGCGTAGTGATACAGGGTTGCGAATAGGCTGTATCGGTTCGCTATTCCAGCGAAGTCTGTCACTGCCAAATCTTTGTCTTCGTCGAAAACCGATAGGGTTTCAGCAGTCAGATCCCGCCCTCTATTTGGCAGCATCAAGAATAGAAGAGATCTTTTGCGGAGCTGGAACTTCTTCATATCTTCGGCGGTATCGTAGATTGCTGGGAGTTGAGGCGTCAGTGCTATCGCTGTCAGCTTCAGAAAAATGTCAAAATCAGTGTCGTCGTCCGCTGGAAGGAGTTCTCGCGCAGGGACTTGGTCCTTGAGGAACTGCGGCATTGTAGTCATTCCAGCCGGCGCAGGTGGCGAAAATAGCCCGGTCATGCCATTCTCCGAATAGTACTTGAACATGGCTTTGAGCAGATCATCTGCCAGATCCTGAAGATAGTTTCGTGCAAGGAGTAAACACCATCGGAACATAATCAGACCGAGTTGTTCCAGCTTTTGGACAGTCAGAGATTGTTTCCTAAGCCTCTTGCTGTATTTCGTCTTATACTCGATGAAGGCCTTCAGGAATTCAGATACTCTTCCAACAAGCATGCCAGCAAGGGATGAGCCCAGAGACATCGAAGATTGCATGCCGTAGGTTGACAAGAGTCCTTCTGACCCAGAGACAGAGAGAATGCACCCGAGAACGAGGACAGTACATGAAAGGGATTCAGACCGGGATTGCAACTGGTGAGTCTCTCTTGCGTTGTCATCTGCAAAGAGAATGTTTTGCATATAAAACCTCCACCCTTGGTGAGGACCGAGGGCATGTACGAGGATAATGGTCTCAATTTCTGCTGAATAGCGAGAGCGGCGAGCATCCAGAGCTGTATCAATACCGGCTGGAGCAGAGATATAGGCGAAGAGGTGAACTATATGTTCTTCTCGAAAGGCAAGCTCCCAAGCAAAACGAGCCATGTTTTTCCGGCTCTCTGAGATAGCAGTGCCCACAGAGTTCGGAGAGGTTAGGGCCATGGCGCGTTGAGCGGTCTGATAGCCGAGAAGTAGCAGGCCGTTCAAGACCTTTAAGCTGTGTGAGGCGTGAGGATCGCTTGTGGCCGCCTCGCATTCAGCCATGGCTCGCCATATCTCTTCCATATACCGAGATGTAAGCAGAAGGAACGCTTCCAGATCGTGCTCGCCAGAGAAGGTTAGACTCTCGTTGATGTAGATGACTACGGCTTCGATCGAATCCGCAGCGTTCTTCAGAAGCTCAATTCTTTCTTGTGTTGACAGATTCAGAGCAACGACATCCTTACATGTGATCTCCAATGTTTCTTGAAAGATGTCTCTGAGAATTGTTTCCGTGGCTGAAGACCAGCCCGCAGCTTCGAGTGTGTGCTGAGATTTTGGTGTTGTGATTGTGTTGACGGTCCATCCGGTCTCGAAGAGACCAGCTCTGTTCGCCATCGCGGACAGCGTAACACGGATCAAGGAAGAGCGGACGGGTTCAGCGCCCGGAGGGATGCCAGTATTCAACAATGATCCTCCACCGGGAGGATACCGCACGGTGCTGGTGATGATATCCATATCCTCATTGAGGTTAAGACCCTGGAGGCATAGAATATCCCCCTGATCATCACTTCGGGTAACCAGGTCAATGGGTCTCTGTTTCCTGGAGCCACGTTAGCATTTCCGGCCGTTCTGTTGCCCCATGACGACTCACTTAGGAGGGCGTGGGCGGGAAGGCTCTCTAGGAGGTTGTGAGAGATCTCCACGGCTTGCCATTATGTCAACACGGATTTGTCTCGGCCTTTCACGAGGGGTCAAGCACTGCGGAAGACCCGTCAGTGGTAGCACTGCCTGGGATGGAGCTCTTGTACGGTTTTGCCGAGCTGTGTCGTGAGTCGGTTGTTCTCTCCTCGCCCCTGGATGCCTCGGAATGCGTTTTTGAATGGCAAAGGGATCAAGCTGGGAGCTGGAAGCTTCGTTGGGTACGACTGGTCCAAGCTCAAGGCGATTAAGTCTCCTCGAAATGAGATGACTGCGGTTCAATGTTCGAGGCTTGAAATAGTCGAGGATGACAGAGGGCGAACCAACAGACGGGCCGGGGGACTCCTCCAGCGGCGAACGAGCTCGGTGCAGGTTGCGTCGGATGCGTTGGAGAGTGGTTTTGGTGCTCTGCTTCAAAGAATTGAGCTGAGCGTCAGAGTTGGCTACGCCCAGGTCACGGAGCCGGCGATCCTGTGCCAAAGCTTCGATGTTTTCATCATTGACAGTGTTGACACCGCGCGGCTCAGGCACTGAAGGGGTTGTGCGACTTGGAACTCCGTCGCCGGAGTTGAAGTGGACAGCCGGACGTATCTCATCTCGACGCGTCCTCCAGCGTTTCAGGCTCTCATTTACGTCCTGAGTGTCTCTCGTTGTTGCCAATCTGAAGAATTTCTTAGAGGGATCTTGATGTCGCGCTTCACTGGTATCACCCCGTCGTCTAGAAGCAATTCTTAAGAAGCGTGGAATGTCTTTCTGCTTGAAGCCTGGGGCGTCGAGTACCGTAATTACTGTGTTTCTGTGCTCTCTTTTAACCTTCTTGGACGGCCTCGCTTGTTTCTTCGCGCGAGCAACGGCCTTAGGCTCGCCACCATAATGAGAAACAGAACGTCCACCACCAGCATTTTTTTTGCTCCTTTCTGACCCCTTCTTGGACCAAACCCCGCTTAACCGTCGCTGCCTCCTGGGAACATTAGAATTTCTCACACGAGGAGCAAGCATAGCGTCAACAGTGTTGTCTTCCATAACGTCGTCATCATAGGTCATCGGCAATCTGTACGGGACGTCATCCATCTCAGTGTTGACTCGGAGCTCTGTGTCGCTCTCTGATGAAGTGTTCGGATCGGTGGGATCGTCTTCGATGACAAGCATTGGACCTAGCTCCCTGGCATGCCTTCTCGAGGAAGGAATATGTTTTGCAACACCTTTCTCTGGGGCACTTCTGACCGGAGAGTACTGAATGTGGTGTGGAGAGGAAGAACGGGGCTTTTGGTTTTGCTTCATGTCCAGCTTCAGCCAGGAAGCAGGCAGAACTCCCTTGATCTTGCGCCGTAGTTGTTGGACACCCCGCGACTCATCGCCAGAGTTCTGTTCTGATGAGGACGATGCGCCTGGTTCATCACTGATGTCGATTATCTCGCTTTGCGAGTCGGAGAAATCAAGGATTTCGGCGAACGAACGCTTCGAAGCATGCTTGTCAGAAGATACGAGCGGAGTCGGAAGCCCAGCGGGTGTGCTGTTTCCCCCTGCAACATCAGCAGATGGCGCCAGTACAGCGTCTTGCGATGATCGCCCAGCACGGGACCAGGGTGGTGATAGAGGAATTGCCGAGCTTGCACGATGTCTTCCAGATGGTTGCTGGGCAACGGGAATATCGTCAGGAAGCTCGTAGATATGAAAGCCGTCCTTGCCCGTGCGTGGCTCGCGCCGAGACCGCTGCTTCAATTTCCTCAGCTGTAACACGGACGGCGTTGGAGCTCGGCTGTTCAATATCTCTGACAAGTCGGGGAGATCGTCGCTCAAGTCGGATAGTGGCGACGGCTGACGGACACGTGTCCCCCGAATAGGGCTCTGGGATTCATCGTTGTCCACACTGTGAGAGTCGTCTGGAGCGTCCAAAATGGGACTCGACTCTCGAGCTGCGCCGTCGAAAGAGTCCATCTGGCTGCTTTCATAAGCAGTGGTATCCTGCGATTCTTCGTTGGAAGTCTTCTCGGCCCTTGATGTGATCTCTGGCGCACGAACAGGCTTGAGACCACTGGCTGACCAAGTCTGTCGATACCTGGCATCTTCGAGAGCGTAAGGATGAAGCTGGATTGGTGCACGGGGCCTGAAAGAACGTCGTCGAGGAGGATATTCATCCGCGTGGGGAGGTAGGTTATGGGAGACTTGGAATTGAGCAACAGCAACATCATTAACGACAGCTGGCCGCGGCTCGACGGAAGCACTTCCCCTTGCTGCATTGCCTGCGGAATAGGATGCCGATGAAGGAGTGCTGTCTGCGTGTTTATCAGAGGCAGGGTACAAGGACTCCAGCACATCTTGAACCGTATTTCTGCCAGGATCTAGGGGTGTATTCTGCCCAGAAGGAGGAACGGAAGACAGCGGGCTGTCGTTGTCGCTATCAACAGCGGAAGGCAGGAATCCAAGGACATCTCGGACCGTGTCAAGGCCCTTTCGGATCTCAGCTTGAAGTCTTGTGGCTGTTGAGGTTGGAATATCGTCAGTTTCGGACAACGCCTGCCGTCCGTGCTCTGTCACTTCGGTGGTTCGTTCGGCCTGACGAAGATGTTGGATCTCGGCGCCATTTTCGAGAAAGTCGCTGGCTGGAACTGTCGGGTTGGCACTTTTATCCCGGGAATCCTCACAGCGTGACGCAGTGACTTCTTTGGCTTCTCCAGGGTGAGAAACCGTGATGTTGTCATGGCTGTTTTCGTGCTGGATATCGCTGTCGCGGTCTTCTTCGTCGTCGTCATCAGAGTCTGGCACATATCCACGCTCCCTCCAGTTTGGCATCGCTACTTCTTTCCATGGTATTTGTGGGTTGGTGTAGGATATTGTCATTTGAAGCGTCCGTCGCGCGTAAAGAATGGACGACGCGTCGAGGTTGCCAAGGAGACGCGGCGTGCGGAGACGCTTCGTCGCCTCGACGCCTCACTTCGCCTTCACATTTCTTTCACTCGCACTCCTGAACATTTCCAGCTGTTCGCCTATTTACAGATCACTGCAATAATCTATGGTCAGGTGGTCTATCATTGTTCCCACATCCTTGACAAAAGCCTCGACGAGCTACCACCCACCTCTCCGAACCCCTCCTCAGTGGCACCTGAGAGCCGACTTGTCACTACACTCACATACCATTTCTCCAGACATGGTCTTCGTGGTACCTTGTAGCTGCATCCTCTTTACCTTCGGAGGTAGACACCATGAATACATTACGACGTTGCAGCCATGCGAGCAGCGTTGTGTGGCGAACAAAATATGGTGATAAATACGTTCGTTAGCGTCCGAGATGGATCACTTACACGAGCATCAAGTGACCGGAGGACCGAACGTAGCAAGGCCAGAGCTCAACTAGCGACCCACGAAATAACAAGTTCGAAAGATTACTCGAGTGGAGGGGGTTCAGCCCTGCAAGTACTCGCCGCTCCTTGGTTGAAGTTGGTTCTTGTACGAGTATCGATATATACCGAGATGACTCTGCGCCAGTCCCGCTAACGCCCCAGCTGACACGTTCAGCTTCTCTCAACTGATGTATGCACGACTCGGAGTCCGGGTGAGCTACGAGTGTTATCCTCCGACATAGAATTTCTTCTCAGCGAAAATGCCCCTCTCCCCCCTCGTCATCATCGAATTCGTCGCCGAAATGCCCATGACCTTCATGCTCAGCGCCGTCATAATATTCGAGGTCCTCCTCAGGCTCATGCTCTTGCCCATGCCCAAAATGTCCCTCCTCGTCCCCCTCCCCTCCTTCCGGCCATTCGTCTTCCATGGATCCCTGAAAGTGGCTAGGTCCAGCAACAGGGCCTCCGTGTGGAGCCATGTTATGTGTCCCAAATGCCCCTGCAAAACGACTTGCCCCAGCAACAGGTTGCTGTTGATGTTGGGGCTGCTCCATCATCATTTGCCCCATCATCCCGAACGACGGTGGACCCTGTTGAGGTGGTGGGGCGCCCTGCGGATGTATGAAATGTTGATCGAGCTCATCGTCTTCGTCTTGGTGCTCGCTGAGGTGACCGAATGAGTCCTCGGTCTGGGCGTGGGAAAACAACGACGATGGCGCATGACTCTCTTGATCGCCCATGACAGATGAGGTTGGTGTATATTTCTGGTACACAGACGATGGCGCATGACTCTCTTGATCGCCCATGACAGATGAGGTTGGTGTATATTTCTGGTACACAGACGATGCCACGTCGCTCGGGGCCCCGGTTGCCCGACTCCCGCGCTCCGCTGCGCTGGACCTGCCCGTGGATGTGGAGCCGGTGTCGAAGCTATGGTGTGTGCTCGCTGGTGCTATGCCGCGCATGGAAGATGATGGCGTGTTGTGTCCTTCATCAGGCCCGCTGTCTATACCCGCCGCGAGATGGTGTTGGGACCGGCCCGAGGATGTGGAGCCGGTGTCGAAGCTATTGTGTGTGCTCGCTGGTGCGATGCCGCGCATGGAAGATGATGGCGTGTTGTGTCCCCCATCAGGCTCGTGGTCTACACCCGCCACGCGATGGTGCTGCTGCGGCAGGGTAGAATGTGCCGGTGATTGGTGTGTGGGATTTCCCCCGAGCTGTCCGGTTTGATAGCGGTGTCTGATGTCGTCCGCCGGGGTGCCGCTGGATGGGCGGATCGTGGAGGGCGTTGTTCTAGGTAAGTGCGGCTGAAGACGAGACATGATGGCAGCAGCGGCGCTTCGTCCGAAGTCCAAATCGAAGTCACAAGTTGTCGCAAGTTTTTGGTGGTGCCAAACAACGATGCCGCTCGGCATCCCATACTTTATACATGGCCTTCATTGCCTCCGGTCCTTGTAAATCCTAATCCGACTGGACCCGAAATTCGATCTCACTGCTTGACCAGCAAACAATGTGAGAGCTTTGGAGATGGTTCAAGCACTAACGGGCTTACTCTGGTATTCGCCCCCTCCTTGCGAGGGGCTGACACGGTGTTCCAAGTTATCCTTGCTACGAATCAAGAAGCCATTCCTTTGCACGAGTGTCATCTAGCCGGACGATTATCAGAATAGTGGCTGAAGCTCAACCGCTCCCTCGATATAACGAGGGCTGAACTCCTTCCACTTGCCCATAACGAAGATCGAGCGGGCCAGTGCTTTAACTGGAAAAGGGGACTACCCTGCTCTGCTCGACCTCGCGAGCCTCGTATGACGGGAAGAGCGGCCGATTGAACGAAAAGGAAGAAGTGATGGACCGCTAATTACTATGTAGCTATCGACCGAGACTCGACGCGTTCAGGACGCCAGGTATCCGCATGCGTCGAGTAATCCATATAGTGCTGTAGTGCTAAGCCCGTCTAGGCATTCATAGCAGTATCCGGAGGACTCCATACTGACTATTGACCCGGTCACTTTCGAGAGCAAGTCTACCTAGCATTGTCATTTTTTCAAAATGCAGTCTAAATGGACATCTTCGGGCTGAATTGAGTCTTCAAGTATCCTATAAATAAACCTCCACGCATGATTTTTCACACACCGTTTCCCAACGTCGGGCCACGCTGCCCTAGCCGGTACACAACATAGTCCTTTCCGAGAGTCTGGAGTCCCTTTCCATCTCCAACCATTCATGTAATCTATACGGTGACCGTCTCCGGATTAACCCCCTTCGCCCCCTCTGGCACCACCACCAGCCGCCGCCGCCGTAAGTGTATTACTCCATCACAAACACCTGCTTTCTAATCCGTCGTATCAATGCAAGGCAAAAATAACCAAGGAACCAATGGAAGCACACTACCACCAAGAGAATCCAAAAGCCGCCCCCGCACCGTTGAGCTCGTCGGACTGGGTGTTTAGTGCGGCCAGTTCATTAATAGACGAGTAGCGGTTAGGATAATGAAGCTTAAGCATCGAGGGAGGAGAAAGGATGAGCAGTCCATCGGAGTATCGACAATGGGAGCTTTGAAACCCAGAAACCCAGTAACCCAGTAACCCAGTAACCCCTCGGTCGCGTCTACCTTGAGGCTCGGGTGTCGTAGACGTCCAAGTCAGTGACAGGACTGAGCGATAGTCCTTGGCGCACATCCGGGATGGCAGTCCTGGAATATTGACAGAGTCCTCCGTACAATTTAGCAATTCTATGGGACCAGAGAGTGGGCATTCTGCAAATAGACAACACCGGACACGACGGCAGGGCTGAGTTGGCGAAGCTTGGATACGATTCATTTGACACTGCTGTAATGGGATTCGGGGCCGTGCAGGTCACGCGGTGATTGCTCACGCTACTCTGATTCTTGCTGGTTAGGTGCTGGTGTTGCTTTGGCGCGTCTCATATAAGCACGGCTTGGCTTAAATTAGAGGGTCGCACCTGGACTCCGTGTATCTCCTGCTCAGTATTGGAGGGAGGCAAGATGAGTCGCCGGCTGTTCGGTTGGGCACTGGTCATCGGCTTCGGCGTGCTGAATGGTAAGTGCCGCCCGACTCTCTCGATCTTGCACATGCTCGCGTGCGCTGATGCCGATACTGAACTGCTGTGGCAGGCTACACGACGTTCAAGCCCGCCTTTGAAGCCCGAGAGCTGGAGAAGCTAAAGGAAGAGTGCGTCTGCGTCCCTGCGCCCTCTGTGGCCCTCCGCATACACACAAAGACACTCAGAGCATGCTAATCCAGTTCGCCCCCAATACAGGGAACGCGCCGCCTCCGACCTCGGACCCAACATGATGGAAGTTCCTGCGATGCGAAACGACGACACCACTATACTCCGGGATGGAAATGCGCAAAAATCCAAAGCTAGCTGAGAGGCCACGGCCGCAGCTGAACGTCCATTCCAAATCAACGAGACGTGGTCTGCGGGATGCCGCTCAGCCAGAGCGCCTGCGTATGTTCTAAGCTCGCGCAGCTTCCAGAGAACAGGGGCCGCGCAGTCCTAGTACATGAAGACAGTGAAGGAGGTTGACTGAACCTGAAACGGCGAGAAGGCGTCCAAGCACTCTAGATCATGCCTGTGTCGCAGCGTCGCAAATGACAGGCCAGGCCACCCGACAGGAGGCAAAATACCGGCATATCTCCTGGCATTGAAACCTATTCCAGGATGTGCAGAAATTGCGATACGTTGACTCGGAGGGAGGCATTGATTGGACAGGATTGTTGACTGACTGATGGATTGATTGAGCATATGGGATATGGACTTCCACATGACACAACCGCCGCCCAAGGTGTTGGAGTATGGCAAGTGCTTCGGAGTCGTTCTCGGACGAAGAAGATGCATCAGGTCGACTGGCCGAATTACCACGGTCAAAGAAGGACGCAGTACCCGGGGCATGAGACCTTCTGGCCAGGGGCCCGCAAGTTCATTGAAGCCTGAAGGGACAGCCCTGCTCTACCTTTGCTCGAAAAGCTCGCATGAGCCGAGAATGGTCCAGTGTAGGTACCAGAAGAGCATCATCATGCAACTAAGGCTGCTAAGAGTATGTTATGGCTACGCTTGCCGAAGGCGACAGCTTTCTGGTGAATTTCCCAAGGCTCAATGCCAGATCGTGCTCGTATCAATGCTCTCGGAGTGATAACATCGGCAAGAATCTTGTTGCTTTTGACTGCTAACCTCTGCCTCAAGTCTTGCCCGGGAAAACTTTCATGAAGCAACTAATTTATCAAACATCTCTAATGCCAGATGAGATGAGGCCCGTCTACTACTTACTCCACTTCCTGGACAAGGGAGCCATTGCCTGGTGACAACGGCGGTCCAAAGTAGCGGCCGACTTTCTTGCCCAACCATTCCTCAGGGACACCCAATTTGACACCGTCTTTCGTGCTAATCCACCGGGTATAGATGGGATTGGCTCTCAGATAGACGTCGTCTTCCTCGTAGGGCGAACCGACCGCCGCTGCAGCCGCCGCCGCCGCCGCTACTAATGTCTCGGGCTTTGGTGCAGCTCCTCTGGTCTTGGATACTTGAGGTTTGAGCTGGCGTGTGGTCAGCAGGAGCGTAGATAGAATTAAACACACAAAGTCACATACCAGTCGATTCAAGGCGGCAGTCTTCTCCTCCTGTACTTTTCGCTTCGTCAACTCCTTGCGCTTTCTGGCATGTTCGTCCTTCTTCATGGCTTTCTCGGCGTCGGTGAAGAACTAAAATTCGGTTAGTGGTGAGATTGAACTGTCAATGGTTACCCAAGCAGGGTCGTACCTTTCGCTGTTGGGGTGCCATATCCAACGCCATCAGGGTCCCTTGGTCCTCGGGTCTGCCTCGCTGCCTCTTCGTCATTCTACTCAGATCGGGAGTGGCAGATCCAGAAGCAGGGGTCTCGTCGCTGCTGTCGTCGAGGTCGTTTGCATCATCATCATCATCCTCTTCCTCGTCCAACTCAGCTCCAAGTTCTTCGTCTTCGGCAGGCGCGTCTAGGTCGAGCGCAACCTCTTCCTCCTCGCCCTCGGCGTCTTCGTCGTTGAGATTTGTCTGCTCTTCGTCGTCTTCGTCGGAGAGGTCAGATGACTCTTCGACCTCGTCGTCATCTGGGTCATCCTCCATTTCCTGGTCCTCGACGGACTTGACCGGGCCGACTTTCGCAGGAGTGACGATCAGCTTCGGTTTTGCGGATTGCTTGCTGTCTACCAAAGTGGGGGGCTTCAGGGTGATCTTGGGCGCTTTGGCGACTGTGTTGCGCTTAGACGGGCGTAGCGGGGGTGCGTCTTCCATCTCGACGTCCTCGTCGTCAGTGTCACCTTCGGGCTCGGCACCAAGCTCATCAAAGTCATTCCGCGTGCCACCGTGCTCTTCCTCATCCGCGTCATCCTCGTCATCCTCTTCGTCTTCGTCTTCGTCTTCATCTTCGTCGTCGATGTCGCTGTCACCGAACTCAGCATATTTAGATCGCCGATGAGTTTGGGGTCCGGTTCTTGCAGCCAAGGTTGACCGTCGACTGCTTCGTGGCCCATCCAGGACCTTTCCTCCGCCGAGTGTGTCGTGGAGGGATTCCACCTCATTAGCCCGCATGACTTCTCTCAATTTGCTCGGAGGAGCCTTGACGGTCAACTTGAGACTTTGTCGCCGGTCTTCCGACGTGCCAGATCCTCGCTGAACCGTGGCCGAGGAGATGTTGTTTGAAGGTCCTGACGCCCCGGAGCGCCGTGGTCTGGACGCCGCCGGAGTCGAGGCTGCCGAAGATCTGGAAACATGGTTAGCTCCTGTTTTGTGCTTCGTTCGGTAGTACAAGGTAACAAAAGCCATGGTCAAAAGGAAATTTATCTGCTGCTCGTTCTCCGATCACCAGGCGCCGTAGGAAGTTCTACTGCTTGCAAGGATGCAATCGAACAAAGGCCGGGGTTAGGAGCGATTTGATTGACTGGAGGTTGACGAGGATGCTGGAGATCACTCTGCCTTCACTTGCTTCCCGGTGTCATAGTTGTGGTGCCAGCGGAATGGTGTGTCCCCGCGTGGTTGAGACCACCGCCCTGGCAGGGCCTCGACTGTAACAGCCCAGAGAAACCAGGCGCGTCCATGCAGAACGGCAGCGCAGTGAAGTGAATTGGAGGATTTGGCCGCGAACAGTGAAAAAGGGAACTCACTCATGTCTGCCTGCTCGTCTCATTGAGTCGACCCTTCTTGGACTGTAATCTTCACCGCTGGACTGGTCAGAGTCGTCTGAAGGGTCATCGGTGGCATCGCTAATCTGACGTCGCACACGTCGGGGTCTATCTGTCATGGTGTCAAGGTTCCAGGCTCGGCTAAAAGCCAAAGCTTCTCCGCTGCGGTTTCGCTCTTCGGCGTCTCCAGTGGCTCTGAATCCCTCTGAAGTCCTTGTGTCCTCGCGTATTCTTGTTGGGTGGCATCCACTACCCGGACAAAATCCTGGGCTTCACGTCTGTGCAGGCAGATTTTCTGACGTGGATGTTATCTCTGCAGCCGGCTGCACCAAAGAGATATATCAACAACCTGGATTTTGATGCCAGGCTCTCGAAAGACCCGTGGCGTGGGAAATGGAATCTGGGTGTGGCTGTTCTCCGACCAGACGTGTGGCTGATGTGGCGGGTGTGGCTGGTGACCCCTCAGCCCTATAACTGCGATGAGCCGAGGCTGGAAATGATCCGTCATCTCTCTTGGTCGTGTTCTGCTTGCTGGCTGTTCGCGCGCCGTTCAACCCTGGCGGTCCAGATACAGGATGTCAGACCAAGACTCAAGAAGGGCGCCTGCCATTCCGACATGGCAGCAGAGCTGGCAATCCAGCACCAAAGAACAGACGACCCATTCCGGCGATCAGTCGTCATCGGAGCAAAGCACGACGCAACCCTCGTTACCCTCGGAAGCACCTCTACTCGAGCAAGCGCAAAAGTCGTTGGAGGACGAATCAATACGAGATGCGTCTCGAGAAAGCAAGGTCGAGTGCTTGCAGAAGAAGGGTCTACAACCCGATGAGATAGAAAAGCTGCTGGGTCCTGAGCCGGCCGCATCTTCAACCGCCACCGACGAGGCCTCGGAATTGAAAACAATTCACGACACCAGCCCGAACCCCGGTATAAGAGAACAAGAACAAGCAGTACCCTCACAATCATCGGCGCCCCAACACGAACCGACGCCCACGCCCTCTGCGAAGCGGGACGTCCCTCCAATAATTACCTACCCAGAATTCCTACTCAAACCACAGAAACCTCCACCGCTCGTCACATTCGACCGCCTGGCGAACGCAGCCTATGTTTTGGCCGGCGTATCAGCTTTGACATGGGGCGCCAGCAAATATCTCATCCAGCCTATGCTCGAATCCCTTACTGAGGCGCGACATTCACTGGCCGAGACAGCCAAAGCGGACCTCGAGACCCTCAACACGAAACTCGAGTCCACCGTCTCACACATCCCCTACATACCCAGCGTTTCCGCTCTCCATTCTCAACAGCAAAAGCCCAAGGACGACGACCTGGAATCCACAGACTCGGATCCCACCGAGCTCTTCCACCGTGACATCGCGACCCAGACATCACCCCACCCGACGCACACAACGTCGCTCTGGTCCGACGATGATGATGCCCTACCTGCACAAGATCCCACGACGTCACAATCGTCCCGCCTGCGCAGTCTGCACTCCACCCTCTCTTCTCTTCTGAGTTCGCAAACAACGCAATTCTCCCAAGACCGCCTCCAAGAATCAATGTCGGATTTCCAATCGACGCTCGACAAGTTGGAAGCGAGCTACAACCCTTTCCAAGTCGACTATACCAGCAGCTTCTCAAGTTACAGCGGGCCTGGAGCAGGCGACAAGAGCGGTGGTGATAAGTCCGCCAAAAAGGACGCCTCGGAGGCCACCAAGTTCAAGAACGAGATTCGAGCCCTCAAGGGCGCGTTTCTGAGTTCCAGGAACTTTCCCACCGCACGGCCGGCCCAGCCGTTCATGCTGCCGCCACGGTGAGGTCGATAGACCCGAGCATATGACGCGGCCTCATGCCTCGATTGGATATACTGTACAGTATTGTACGGCGTGCAGGAATGGAGGATTTATCTCAGGGCCATGGACTTGCTCGTTATTTGAATATACGATATGTGATCGCCGATGTCTCGGCACGGCGGACTAAGAAGTCCAAGTTGAACGCTTCAATTTTTCCTGCTCTTCTGTCTGCTCTTTCCACCATCTCGACCAAGTCCGTCGTCGTAACCGTACCGGTAGTATCCCTCTTGCTTTCTTCTAGAAGGCGACCAATGCTATCTGAAAGCTGCACGGGTGATGGAAGGACCAGTACTCCGTCCTCCGTATGGTATAAGAGTGACAATTCATCACAACAGGGGATCGTCGTCTTGGCGTCTTGCTCATTCACGGCAGGCTATGGAGGAGTGATTCCAGAGACGTGCTTGAGTGCCAGGGGATATGGGTCCTACACGTCGAAAAGAGCGCGAGCGTACAGTAGCATAGCATCCCCGAAACAGAATACTGCACTGACGCGCTCGAGGTGTCTGTATCCAAGAGGAGGTCAGCTGAAATACAATACTGGACTAACGTGCTCGAAGCATCTGAATCCGAGAGAGGTCAGCTGAAATATAATACTGTCCTGTCGTGCTTGAGGTATCAGCAGAAATATAATACATACTGTACTGACGTGCTCGAGGCATCTGTATCCGAGAAATGTCAGCTGAAATATAATACTATTATCGTGCTCGAGGTACTGTATCCATCCAAGAGCAGTCGATCAGCCAGTCGATCGCACAGCACGTTCAAAGAAGTATATCGTGCACTGACGTCAACTTTGGACTCTGGATGATCAGCTACGACGTAGAGTACATTACAGTACTTCTTGCGTACCATATGTCCGTGGTGTGTACGGAGTAGCAGTATCAAGAATCGAGACTCAAGCATTGGGAACAGATCCGTCCCTCCTCTGCAATATTGGAATGGCAGTGGCACGGATTGAGCCTGGAACTCAACAGAATACCTCATGCAACGTTGACCCGTTTCATTCATCTACTGTACTCATCCAGTCGTCCTCGTCGCCTATTCGCAGTGCAAAGCATGCTTACCTATATGGAGTAATTACTCGCTCTGGACCTTTCGAGTCCAGCACTCCACCCACAACCCCCCTCCTCACTTACTCATTCCTTACCGTCCCCCTTTCGCTGCCCCCACGCTCGTGGCTTGTCCCCGCTGTCGTCTTCCTGGCGGGCACTCCAGCGAAGCCACGCCGCGCACAGGCCCAGCACGAGCACCGTCAAGGGCACCGCGACGGCGAAATAGATCCAGAACGACCCCGCGACGCGCATCGTGCGCTGCGTGCCCTCGAGGTTCGGGTCGTCTTCGTCGTCGCCCGTGGCGGCGAAGTCGAAAAATCCCATGCTGAACAGCGAACAGACGAACGTCGCCGGGAGGAAAACCATGGTCAGGATGGTGATGGCTTTCATGGTGTTACTGTCAGCGCGGGACGCCCGGGCGAGTCGAATCATCGTGAGGGCGTCGGTCGCCGAGATTGTCGAATCGATCTGTGTGGGTTCACGGTGAGTTAGGTCGGGTCGAACAGATCAAACCAGGAAAGTGCCATCAAGTAATATCAATGACGTCTGGGAACAGCGGGGCGTGGACTCGTGTTGGGAAGGAAGGACGCGGGAAATCCAACATACGACCCGAAGCTGCACTTTCAGCCTCTTCTCCAAGCCGCGCAGCTGCTCCAGCGTCCACGTCGACATGCTTGCGTTGAACGTGAGACTCGCGCGGACGTAGTCGGCCTGTTGTTGCCGGGTTGGGACTCTGTCGTTGTCGGGTCTCGCGGATAAGAGAGCTGCAAAAGCCTGCTCCTCGGTGACTATAAAGGCCGCGCACTTTGCGTGAAATGAGAAGCAATGATCTGCCATGACGATCAGGGCGTCTTGCATGTGCAGCTCTCGCTGCAAGAGTACGTACTCGCCTATCTTGGCTCTGGTCCTGGACCCGAAATTGTGCAGGGAGACGCCGGAGCGGTTTTCGATCCGGCAGACGGATTGGTCGATGTCGCCTCGGTCATCCTCGTTTGCGATGCGCATGTGTTCGAGCAGAAGGGCGGCAGGGGTGAAGGCGTAAGGGCCAGACGAACTATATGACAGGGGAGAGTGGCTGAACACGTCGAAGAGTCGGTCGACCAGGATTTGGGCCTGCGTGGCGGAGATGATGCACGTCGTGTGCCCCGTAGCGAGGGAATGGCACATGAAGAGCGAGCCGTTCGAGAAGGGCCCAAAGGGAAACTTGACCATCAAGTCTGCTTCAGCGTCAGTCTGAGTGTTGTACTTGCCGAGACTGTGCGCACAATAATGGGTGGCGAGGCCCGTGTGCCCTCTCAGGACATAGGACGAGTAGATGCCGTTGTTGTTCGACAGGACCTCGAGATACGAGGGCGGCACATGACAGCTTTCGAGCAGCTGGGCGAACGCCGCTGGTGTCAATGCAATTTGCTTGCGAGGGAGGCATCTGGTGAAGCTTCGGTTCACAATATCATCAGCACAGGCCTCGAGACAGACTTGCCAAAGACACCGACTTACAAGACCGTCAAGCCAGGTTCATGGCTCGATGTGTGATTTCTCTCGACAAGCTTCGCACATTCGACATCCTCACGGTCTGCCTGCCTGTGTCAGATTTCTGTCTGCGACCACGCCGTGACTCCGTTCCCTGCTCGTCGTAGCGCAAATGAGCTGTGTAAGAGGAGCCGAACTAACAAGGAATGCCCCTCTGAACGGTCAGTCGATGGACCGATTTCTCCTCTCCAAACGAGAACTCTCTAAACAACTCTTGAAAACGCGCTTGTCCGCCGAGAATGTGCGAGTGCGGCTGAGCTTCGTAGAGCAGATGAGAGATGCCACTGGCTTTTACAGCCACGGCCTTGCTATCCGTGACAGCCATGATATTGTCATGCCTAGGAGCTCATGGAAGCCCTTGAGAGCAGCATGCTAGGGACCTTCCCAAGATGGCTGCTCGAGTGCCGTGGACGAGCCTTACATGGCGTTGTCGTCGACTCCTTCGAGATTGCAGTTCCTGTAAAATACGGGAGAGTGTGTGTACAGGAATACCATTTCCCTCGAAGCTCCATCTCGCAGTCGAGTCGCGGCTATAATCATCGCGCACGAGCCCATCACTGCGTTCATGTATTTTCGTAGGTGACTGCGAATAACCTGACGCCACACTATTTGTGCCCGGCAGCAGCCCATAGATGGCGTGAGTCGCCATGTCCACGGTCATGAGCATGAAGCGAAGGTGACGACGAAAGACTATCAGACATGTACATCCCCAGACAGATCCGCGGTTCTGCGCCCCAGCTTCTATGTGGGATCCGGCACGGGTACGCAGTCCACTGTATATGGCTCACAAGAACAACACGCACACAGCCGAACACAGAAATGAACGGACGAGCCGAGATGGTGGGACAACCGAAGCTCCGAAGTCAAGGTCAAGTCACGTCAAGTCACTCGCATTGCATGCCTGGTCCGGCAACGAAGGATCGATACCCACACAGACCAAACCGACATGAGCAGTTGCCACTACGTATCTGTTCCGCAGTCATGGGAAGGATCTAACGGTTCCCTCGCTTCGAGACTCGGTCCATCCGAATCGAACCCCATGACCCGGCACTGTGCCACAAGGGTCACGCAGATCAAAGCCTGATTACTATGCACAGTACACAGTAGTTATAGGAACCGGTCGACCTCCGCACCGACGGCTGGGCCGGTCATATTTAATGCGCCGAGGCGATGGTCTCAGTACCGGGGAACCAGGGAAGGTCAGCAGCGGACTTTAGGGAGACCCTGAAAGGACAGACACGGGATGGGTGCATGATCCCTTGTGAGCATCGGTGGTGCCGGTGAAGAGGATGAATCAAATTCGTCACCCCGAGCACAAGTCCCAAGGAGGAGACAGCTATGCATTGAGGATAGCGCTGCCCTGTGATATGCATGCTGTGCACAGCAGTGGTTTCAGGCACATCGAGCCCCGCTGGAATATTTGTTCATAGACTGGGGAGAAGCTATGCTGGACATTGAAGACACGCCGAACCATCGGACTGGAGGATAGTGAGTGCACAAGAGACTCCTAGTCGCGTGGGACTGGTTCTCAAGGTCTGGTGCTCTGATGAGCGTCAAACGGAGTTCATTATCGATCTTCACTGCATAACTACTTGGTCATGTACTCGTCGCCCATGGGGCCACCGGGCATATCGCCCCAGCCACTTCCTCCTTGCTGGGAAAGAAGTGGATTAATTGTGGGTTAGGTCCCTTTGCATGCCCTCGACCTTTCCCTTTAGCACCTGCCACAGTATCACAGAGAGAGATAGGGGGAGGAGCCCGGCTCCCACCGGCAACTCCATTGCCACACTGGTCACTGGAACCGACTCTCATTGCTTTATCGCAATGTGGCTGAGATCATCAAGCCATCCACTTTCCAAGCTTGAGTACTAGGCCCTCCTTGAAAGGTGTCTGCCAGAGGACCCTTCAGGCCGAATGCTTTCTCGGCCTCAAAATGACATTATAATTCTTGTCCGGCTTCAAAATCGTAAACTCTTTGGTGCCCAACACAAGATTGGGATCTTCCAGCTGGATATTGTATCTCAACAGCAACGTCGCAATCATCTTGATGACGAATTGATTCGCCACGTTTCGACCAATGCACTGTCTGCTTCCAAATCCGAAGCCTAGGAAACACGTCTTCATAGTGGCCAAGTCAGCCTTCTCGTCGAACCAGCGGTCGGGATTCCAGGTATTGGGGTCGCGGTAGACACTGGGATTGCGGCCGATTGAGAGTGCAGGTACGCCAACGTCAACGTTGCCAGGAACATAGACGCCGCAGATGACCGCGCCTTGAGGGGGAGTCAGGCGCGGCATGGAGTAACCGATAGGCGGGTGCATCCGTAAGCACTCGATCTCTGTCGCCTCGAGGAGGCTGAGCTTGTTCAATGACGAAAATGGAAGAGGGGTAGCAGCGTCGAGGTTATCGGGAAACATCTCCTCGAGTTGGCTGATGATTCGTTGCCTTACAGATGGGTTCTTTTGAAGATAATAAGTCATCCAATTCATGGTCACCGAGCCTGTGCTTGCGCCGGCAACCATCAATGAAGACGCCTCCGCTCTGAGCTCTGGGAATCCCATTCGCTCGCCGGTTTCTGGGTCCTGGGCCTCGATAAATCGCTGCATGATGTCCTGTCGTGGCTTGCCACCAAGAGGGGCTTGGTTTCGGTTGTCCTGAAATCGACTCTCCAGGGCTTGCCTTGCATAGTCGAGATATTCAAGCCGTGCCTGGTACAGCTGTTGGATATATGGTACAGGTACCCAGCTGAGAACCTTCACATTGTATTTGCCGAACGGCAACAGACCACTCAAATTGGCAAAGCGCTGAGACAGCTCTACGAGCTTCGAGTACTTGACCGGTTGGCCGCCCTGAATGGCGCCAAAGTTGCGACCAAAAGCCAGTTCGCCCATCAGGTCCATGGTGAAGAGCTCGAACCAGAAGTAAATGTCGAACGGCTGACCGGTGCTGGCAAACTCGTCCATCTTCTGAATGAAGATCTGCATCACGGCGTCGACATACGGCTCGAAAGAGTAGAGTGACTGCATGCTGAACCCATGCGAGACCATGCGTCGCTTCCGCGCATGATTCTTCTTCGACCGGGTCGAGAACAAGGACTCGCCAGTAGTCGAGAAGGCATCATACCAGCTTGACTTGCCAAACTCCTCGGCTCCCTTGCCATGGCCTGAGACGCTTGTCAGTCTGGGCACAGATACAGCTGGATGGTTTGACATACCGTAGATGGCCTTGACGGCATCCGGGTGGTTGAACGACACGGCATTTGGTCGGGTCCTTACCGCCACGGAATCCGGATATTGAGCAAACAGTTCATTAGCCCATTCAGCTCGTCTTTTGTCTTTCAAAGCATTCGCTTCCGGTACGTCGGATATTCTTGTGATCCATGGCCCGGGAATCTTGCTCATTGGCGAGAAGAATAACCGGTAAATCAGCAGCAGCGGATAGTACGCCACCAGCAGAATGGCCGGCATCCATAGTAGGACGGAACGAGTGACAGCCGTTTCAGCCATCAGAGCAGTTATGCCTCGGTCAAATTGGTATCCCACAAATTACAGCCCGTGGTTTCTGGGTAGTTGATTATATACGCAGGACAAAGGGAGCGTCCGGGGCAAGATAAAAGACGAGCAACCTTCCCCATTATAATCTGGGCCTTGTCAGCAATGGTGTCGGCAGTGTCAAGATGGCCAGAGGGAGATTCAGGTGGGATTCCCCCGCAAGCAGACGTCCAGCCCCACGAATCTGGCGAGACATCCTCCAGCGGAGCCACGCGGAGAATGACCGGGCTTTGTGGGGTCTTAGACTTCCGGACGAGGTTCGATGCCGGGGTCTGGCACCGGGGTGCTGGCCAACTCAAGCACGCCTAAGCTTTTAACCCAGTTGCTTCTGAAGGGGGCGGCGTTCATTGGACCAAAGGCTGGTTTGCCTGCCGGTTCCACAATCATTAAACGCTCATGTGCTTGGGTTCCCGGAGAGACCAGACGCCTAGTAGCTAGACCAACAGGACCCCGAAGATCAAGCTTCGAAGGCCATATTGGTCTAGAGCTGAGGCAGGGAAAGCCATGGGAATGCGGCCTCCACATGGCAGATATCTGACAAGGTGACGGGGTTGATCAGCCACATTGGAGAAATCGAAGTCGATACAAAAAGTGGTGACTCGTCTCACTCTGCTTCCCCAGACTTTTCATCAGCTCTTCTTCCTCCTCTTCCTCCTCCTTCTCCTCCGCATCCCGCATTGTAGCCTGTATCTGTCAGCACCGGTGCCCACCATGAGCGAGACAGTAGAGCACAAGGCGGCTATGGACCACGAGATCGAAGTTGCCCACAACGAGGGCAAAGCGGTCCCGGCCGGATATGAAGACTCGCACAAAGCTGCGCTCGAGGACAATCCAGAGCATGCTGAAAAGCTTAGTCTCTCGGTCATGCTCTCTGCTCTTTTCCTTGGGACGTCTTTCACCGGTCCTATCATTTTCGGCTTTATCCTGGCAACGCCCATTCTGGTTCAATTGAGCCAAAAATTGGGCGGCGAGAACATCGACTTCTGGATTCCGTCTGGCTGGGGTGCCGCCGCCGCTGTCGGTTTCTCGATTGCAGGAAGGCTGTCCGACGTCTTCGGTCGACGATATGTGATACTCGTCGGGCAGCTTCTCACCATTGTAAGTCCTCCCCTTCTTGTTCAGGTCCGATTACAGCGCGAGAGTTCCTGTCCCAGAGGTATTCCCCAGCCCGGGAACGGGGATGCTTGAGTCCGCGCATTTGACCGCAGGGCTGTTGCTAACAGTGAGTCAGATCGGTGGTGCTGTTGCATGCAGTGCGCAGAGTATGAACCAGCTTATTGCTGGCGAGGTCATCCTGGGAGGTTCTATTGGCACAGTATCCGTGGCCTATGCTGGTAAGCATGCTCTCTGCCTCGATTGACAGCATCGTCCTGAGACTTGAACAGGTATTTCAGAAATCTTGCCCAACAAGTGGCGTGGTGCTGGTCTGGCCTGGACCGAGTTCAACCTCGCCACCTGGGCCATTGCAGGAACGCTCCTTGCCAATGCTCTTCTATCTCACGCCAGCTGGCGAGTCATGTACTATATCGCGTAAGTCTTTCTACTGCCAGACAGAGCCAATCTCTTTGGACGTGGTTGGCCTGATCTTTCTGTCAACATCGGAACAAGCTGACCTGTATGTGTAGAATGGGATATGGCGGATTCTCGCTCGTCGGGACGTTCCTCGTGTATTTCCCACCCAGTCACCCGCGTCCCGATGGCAAGACCAAGTGGCAGGAATTCAAAGAACTCGATTTCATCGGCACTTTCCTCTTTGTCGCTGGTCTAGCCGTGTTCCTCTACGGCCTGAATTCCGGTGGCAATACCTATGTGAGTCATTCGTCCTTATGGCGACGTCTCTCGTCTCTGGAAGAGGCGTCACCGTTGCTGTATTGGTGGTCATATTAGCTAACGGTCATTTGCAGCCCTGGAAAGCAGCAGGTACTCTTGCACCGCTCATACTCGGCCTCTTCGTCTTTCTGGGAGCTTTCGCGTACGACTTCACCATGGCGAAGGACCCCCTCTTCCCGTGGTACCTGTTCAAGAGCTTCCGAAACTTTTCGTCACTGCTCATGCTCGTCTTCGTCGCGGGCATGGTGTTCTTCGCCGCCTCGGCGCTCAACGCTCAGACCATCCTGTACCTTCATACGGCAGATCCAATCAAGATCGGTGTTTATTCAATTCCGTCTGGGTAAGGTTCCGCGGCTGATAGATGATGAGAGTTCTGGCTAACAACAACATAGCGCTGGTCAGCTCGTCGGAGGCGTCATTATCCCGGGATTGGTTCATTATATCAAGCATGTCCACATCCAACTCACCTTCTCGGTTTTCATGCAAACGCTCTTCTTCGGCCTTGCCGCGCTCATCACGCCTCACAACCTCAACTGGCTCATGGCAGTGCAGTTCCTCGCCATGCTTCCGTTCGGCTGGATCACGCTCAATTGTTACACGACAGCTTCGCTGCATGTGCCCCAGCGCGATCTGGGTGTGGCAATCGGATTGATTGGCACATTCCGCTCTTTGGGAGGAGCTGTCGGTTCGGTCGTTTTCTCGTCCATTTTCAACCAAGTCTCGGCGAAAGAGGTCGCCAAACGCATCGCCAACACAGCCGTGGCGGGAGGTGTCTCTGCAGACACTATTCCGGACCTGATCGAGGCGGTATCGTTGACTCTTGTCGGCGTTCCAGGCCAGGCTGCCACCGTGCCCAGCGTGTCAGCATCATTATTTAACAATGCCGTTGAGGCAGCTCGTCTGGGCTATGCCTATGGTTTCCGCATCACATGGTTGGCTTCGATTCCCTTCGGTGTCATTGCTATGGTTTGTGCAGTGGCAGTCCGAGATCCTTCGAAATACTTCACGAACCATGTGGAAGTTCACCTCGAGAAGGAGATCGGCGGGGCTAAGGCGAAGCAGACGAAGGAGGTTGAGCAGTAGTACTGTCGATGTCGGTCGTACATAGGCTTTAGGGCTGCGCCAGCACCACAGTCATGTATTTTCAGGCGAGTATTCGCCGACAATAATCATTGTTTGAGTGACACAATATTTTGTTGGTATCGACGGGGTGACGGCCAGGGCCATTGTCAAGAAAATCCGCGTCCTGTCAACTGTGGCCGTGTGTGGCTAGTTAGTAGCTGCCACTCCACTGTCCTGGGAAGCTTTCCTGAGGGTTACATGTGGCGCACCTGTGAATGCTAGGGACGGGAAGCTGCGGAACTTAGAAACACACCGGCCATCAGAGGGCTGAACCAGGTGAGGCCTAGCCGTGAAGATGATTTGGTAAAGGCTTTCCTGATGGGACCCCGGTCCTCCCGTCAGGGACAAATCGTACGTGACGAATGGATGAAGAACAGCAAAACTCGCACCCCGCTTTGAAAACAAAAATTTTAGTGGGAGAAGAGAACAAACGCGGTTCACTCGAAGCAGTCACAAGACGAACTTGAAGACTTCATTTATCGGACGGCTTCTTCGTTGTCGCTGCCCGATTCTTTTTCAGTCCGAATTGCTCCTTCTTCCTCTTCTTTTCTTCACTGAACGCTACAATTCTCGCGCTCGTTTCCCTTCGCACTCTTCAACGACAATTGATTGGTACCCCGCGTGCTATCGCTCGTTTCCCTGTTCCGACCTTCCACACCAGCTCACCCTTGAAAATGGCCGAGATCACACATCCCACCATCAAAGGTATGATCTCTTATCTTCTGCTGCCGTGAGAGAAAGACCATTTCTGACATACTCCCCCTCAGATGGCTGGTTCAGGGAGATCTCGGACATGTGGCCGGGCCAGGCGATGACCCTTAAGGTCAATCAAGTCCTGCACCACGAGAAGTCCAAGTACCAAGACGTCCTGGTCTTCGAAAGCAGTGACCACGGCACCGTGCTTGTCCTCGACAACGTCATCCAGTGCACTGAGAGGGACGAGTTTTCATACCAAGAGATGATCACACACCTGGCGATGAACTCCCATCCAAATCCTCAGAAGGTCCTTGTCATTGGCGGTGGTGACGGAGGCGTTCTTCGAGAGGTCATCAAGCACGAATCTGTGGAGAAGGCCATCCTGTGCGATATCGACGAGGCTGTCATTCGTGTCAGCAAGAAGTACCTTCCTGGCATGTCCATTGGATACCAACATCCTGCGGTGGAGACGTTCATTGGCGATGGCTTCAAGTTTCTCGCGGATCGCAAGAACGAGTTCGATGTCATCATCACGGACAGCAGTGATCCCGAAGGACCTGCAGAGACGCTTTTCCAGAAACCTTACTTTGAACTCCTGTACGGAGCCTTGAAAGATGGTGGTGTTATAACTACCCAAGGTTGTGCGCACCCTTCTCCCTACACATCTCTTTGAGCTCGCAGGGCTCTGTTCTACGAAGGTTGACCTGATGACGCTGCTAACACTGTGATTCCTAGCCGAGAACCAATGGCTTCATCTGCCGCTCATTAGCAAGCTCAAGAAAGACTGCAAGGAAGTCTTCCCGGTGGTCGAATACGCTTACACCACGATCCCCACGTATCCGTCCGGCCAGATTGGCTTCATGGTCTGCTGCAAGGACTCGAACCGAAATGTCAAGGAACCTCTGCGATCATGGACTCCTGAGGAGGAGGAGAAGTATTGCAAGTATTACAACAAGGAAATCCATAGAGCGAGCTTCGTCTTGCCTACCTTCGCCCGCAAACAGCTGAAGTAGAAATGTACATGCAGGAGGGGGATTTTTCGAGTTATTCAGGACGGCGAGGCCAGCATGATACCAGGGTGACTTGTGTCTTCTACATCGTTTTCGGTTGGCGTTGAGAATAATCCCGTGCAAGGAGGCACCACGCACACATGGGGAGATAGAGATTTGGGACGAGGCTATGCGTACGACTTTGAATGACAGACACAGCTATGATCCAACACAGCTTTGAGTGGCACGCTCCCTCAGTGCCACTTCACCCCGCCAATGACAAGAATTTGAGATCGCAACTCCAACATGACTTCACAGTGGACCTCTCAATGATGTCATACGAAATCCATTCGATGGCCTTCGCGTTGATCAATTGCACAGTATTTCTACACTTGCACCATGGTCTCGTGCAATCTTCTCCTTCCTTAATTTCATGAGACAGTTGAGATCTTCACCTATCTGCACATAAAATCTCATTCTTACCAGCCACACTCGAGAAACGCAACTTGAAACTCTCCAACATGTCTTTCACAGCAAATCCTCGAGCACCCAAGCCTGAAGACGTCGGAATCGCCCAAGAACCAACAGGTGCAGTCGCTGCCGACTCCCTGGCAGCAGAGTCTCTGCATAACAAGGGTGCGTTCGCCGAGAACACGAACGCAGCAGTCCTGGGCGTGAAGGGCAATCAGTCCACTCTCAACAATGCCGATACCTCCGGAGCCACTGCTCTTCCTCCGGCTACTGACGGCTCCTACCGTGAAAAGAAAGATGCCCTAGGCCAAGGGGCAGATGTAAAAGGTGTCACGGGATTGAAGTACCCAGAGGGTGCGGGTAAGGCACAATTTGATGGCCACCATAGCGGCCAAGGTGCCTACTCCGGCGGCGGTTCAAGTGCATTCAACCAGACAGGAGCTGGAACCGGGCTTGGTGGTTCGACTGGTGGACCGGCAGGATCGAGTGATTTCGGCGCATCTACGATGTCGTCGTCCGCAGGCGGTCCTGATCAATCTCAAATCCGATCTGGCGACGCAGCAACCAAAGGTACTTCTGGCACCGGTGGTGGCGCTGGAAGTGGTTCAGGTAGTTCAGGTCCTGCAGCAAGCCAAGGGATTCGTCCTCACGTAGATGCTGCACCCGGCTACGTTACCAACGTCACCGGTCAGGCCATGTCCGACAGCACCTTCAAGCCGAAGGGTGCCAACCTTGAAGACGCCGACCAATCGGAGAGCATCCCAAAGACAAAGACCTTTACCGGTGCTATCGGCACAGTGAACGACCCCGGCAGGCTTGCGGAAAGAGAATTCGAGGGACGAAACGAGGATCCGGTGGGTGAGCTTGGCCAGGCTGGTACAGAGGGTGGCCGGTCGAGACAGAAAGGTGAGGAGAGCCAAGCTGGTGAGGCCGGACAGTATGGTGTCTTGCAAACCGAACGCGCATAAGGGTACACCATGAGGATTTAGTCCGGAAGAGATTATGGAAGTAGAGGTCTTGGGCGGGAGCAGCCTCCTCGCTGTCACATATTGTGTACTATTCTGCATGCTGGGGCATTCAGGACTGGGGTCTTTAGCTCGACTTTCTTCACATAGAAGGGTCAATGAGAAGTAATGACAAGCCTCAGGTTCAATGATGACGTACTCACAGCTAAGCAAAGTATATTTCAGAGCGCTTCCCTTGACCGTGCGACGGTTCTCAGCCGAAAGGAGATGGCCAGCAGCAACATCTGGTACCAAGGTCTTGATTTGCTAGGGCAAATAGCTGGTTGTCCAGGTACTCGATAAGTTTACTGACCTCACACGCATTCGGCAGATACAAGTGGATCTTGCCCTATGCTTGGCTAGTCCCGTTTCCTCTCGAATGCTGCGAGCCTTCAATGCTTGAAAGATCGTTGTCGATGGTCACGATGAACCCTGTAGTAAGGCGGTTGAGCTTGTCTCGTTGCCGCCCCGTATCGAACCAACCTCATCGTAAGTGACTCACTTGGCTCTTATTAGCAAGAGGCCCGCAAGATTGCTCTCAAAGAGAGTTCAGCCATCTCCCAGGCTCTAATATGCCTCGACATTCGCGCAGCCTCGTCCACATCCCCTTCACTGACCGACCAGACCCACGCTCACCAGTCACCATTCACTTCACTTTTTTTTTATCCCATATATTTTCTGAGTTTCGAAATTCTCCTGCAAATTCCTCTCGGGCTTGGATCAAACTAGCACCGGGCTAGAAGGCGTGTCAGAGACGAATTTGCACCAACACCCTGACTCCGACCGACTTCGACTTCGAGTTCAACTCCCAACAACAACAAATCCGACTGACGCCGATACCCGTCCGAATCCGTCCAGAGGCAGAAACATGAACAAGCATGACCCTCCTTTACCTACTTGACAAGCCAAAGTCAAATCGGCGGCCATCTCAGGATGTCTGCGAGTTGGGAGTAGCCTGGTACTGGTTCGAAACCGCCAGGTATAGCCCAATCAGAGAGTGGCAGTTGTTGTGAATGAAACTCTTACGATATACAACTTCCGTTCGGATGGAGGTTGTCGTAGAGTTTTTGTCGCTGGAGGTCCTGTTTCGCTCTCTTTGCCCTTGCTTGTGTACGAGATAGTTAGCGAGTATAGACTACTCGCTCTAAGTGTCATCGACTTATCCTGGACATCGTAAAAGCCAGACGACTCCTTTAGATATCTCTATCGCCGTCTCGGCGTTTTCAGACCTAAAGATTCATCATCCGTAACGGACACGTAAGAGCACAGCCATTTGCATGGGGTTGCCTCTTGAGCGCCGAGGCTCGTCAGATGACTGGATCAGAGATGGCGCATGGACTTGCGTCGCACCTGAGCCTCATTCACAGGCACCGTTGTACCGGGTAAGAAGAACAACCCAGGCCTGCAAGGGCGTGCGGGCCGAGGCGGACACGAACTGAACAGACACCGCTACGTGATCAAGATGGCACAGCAAGGTAGCGAGGATGAGAATGGAAGAAGCTCCGAAGCCAAAGTGGCAAGTGCTCAAGTGGTGAAGAGGCTCAGCTCGCGGCCAAGAGTCTTGCGAGCCGCGGAAGAATGGAATTTTCCGGCGCCGGCGATAATGGAATTGTCAGCGTTGAAGGCGAGTTGTCAGTGGCGGGGGAATTGCATGCGCAGCAGGAGTTACGGGTTACGAGTACTTCGCAAGTAGCCGGGCCTGCGGAAAGGCGACTGATCTTACGAGTACAGAGCACGAGTACTCGTACCGCTTCTCATCTCAGATCGAGGTTGGTTCGGGCTCTGGTTCTCGAATCCTCGACGACAAAGCCAACCATCGCTACGCATTTCGACTGCGCCTCGTTCTATCCACAAATTTCCCTCGCCTGGCCTCTCCGCATCTCGCTGGCCACCTTGGTACGAGGGAAACTACAAAGCAACCCTCTCCTTCGTCCCTACGTCCACTTCCTCTCCTCATCCTCATCTGCAGCCCTGTCGAACTGACACTCGGAAACCAAAACCGAACCGAATTGAACCCTCGCACCCTCGAGATCAGACGTATCCCATACACATCATGGCGGAGACACTACGACGGCTCCCCTCGCCGATTCAAACAGACAACCTATCTGCCACCTCTCCTCCCACATCGACGACCTCGTCCCCGCGATCGACCCCAGGCCTCTCAGCGAAACGGTCTCGCTCGCCCCTGTCCCTCGATCTCTCGTCCCTACCGCCTCTCTCCCAGCCCGCACCGCCCAGCAACACCCTCCTCATCACGCGGCTAGACGACCCCAAGATCTTTCACCCCGCCAGCCTGGCCACCATCCGCCAACACATCGCGTCGCTGGCGCCCCTCAACTCCTTCTCCCCACTCAAGTCCATGCACCGCATCATCTGCTCGTTCTACTCCACCGACGCGGCCATCGCGGTACGGCAAGAGTTCGACGGCCGAGCCGTGCTAGGCAACACGGTCGCGAAATGCTACTTCGGCGAGCCCACGCCTCTGGACCCCGAGAAGAAATACCTCGACCGCCCGGACGCGGGACGGCTGTTCTTCATCTCCCCGCCCCCGTCACCCCCCGTGGGTTGGGAGATGAGGACCGAAGACCCGCCGAACAAGGAAGTCCACGCCGAGGATCTGGCCAGCAAGCTCGCCAAGCTGAGCAGCAAGATCACGGCCTCCCCGACGGGCGCGGGCGACGAGTCCAGTGAAGACGAGGCCCAGATCCCATCCCGGACGCAGTACACGGCCTCGGATCTCGCGCAGAAGCTGAAATCGAACCATCGGCGGGCGTTGAGTGGCGTGTCGGCCGAGAACAACTCCCCCACCACTGCCGAGGCCGCGAGTCCCAAGAAACATCGCAGCAGGAGTTCGACTCTGATCTATGATCCCGTGGCCCATGGGGATAGTCCGGCGTTGCCGGCAGTGATGCTGGAGACCGAGGACGACTCCGAGGTGGAGTTGGAGGACGACAGCAAGAAGATATTCGAGCATACGGCACGGCCGCCAGTGGAGCTGATGGAGCATTGAATTGACCATCTCAGAAGCATTTTCATTGGGTATGCGGCGTTCTTGGGAAAACGACTGGACTGGACCGACTGGGGCGGGACGAGCAGAGCTCAACACAGAGACTGCATTATTATGCATGCACGCATTGGGATGAAGGCTGTCTTCTGAGACAGGCGGGCTGGGGCTAGATGGTCGGCATGGACAAAACCACCGGGCATATATACATACTGGCATGTGGCCATATCATAATGTGCATTGTACACTACCGCCCCGCCTGACGCGGCACGTCTCCTTGTATTTCTGTTCCTGTCGATTTGTTGTTCAGGTTGACTGACCTAGAGCCTTCTTCCGGCTGATGTTGGATTCGAATGACAGATGATGGTTTCTGATTGACATAACCTTGAAACCAATACTGGAACTGATGACTGATACCGCTTTTCACAAACGCCCGGACTGATGCTCGATGCTGTATAGACGAGAACGACGCATGAATGCAGATGATGCCCGCCCCGGAAAATTCAGACACTCCGCCATCAGGAGCAGTGCGAGCCTGACTCGCATCGCCAATCCTCTCATTCCGGCAGTCCCATCAAATGACGGTACCACTTCTTGTGCTGCTCAAAGAACACCATGGTGAAGATCGTCTGCGGGCCCAATCGAATGAAACTGGGGACCCAGCCGCGGAACATCCAGAGCCAGCCTTCGTTCCTGCCCGCTTCCCGCACGATCCCTAGGATGGACAGCTTACTGCTTGCGTGGCTCATGATCCTCGACTTGACCACGTCGACAGGAGAACAAATGGTGGTGGCCACGAAACCTGCCGCCAATGAAGCGGAGAAGTGCGTGGTCAACGTATCTGACATGTGGAGCGAGGAGAGGCAGAACGACTTGAAGATATCGTACGAGGCCAGTTGCGAGGCGTTCATCAGGAGCGCGCGCGAGGAGTTTGCGCCCACGCCGCGGAACAGCGACAACACGCCTTCTTCGCGGATCATGCGCACGAGGCCGTCTAGCGCGTGTCTGTAGTTTTTCTGGTGTTCGATGGCTTTGGAGGCGTCGGACTGCATGCGCACATTCAGCACGTCGCCAGGGTTTCCTGCGATTCCGCCCAGCAGGCCGGCAAAGGAGGACGTGGCTATCAGCGTGGTCATGGATTGTTTGGGTTTGGGGTTCGAGGGCGTGGGCTGCAAGGCGAAGCGGGACTTGAGATCTTCATAGACGCCAAAGCGCACGGTCGAGTAGGTCATTTGGCGGAGGAGGGCGGCCGAGAGACCTGCGTACAGGCCGGTGACGCCTTGGGCACGGAAAATATATGTGAACGTGGTCAAGGTCGTCTTTGGGGCATCGGGAGGGCGAGTCTGGAGGCGGACTTTGACTGAACAAGGCTGTTAGAATGCTGGGGGTTCATGGTAGAGTTTTCGAGGGCTGGTATACCCAAGTCCAGAGGATGAGTTACTACCGCGGCCATGGAGGCTGCACTGCCTCCAAACCAGAAGGGATAGCGTATTGAAGCTGGGTTCTTCCGCTCCTTGATAGTAGACCCGACATTGCGCTGTGGGCTCGCGACGGTAGAGGCAGGTTCGCCCATTGCTCCATTCCCAAAGCCAGAGGTTGCGTATCCAAGGCAAGGAAAGGGTGGGAGGGCAGAGACTATATGAGGCCTGCAACGAGTGTCCCTGCTTCTAGTACACAAGAACGACTGAAGCACATAAAGAGCGGCAGCGGCAGCTATGAGGCGGAAAGGATGTATGACAGAGACTGCATGGGCTTGATGAGCTGAGGCTTGCGATGACGGCAGATGGCAGATTCCGAGATTTCGCAAAGTTCGTTTCCGAGACGCAGTTCCAGGTGCGACATCGGCACCGACGCGCAGCCGAATCCTTCAAGCTTCATCCTCCCAGGTACCTGAAGCTTGAATGTCGTGAGTGTCATCGGGTAGTCGAGGCTGACGCTGCCGCAGTCCTTCCCCTTGCACCACTGAGAGCATCTCCTCGACCCTCCGATGCAGCTTGTCACCACGGGCGCCTTTGTGCGAGCTGCAAGAGCTGCGAAGGTCGCACTCGCCAGCCGCGCTACAGCTTCAGCTTCAAGATGGAAATCCTCCCAGGCACAAGCCCAAGCCCAAGCCCAAGCTGTACCCGACGAACAGCCGTTTCCTGAACAGTCCGTCGATGTCTCCAAGGAGGTTGATCCGGCGAAAACGGCTGCGACTTCCAGCAGCCATGCAAGACATTCCGAGTTCGAGCGAAGGCTGAAAGAGTCGAGGAAGGAGAACACAATCATCCATGACAATGGTCGGTCTGGTGCAAAGATCCTGGGCGCTCCCTACATCTTCGATGAAACATCCAACCTCTCCAGCTCCATCCTAGGCCTCGTCGGCCGCAACCTCTATGAGCAACCCGATCATCCCATTGCCATCACCCGAAAACTGATCGAGTCGTGCTTCGAAGAACCCACCTTCAATCACTTCGCCATGAACAACCCTGTCGTCACCGTCACGGACAACTTCGATACTCTCGGGTTTCCCAAGGACCATCCGGGCCGATCGAGGACCGATACATACTACGTTAACTCAACGCACCTCCTGCGGACGCATACCTCCGCCCACGAACACAATGCATTTCAGTGGCTGGCACATAACACCTCGAGCAAAGGCTACACTATCTGCGCCGACGTCTACCGGCGGGACAGCATTGACCGAAGCCATTTCCCTGTCTTCCACCAGATGGAAGGTGCCCGTGTCTGGGAACCGCAGGAGGATCGCGCCGCCGTCATCCAACGCGACTGCAACGACATGCCCAAAACCGACCTTCTTGTCGAAGACCAAGCCACTGATTTCTCCACCGACGCAAACCCCCTCCAACCTGAGCATAATCCCGAAGAAGTCCACCTCGTCGCCCGCCATCTCAAACGTAGCCTCGAACAAGTCATCCAACGCATTTTCCAAGCCTCGCAAGCCTCCTTGCCCTCTGCCGCCCGCTCGGATGCTCCAATGCAAGCCCGCTGGATCGAAGCCTACTTCCCCTTCACCTCCCCTTCCTTCGAACTCGAAGTCGACTGGAACGGCGAGTGGCTAGAACTTCTGGGTTGTGGTGTGACCAAACAGTCCATCCTCGAGAATGCAGGTCTGACAAACCACATCGGCTGGGCATGGGGAGTGGGCATTGAACGATTTGCCATGCTGCTATTTGGGATTCCCGATATCCGTCTCTTCTGGTCGACCGACCCGCGATTCCTGAAACAGTTTACTCGAGGCAAGATTACCAAGTTTGAACCGTTCAGCAAGTATCCCGCCTGTTACAAGGACATTGCGTTTTGGATCAACGCCACTCCATCTGGTTCGTCACTGGTCGGCCACCCGTCTGCCTCTGGTGTGGCGGCCGCAGCGGGCGGCGACGCCACCAAGGCCTCACCCACCGAGACGCAACCTGCAGCATTCCATGAAAACGACATCATGGAAGTCGTACGGGACGTGGCAGGCAGTCTCGTCGAGGACGTCAAACTGGTCGATGAATTCGTGCATCCCACAAGTGGAAGGAAAAGTCTCTGCTATCGAATCAACTACCGTAGTCTGGAGAGGACCTTGACGAACGACGAGGTAAACGGCTTGCACGACGAAGTTGGTCAACGAATGAAGGGCTTGTTCGGCGTGGAATTGCGATAAATACATTGTACAACCAAGGTAAGCTCTCGAATGAGACCGATACGTTATGTCTACAGGCTTGCCTCTCACTGTGCGTCGCCTATTATGAATGTCATGTATCACCCACTCTTACATACAAGTGCACCCGCTATGAGACTCCAGGAAGGCGACAGCTGACTTGTCAATCCAGGATAGATATCACTGCACGCAATGTGGGGAGCTGGACGTAGGAGCGGCCACCACCAGCCAACAATCTCCTTCCGAGGGTTTTCTGTCCGAGGGCGAGAACTGCTTACACATCTACTACTCATGTTGTATTATTTTAGCTTCAAGAGAAGAGGATTCGACTGTATACAATAGCATAGGCGCCAGATCGGGCAGCAGGGAGTCGCCAGCCTTGTACAACCAACAATGGACAAAGACATGGACAATGAATCATAGTGGACATCTCGTCTCCCATTACAAACGACGATCAGAGGACTCATTCTTGTCCCTGCAATGCTCTTATCTTATCTTCGCCCGTGATTCCCCCAACAGTAGACGGGACATGTTAGCCGTCATATATTCAAACTCGACGCCTCCTGATGCATCGCCATGCCTCCTCATCGAGTGGAGCAAAAGAACTTGCGCCTAGTGTGTAGGAGAGGGGGCGCTTCCCACGATCTGTCTATCCAGCCAGCCAGCCAGCCAGCCAGCCAGCCATGGCATGCGTGCTCGTCAAACAGGGCCATTGCATACCAAACATACAGCCCGTCAGCACGCCAACCCGCCAGTAGCTGCCACTAATGGGTGAAAGGTGACGGCAATAGTAGTGGTGTATTACAACTTTTGTACAGGTACACAGAGTGGACCAATCGATCGATCAATTGGACTCTGCGCTCGCGCGAAATCGCACTTTCCTTTTTTTTTCTAACAAAGGCATCGAAACCTCACGAGTTCTTCACGATCCCGACCTTTGCGGCCCGAACGACCCGTCCATTCAGCTTGTATCCCTTGCTCTGGGTGAAGAAGACGTCCCCGTCCTCTTTGCCCTCGACCTTGGTGAAGAAGGTGGCCTCGTCGGTGTTGGGGTCGAATTTCCGCCCGCCGTTCTCCATCGGGTCGAATCGCTCGAGGCCGTGCTTCTGCAGCGTATTGAGCAGGATCTCCTCGGTCATTTTCAACCCGGCGAAGAGATTCTGGAGATCCTTGTTGGGTTCGGCTTCGGCTGTGCCCGCGCTGGGAGCCGCGGCGGTTGAGTCTGCGGACGATTGTCCCTTTCCGAGCGCAGAGGGCGGGACCGAGGAGAGGGCACGGTCGAGGTTATCTATCGAGTCGAGCAGGTCGGTCGCGAAGCGCTGGATGGCGAATTGTCGGGCTGATTCCATGTCTCGTCGCGTGCGGTCCTGGAGGTTACGGTAGTCGGCTACGCTGCGGAGGTATTTGTCCTAGACGGTGGGTCCGAGATGTGAGTACCGTGGTTTGACAATGTGTGGTTGATTGGTGGCTTGCATTGGGGGGGAGCTTGCGAGGCAAAGGGGAAGAAAAAAGTATACCTTTAGATCTATCACTTCTCGTTTAGTCTTCTCCAGCTCTTCCTTTAATGCGTCTTCAGGCTTGGGATCCGTAGGCTTCGACTCTTCTGTCGACGGCGGCGCCGAAGCGGCAGAGGCCTTCGATTTGTCCGGTTCCGAGGACTGCCATCTTCGCTGCTGGAGCCGTGACGGTAGAGATGTAGATGCGTATGTGGAGGCTCGAGGAGAAAGGAAGATCGCCGACGAGAATGGCGACCGCTGGTGGTGTGCTTGTGCCAGCTCACTGAGGGATTTGGAGAGTGAGCGCGACTGGCGCAGAACTTGTCTCCGGAACATTTTGTATGCACGGCACGCTGGGAGAGAGATGGAAAGCCGAGTTTGAAGGACTGCACAGTCCGAGGTGGGCAGAAGGGGCGATGGCGAGGTCTTGAACTTGAACAAAAAGGTTGTTGGTGATGTATTCGAGCACACGACTGGAAGCTCCGATGCAATTCCGTCCGTCCCATGATTTTTTTTCCGCCGCCAGTGTTCCATGGTGGTCAGCTGCTCTTCCGTAGAAGGCTACGGTGGCACATATATCTGACGCGTGCAAGGGTTGGGAGCGAGAGAAGGACTGCCCATGGCGATCGGGACACACAATTTGAGCTACAAGCTACTGTAGGATTTGAGGGTGAGTTGTCATGCGATGAACAGTCTCGACAGCTTGACCTCTGATAGCATGCCATGTCAGACGTTTAACGACCAGCGACATGACATGATATGGCGTGTGTATGTCTACAAGACCCCTCGGCACCACTGAACGGTTGCTATTCAGACAACCAGTATGAGGAGCTCCCAGTGCAGAGACAAACAGCCAGCAGGCACATGCACACCAGGGGCGCACTTCAATCACCAGTGTACTTCCCACAGCTCATTGTTGATGAATACGTGCTTTCGCGCCCCTGGTAGTCTCACGACTTCAGGCACAAGACTTCTCCTGGCCGTCTATGTTATCGCTGTAGTCCCGACGGTCACCATCTGAATAGACCCCGAAGCCGACTAAAGAGGCGTGAAGGTTGAACATTGCCTGCCCCACTACTCCCACTGAAGCGCAACCTATGACCATCCGTCTGATTGCACACGGCCATTGGCCCAGCAGAGTCATTAGCACTGGCAGGGCAGCCAGGTTTGTACCCTGTCTCAGCCGCCTCGGATCTTGGCAGGACAGCCGCTTTGATGTTGTTGGCGAAAATGACAGGAACTTTAAAGACTGAAAGAGGTCGAGACATCCCGGCGCCGCTGCTCGTTTGGTTCTGCTGCGATTTGATGGTTGCCGGATTCGCCCCTATGAATTTGAGCTTGGGAGCGGATCTTGAAGTTGGGGTCTTGGATGGAATGATGGCGGGCCGGATCTGCCGGGCAAAGCCAACGGGGGCCACAGACACATCCGGAAGGCTCGAGGGTTGAGGCATCGGTGCTCCCCAACTCATGGCATTCTGCGCGAACGTGGCCTTTGCACTGGTTAGATTCAGCTTTGGCGCTGGGTCTGCAACAGCGACTCCGCCATGTCCTTCGCCGCCTCCACCACCCTCGTTCTTGCCCTCCACTTTGGGGGCGTCAGGCTCATAGGTAGCTGCAAGATCGGCCGCTGTGCTGTTGTCTGCAGTATACCAGGAGCTGGATCTCGCAAGCCGGGCTAGGAAACCGAAGATCCGTGATGGTCTGGGCGTACTCTCGACGCCGGTATTGGACCATGCCTGTGCAGGGATGGGAGTGGATAAGCCGGTACAGGCTGCTCCATTTGCGCAGCATGCACCAGCCCCTTGTGAGTCGACAGTACAATAAGTGCCGCCCGGGCAACAGTTCCACAGTCCGTCACAAAAAGCCATGCCTCCCTGGCACAGACCGCCTTGCTTGATTAGGGTTGGTATGGGAGACTGGAAACCCTCCAGGGCGGTCACTGTCATGTTCGCAAGGAGGGGCTGCACCGCCGTTATCGACCGAATCATAGCAGGATCGGGTGACGGCATGGGAAAAGAGGTGATCGTTATACGATTGATAGGAGGGCTGTAACCGACGTCCCCATGCTCGGTGCCGCGAGCAGGGGCTGCAATTCCTAAAGCGACGAGACAGTAAAGAGATTTCATCTTGGACGTCTGATCGTAGCAAGAGTTGGTTGTATGATGATATTGATCTTTGGAGACAAGGATGACGAGAGAAATCAAAAGACCAGCGAGGAAAGAAGCAATTTGTATCTGGGAAGAGTTCACCACAACCATACGTTCTCGCTGTGCGTTTGGTTGCTTCACTGGGAAGCAGACGCCCCTTGGTCACGATGTGTTGTCGGTGTTTGTCGTCTACCATGGTTGTTTAGGAGGCAACCATGACCAAGTGAATTGGGCATTCAATCTGTAGCGCAGTAAGCAGTGGTGAGCAGGCTGTGATATACGGTGAGATGGTGATGTTGACATCCTCGGCAGAAACATATGCATCTCATCATGTTAGGGTAGAGCTGCGAACCTACAGCTTCACACATACAGATTTGTCTGCGACTGCCGCGCATCGTCAACTTCAGGACAAGAGTTCTTCTCAGCCACCACACAGCTGATTATTAGCCTGGGATGAAGCTGCCGATCGTAACGATCCAGGATTTTGGCCGTGCGTAGTGAGCGATACGCTAATTTCCCGGTCACTTCTCCTGCCCTGAGTCGAGGTCCCTAGAGTCGATCGCGACACCTGCATTGCTTGTCATGGTGACAATTAGTCTAGGGGTGACTAGACGTGAGCATCTGTTTAGAGACAGCGTCAGCAAGTGTTCGATCTCGGTTTGAGCTCCACGAGCATCCAAGTCGCTGCACCTCCACTGATGGGACCGTTACCTTCACTAACAACGCGTTACTTGGTTTTACTGCTTTGCGAACCATCAAGTCGGGTTCTCTTATACGAGCGCAACCTCGAGGGATATCCGTGGTGGATGGAAGCAGGAAATCTCGAGGATATGAAGATGTGGTATTGACAGCGAACGCGACGTGCATCAACAGTGGCTAGTTTCGTTTTGTTGATAGAGGACAAGGAGCGTTGACAAGCCTGGGTGTAGGCGTGCGCTCTTCAAATAGAGCGCTGTCGTGTTGTAGCGCTCGCTGCTTCCTCGACGGTCCCGACGCCCCTTTTGGTCCAGTCATGTCACTGGTGTCACATTTCAATCTGGTCAGAAAAGTACCAAAGCACTGTTTTCGAGCAACTTTGGCCCTGTGGCTGCGATAAGCTCTGCAGCGATGCCCTTGATTGAGCCTGGGTCGTCAATTTTCCACTCTTCCCAGCCTCGGAGGTCCTACAAGGTGGTCAGCAACTTGCGTACAGACACATTCGGCGAGAGGGCCTTGTACCTCTAGCTCGATTAAAGCATTCCGTACAACCAGACGCCAGTGGTCTAGATCGAGTTGCTCAACCTCATCTCTGGTCAACACGCCAGGTACTGCGTAATCAAACAGGGATCCTTCGGGTATTTCGGCATCTTCCTCGTCACTGGCTGCTTCGTCAAATTCTAGATCCTGTTCGTCGTCGAACTTTTGTCCTATCTCTTTTGTGGTGTTCCGGCCATCGGGAGTACTGGTTTTCGCTTTGTCGGATTCGTGGGGTTCCTGGCTCTCCGCCGCTTCCGACCCCGATTTTCGATCGTGAGCAGGGGAGACATACTTTCGCTTGTCGAGCTTCTGGCGGTAGTTGTCGTCGAAAAGATTCCATTCGAAGGTCTCTGGGTCTTGGAATCTGTTAGTACCTGCCTGTGCCGAGTTGAGAATCCATACCTAGCATGTACGTCGGCGTGAATCTGGCCTTGTATCTCATTTTGATGCAAGAGTGGATGTAGTACCCTTCCTGTGGTGAGCAGAGCCTGGTAAGCGCGGATCGCAACCACGTACCCATGTAGTAATACTCATAGCCAGCCTCCAATGCTAGTGCTGTCTCACGAAGCGCACTCACCTTGCCAAGGTCCCAGTGCTGATACTCGGGATCATAGCTAGAATATCAACAGGTGTTGCTCGTGGATGTTGCAATAACTTACAACAGGTAGACTGAGCTGACAGCGTGGGGGAGAAGGTCGAGGACTCCGACTGCCACGAGCTTGCCATCGACGCGGTAGCATTGGTGGTAAGACCCCAGCTTGAGGGTTTTACCACCTATCTTGAGTATCTTCCGGTCAATGCCGGTGCAGAGAAATCGCTTGAAGGCAGCTTCCTTCCAGCGTGAGGCAGGATCCTTGTGGACTTCCAATTGGTATTTCAGGAAAACCTCGTACCTAACGGGCGTGAGCAATGGCAAGGCATCCACAAGCTGCAGCTCACTTTTCCTTGGTGAAACTGTCGCCTTCGAGGTTGACCTCGAATTTATGAGCAGGCTCGATTGGATTGCCTGTCCTTTTGTCCTTGGGACGACTGATCTTATCGTACTCAGCTTTGTGGACGGCGAGGGAGAGATCAAAGCAACCACGCAGACGGCTTTTTTCCCTGCAGAAGTCAGCGGAAGCCAAAGCGAGGAAAGGAGCCCCGACTTGCTCTCGAGTCTGCGGACATAGGGTAGCAGCTTTGCGCTTGTACTCTGGCCCGAGCACAAAGTCGTTCCAACGGTTGATCGCCTGTCGCTGGTCTTTTTTGGGCTTGAACTCCGACGCCTTGAGCCTGCCATCGTCAGCGCGGATCCACTATATTGTTTCTGATGGAATTAGCACACCGGATTGTGTAGTGGGGACAGCATGAACGCAGGAGGTCAGGTTTGTAATATAATGAGCCTGATCGTCTCCACCCCCTGTCCACTAGATACTGATAGTGGTCGACCCGCATGTTGTCACACGACATGTAATACGACGAGCCTGAAATGAGGGTAAGTCTTCCGCAGAAGAAAACACGCCAGGGTGCTGTGGCGAAGATGAGGAGAGCTTGGGGAGGATCAGAACAACTTACTGCCTGTCTCATTCTTGCAGTATCCGCATGAGTTCTTCCTCTGGTAGCCTGTGGTGATGCAAAGGAAGTCAATGACCGCGCCGCCGTATGATGCCAGCCTTGCTGCTAGATGGATATGGCCACATGGTCCAAATCAAGCGGGCCGGGCCAGGCCATGCCTCGATGGTCGATACCTTAGGGCATACTAGGGTACGTCAGATGCGACTTACCGAGAGGCTTCAGAAGTGAGATTTCGTTTGTCATGATAAATCCGTGGGGAGCTTTCAGAAATGAGGCTAGTTCCCTGCTGGATCAGAAAAGGGAATATGTCGAGGCCTTGTCATACGAGCATCGTCCTGGACAGTCGAATCTCCAGCGACGTGAAAAATAGGGACTCTGCTTGCGAGACGTGATGTCAGCTAATCAGACCCGCAGGCACCTCGGGCAGACAACAGAAAGCTCTGCTTGACCGTGTGCCGCAGAGATACACCAGTTTTGACCGCGAGCAGCCGCCGGTGAATTCGCGGTGAGGTTCCAGGCCACAGTCTCGGTGGGCTCGCCCGCGGGATATGCAGATCGACGGCTTCAAGGCAGCCAATATGAGACAGCTATGGTAGTATTGAGCATCAAGAACATCGATCCTGGCCGAGTCTCAAGGTCGTTCCCAGGAAAACCCCCACTTACAGCTGGTTCTCGGGCGCTCGCGTGAGCAGTCTGATGGAGGGGCGCTCTTAGCTCGAAACGACTCGATGTGCCCGGTAAGAGCGGTGTTTAAGGGTGCGCAGGCCCGAGGGAACCGTATCTGGAGGTGAAGGCAAGCAAAAAGTGCGGTTAGGGGAGCAGGAGACTGGGGTCCTGGAGGAAACTTTAGACCAGTATAAACGTGAAGATGGGCACGTGCGCGGTGTTCGTGTGCTCTGGCGGGCAGAAAGGACAGACGACGATAGGAACAAGTCGAGGCACCACTGCAGCAGCCCGCAGCGAACCACATGTGCTGGAGCCTGTCAATTGCGTCGGTCACAAGCTGCGCCGGCACAGGAGCAGCGGTGATGCTCAAATAACAGCAAAGTCATCAGATATCCCACTCCCAAAGGAGAAAGCCAGTCGCTCATGGCGGTATGAGGGCTGGTTTGAGCATGAACATCCCTCGTCGCCCTGCACGCCATGTAACTTATCGTGCGGCCGTTGGCTGGAGTGTGGAAACGCCGTGCATTTCGCTTCGCCGCTCGTACTCCCCCATCGTGTCCACTTTCCATATGCACTTCCGAACGAGGGACTGCCAAAAAAACTAAACCCGCTACATAACCATGGCTGTTCCCGACTTTACACTGCTCTGCACGTCGACTCCCTTCCCTCAGCCCCGTGCCACACGGGACTGAAGGTATCTTCTATTTGCGCTCTTTCGCAAAACCATTCCACTCGTCACCATGGGCCCTCTTTGATCCCCCGTCTGCTCTGTCCTGAGACTGCCCGACCTCGTCCGCCCTCACCGGAGCAGCTCGACAGTGCTCCCACGTGCTCTTCACCGTCTCTTTCTCCGTTCGCTGTCTGCCTTCTCCCTAGCCGGAATCTCCGAGCAGTACCAACCGTCCTCTCTTTGCTTCCCGACCCTGGGTGTTTTCTGGGCGTAGCCTGCCGCCATGGCCAAACAGGAGATGTCGATGACTTCTCGCACCGGCAACGGCAACCAGCGTGAGTTGACTTCTACTCCCTAAATTATCTGACTGAAGCTAATGGCCGTGCAGGCTATGGGTCAAAAGGCGAGCGACTGGTGGCCGGCATGGTTCCCTTGTCAAGCGACAAGACTCGCGTTCTACTTATTCAGTCCTCTCGCCGCAACGGCTGGGTTCTGCCCAAAGGTGGCTGGGAGCTAGACGAGGCATCCGCTGCAGTTGCCGCTGTGCGAGAGGCCTGGGAAGAAGCTGGAATCATCTGTAAGGTCGACAAGGACCTCGGCCACATCGCCGACACACGACCTACCAGCGCCGTCACCAAGAATGCCCCCAAAGCTAGCTATCATTTTTTCGAGGCGACCGTGACCGAGGAGAAGGAGAATTGGCCAGAGAAAAACAAGAGATCACGACAGTGGTATAGCCATGCACAGGCGATCCAGCTTCTGAACGGACGACCCGAGTTGCTGGAGGCGTTGAAGAGAAGTTCCCTCAAGAAGTGAGAGATGTGCATAAGGAGGAGCTAAAGCATGTCATCGCCGCCGCGACGCCCTAGAATCATGGGCGAGTCCTGACCCCTAGACGACACCTGCTGTTAGATCATCTGAGTCTCGACACACTTGGGTCCACCTGCGTCGTCTCGGACGCTGTGTGCTGGTGGTCACCTCATCTTCCTCGACGGTTGATACTCTTGGGAAGACGGGACATAATGCCCAACGCCAGAGCGTCAAAGACTAGCCTGAGAGCCATGGCTCAAGCATCAGTAGAACAAATCAACGCTCGCATGAGCAAATGCATCCATGCTGTGAGGCAAGTGTCGCCGGAGCGATGCCCACCGTGATGTGTTGTCAAGCTCAGGAGCGAATATCAGATTTGCCCTCCCGAGCCCACTTCTATAGTCAACTAAGACCGTGAGCCAATTGCAATTTTAGCTAGAGGCACGATACGAGATGTCTGGCTATCTGGGAGTAACCAATCTTTGTGTCAGTGGCTGCTCCTGCGAATGGCCACAGACGCAGCGGGAACCAAGAGCTACCGTGTAGTCAAGAGAACCGATAGCATTAGAACTGCTGGCCGTGATGGAGGTGTGAGTTAGCTGCATGGAGTCTCCCGGATCTATGTACAATGCTCCGCCGTCTTGTGACACTCCGTTTGCTTCCACCTCATGACAACCTGTCTTCTTCGCTCCTATCCGACGGCATGTGTCTCTTGTACCGTCTAGTGTTCCAAATCGACTGGGAAATTTCCCGCTTCACGCTGATCGTCCCATCGGGCAACCCAAGAACTAGGGCACAGTGATCGGTATGCCAGGTAGAACTGAGCCATGTTAGCACGGCGTATGATCTCCTCCAAGCTCTCAAAAAGATGTCTGTACCTGTCTGCAAGGCTTGAAGTCCTCTCCCTTTGCCAGGATGCATTTGTGGTAGTCGACGTAGTTTTGCCAGCAATGCTTTGTTCTGCAACCACCTTGTTAGACTCAAACAGGCTCCGGCGTCTCTGGAAAGGCACGCACTGGTTCTGATTGGGAAAGCGAGCGTCGTATCCAGCTACAACAACATCAGCATCCACTCTTCACGCATGTCTCAGCTAGAGTTCTCTCGTACCCGTAACGAACTTGAAGGGCTTGGTGACGTTTCCGCCGAGTTCTTCAGCGTCAGGAACCTCGATGTCAGGCATGGTGAAGGTGCTGAGACACTCTTCGCGGCGGGAGTGCGAGCGGCGGATATAGGAAGGAGCTGGTTTGAAGAGAGAGGTCAAGCTGCACGATTTGATGTTGTCACCTGAGGATTGCTGCCGTGAGGTTCAAAGTCGGAGGTTGCAGGCTAAGCCGCGAAGCAGTTAGCAGCACTCTGATTGGCCGGTGCGCCGCGGAGAGGGAGAGCTCGCACCCACTGGCAGCAAGCAACTGCGGAACTCCAGCTTCATGTCACATCATCCTGTGCAGTTGTATCTGATTTCTCCCTCGCTCTCCACTCTGTCCGCTGCGCATCGAGCATGATGAACACAGCAAGGCTCTTGAGGCTCCAGCCTCTTCGGTCGGCTGCTTTCAAGCAAGCTGCCTTCCGCCAGTCCGCCCAGAAACAAACCGCCAGACCATTCCACAACAGCCGGACACTGTTCAGATCAAAGGCGAGCACAAACACACGGTTCCAAAGCTGTTGTGTGAGAAGCTAACATTTGCTATAGGAAGACGATCAGAGTGGTAAGAACCGTCGACCGGAATTGTCCTTCGATCTCGCTGTTGACCAAGGTTCCCGTGTACAGCCCACACCATCACCCAGAGAATCCGCCAGCTCAAGAAAGTACCCCCGGAACTGCTCCCGCTCGGCGTGGTCATTGCGTACGTAAACCCCGTACCCAAATATGGAAGAAGCACTTGCTCATACACTCGACTTGCTAGATTCGCCCTGTTCGCCGCCGTATTTGCCATGGGTAGGAAGTTGTGGACCGACAAGACCCTTCGTTTGCAGAGATCGGCTCAGAAACATGAGTAAATCGTCGTCGGTTCAACACGAGCTATGGTCAACTGAGTCTGCGGAGGAATTCAGAATCAAAGCGGGTCCTGAACACCCAAATTGCCGAGCATCGAGTTACATCAACGCAATGCGAGGACGTGTATATAACCAGGCAGTTTAGTCGGAATGGAGTTGCCGTCTTGTCTGACTCAAGACTATGCGTTTCCTTCGGCCTCGTCCTATTCAGCTCCACCATCGCAGGAGCAGCGTTGTCGCTTTCCCATCCACAAATTCGTGGAAATCCTTCAGTATCCACACACAGTTTGCTCAGGCGGCTCAGCAGCTCTGTCGTTTACTCGGTCGACGCTCCCTAGATACTTGAAGCGCCTAAGTCCCCCTCCGAACTCGCCGCTGGGACGTGCTCCACTGTCGTTCATCATGGGACTCGGTCGTTTCACGCGAGGTGGTTTGTAGTTGAGCTACTGTTTCTGGCAGTGGAGGACCACGCACAAACATTGTCGTGGCTTTAGCGTGAATCCTCCGGACCTGGCTCACTCTGGCTTTGGTCCTGCAACATCAAGACCCTCCAAGCCATCCATGGGATCTGCAGGCCGCTCATTCCTTGATTGCTCGACGGCAGCTTTGTCCTCACTTGCAGCACCATACTTTGCCAGATAACCTTCCTGAGTGACGACGTTAGTGCAGCCCCGCCAGCGCCAGAAAAGGAGCCACTCGCCTGTTCCCAGATAGCTGTCGTACTTCCCAGCCCAGGCTCGCCCGTCTCCTTGCGATCAGGCTTTGCCATGGCAACCTTGATCACGCGTCCATAGAGTTCACTTTGGTCCATGTTGTTGATGGCTTCGGCCGCATCGGCGGCATCCTCAAACTCGACGTATCCGAAGCCGCGGTGCAGTTCCGTCGAAGACGGTGCTTCGGGCTTCGGTAGCGTGATGTCTGTGATGTCGCCGAACGGAATAAATGCTTCGGACAGGGTTGCGGCGGTGACCAGGGTGGTGTCGAGCCCGCCCACATAGACGGTACTGTTTGGACGGGTCGAAGCCTCGGCCATGATTGACGTCTGAGTACTCCGGATCTCGCCTCGAAGGAGGTACTGTAGCAAGTGTTCTCTCTGGCACAGACACAAGACACAGAAACTTCTATATCACGTGGCGGGGCCTTTTCCGATCAGGGCGGGCTGCCAGTGCGGAGGGAGGACGGCCAGGGATGACAGGCTTGGGGGCCGCCAACTTCAACAGTGTCCAGATCCAGAAGTGCGAAATAATTCATGGTGAGAACAGCTGTCACCACATCAGCTGTCGGGAGTCTTTCTTGTCGTGTCTGTGCTTGCATGACTTCTCAGTCCTTCCTTTCTCCGGTTCTTCCCTCTTTTGCCGTCCTGCTGGCCGTTCTGATTTAGCCCTCACAACGCCCTGGGAGCGACCTACTTTCCGTCCCTCGACGGTCGAAACGAGACATTTGATTGACCTCACTCCCGAGCCTGACACACCCGTGGCCATGGTGCGCCTGCGAGAAATACCGCGCACAGCGACGTTCGCATGGTCGCCGGATGCGACGTCCGCCTGGATCGCAACTGGCACCAAATCAGGTGCTGTGGACGTCGACTTCAGCAATGAGACCTGCCTTGAGCTGTGGGATCTCGCCCTCGACAAGCCAGACCAAGGCCACGAACTGGCGCCGGCAGTTTCGCTGCCTACAGAAACAGGCTTTCACGACCTCGCCTGGACTGCAGGACAGGATGGACGCAAGAGAGGCATAATCGCAGGTGCCTTCGACAACGGCTCCCTGGGCCTCTGGGACGCGGACAAGGCAATATCCGAGCCAGCGGAGGCGCCAATCTTCAACAACAAGATCCACAGCGGCGCCATCAAGGCTCTACAGTTCAACCCGAAAATCCCCAACTTTCTCGCTACTGGTGGTGCCAAGGGAGAACTGTTCATCTCAGACTTGAACCACCTCGACGCACCGATACGCCTCGGAAGTACTGCAGCTCGAGCAGATGACATTGATTGTCTCGACTGGAACAAAAGAGTCTCGAACATATTGGTCACAGGGAGCAGCGGTGGGTTTGTGACAGTATGGGACATGAAGACGAGAAAAGAGAGCCTGACGCTCAACAACTTTCAACGGAAACCGGCCAGTGCTATTGCCTGGGATCCTGATAAACCTACCCGCCTGATCACAGCGGTTCCCCTCGAACAAGAGCCTGTCATTCTGGTCTGGGACTTGAGAAACTCGAATGCCCCGGAAAAGGTGTTACGCGGGCATGACTCGGGTGTCCTTTCTGTGTCTTGGTGTCCGCAGGACAACGAGCTTCTGCTATCCTGCGGGAAAGATAACAGAACGATCCTGTGGAACCCTCAGACTGGACAAGCCTATGGCGACTACCCTGTCGTCACCAACTGGACGTTCCAAACGAGGTGGAATCCTCACAACCCGAACCTCTTCGCGACAGCCTCCTTTGACGGCAAGCTGCAAATCCAGACGCTGCAGAACACCAACCCGAGTAGCACGCAGACCGACCAAAGCCAGGCCGCTAATGAAGAAGACTTTTTCTCCAAGGCTCAAACCCAGCCACAGTCGTCATCATTCTCTCTTCTCAAGGCGCCGAAATGGTTTGAGCGACCCGTCTCGGCATCGTTTGGCTTCGGTGGGAGGATCATCAGTGTCAGACAAGCCGATCCTGGAAAGTCGCGAGCCTCGAAGATCAGCATCAGCAGATTCGAGGTCGATTCCGAGGTTGGCAGCGCTACTGAGACGTTCGAGAAAGCCATTCAATCAGGAGATCTCACAAGTCTGACGGAGCAAAGAATTGCGGCCGCAAAGACAGATGAGGAAAAGGCCGACTGGAACGTTATCAAGACACTGGTATCAACAAATCCGAGAGCAGAGCTAGTCAAATATCTAGGGTTCGATGACAGTCCCGAAGACACTGCAAATGGTGCCGAGCAGGAGGGATCGGAAGACGATGAGCAAAAGCCCTCGGTGAACGGTGCGTCCAAATCACACAAGCGATTCCAGTCCATCTTCGCCAGCTCGGCCGACGGAGACTTCCTCGCAGAATTGGCAGCTACTAAGGGTACTCGGACGAACAATCCTTTCCAGATCTATACTGGATCGGAGTCGCCGGCAGACCGCAAGATTACAAGAGCCTTGATTTTGGGACAGTTCGACAAGGCTTTGGACGTATGTTTGGCCGAGGATCGGATGTCGGATGCCTTCATGATAGCCATCTGTGGCGGTGAAGGCTGCATCAAGAAAGCGCAGGAGGCATACCTCGCAAAGCAGTCTGGCGGATCCAGCTATCTGCGTCTGCTTGCTTCAGTTGTTGGCAAGAACCTCTGGGACACGGTACACAATGCTGATCTCACCAACTGGAAGGAAGTCATGGCTACGCTGTGCACATTCGCCGACGAACAAGAGTTTCCGGACCTTTGTGAGGCGCTCGGAGACAGGATCGCTGAAGAGATTGACGACCTTGGCTCGATTACTCGAAAAGACGCTTCGTTCTGCTTCTTGGCTGGTTCCAAGCTGGAAAAGGTGGTCACGATCTGGATTGACGAGCTCAAGGAGCATGAAGAGGCCGGTGCTTCCGAAGCAGATGCATCCTCGGCGTTTTCACTGCACGCTCGCGGTCTGCAAGACTTTATCGAAAAGGTGACAATCTTCAGACGAGTGGTCAACTTCAAGGATGACGAACTGTCCAAGGCCGGAGAGTGGAAGCTGGAGGCTCTTTACAACAAGTACCTGGAATATGCCGATATTGTGGCTGGGTCTGGTCAGCTTGATGTAGCCCAGCGATACCTTGATCTGCTACCTACAAGCTATCCGGGCGCCGACGTTGCCAGAAGTCGCATCCAACAATCAAGAAAGAAGACGGCCGCTCCAGCTGTCGCTACGCACTCCACTACCACAGCGACGAGGAACAAGCCTCTACCAGCCATGTCACAGTTTCAGCCTCCCACGACCGCATTTACTCCCGCAACTCCCCAGGTCCCTACACCTTACGGTGCCACCCCAATGCAACCAAGCAACCCCTACGCACCACCAGCAGCCAGCAACACACCAGCAAATCCCTATGCTCCTCCCACTGGTGGATATCAACCTGCGGGATATCAGCCTCCGCAGCAGATGAGGATGACTCCAGGCCCGCCACCTCCAGCGCCCTACGGCATCCCACAGGCGAATCCTATTCCACCGCCTCCGAGGTTCACACAGTCTCCGGCCGTTCCTCCTCCCTCTCAAGACAAGAATATGACTAGCTGGAATGACATTCCGGAAGGCTTCGTAAAGCCTCCCACTTCGAGACGAGGCACTCCCAGCGTCCCTGCGCAGCCCGTTCATAATCCTTTCGCTCCATCACCAGCTCCGATCTCCTCTCCTCCAAACGCCGGTCCTCCCATGGGTGCAAGACAGAGAGCATCACCAGTGCCTCCACCTCCCAAAGGCGTGGCACCGCCACCTAGAGTGATGTCGCCTCTGGCGAGTGGTCAGCCACCTGCCGAACGACCTTCCTCGTCAGCGGGCAACGCCTACGCGCCGCCAAGTGTGACATCTCCGCCTGTTGGACATGGCATGGTATCTCCTCCAATTCCACGCGGCCCTTCTCCGTTTACCGCACCGCCGTCGCAAGCTCCTACAGCACCCAACCGGTACGCACCTGCGCCAGGAAGTCAACCTGCCACTGGACCTACTGGTCGTCCCTCCATCGCCCCACCTCCCCAAGGCTCATCATTCCAAGCCACCGGGCCCTCTGCAAACCCGTATGCCCCAGCTCAACCAGCTCCGTCGGCTCGGACCACGAGCTACGGCCCGCCACAGCCCACACAAAACACACCACAGTCGGCTACAGCGCCGCCCATGCCCACGCCACAACAGCAATTCATCTCCGGTCCGCCTCCAGCAGGATCCGGTCAACAAGCACCTGCTCCTCAACCCAACACTGCAGAAACCAACAAGGCTGCTGCTGCTCCACCAGCACGGAAATATCGTAAGTGACCAATATCCCACTGGAGCGAATTTTGTCTTCCAGGGCTCTCTTGCTGGCGCCATCGCCACCTGCCTGATTTATCGGCTACTAACGCGTGTTATAGCCAAAGGTGACCGGACACATATTCCGTCGTCGGCGCAACCCATCTACACGATTTTGTCATCCGAGATGTCCCGCGTAGAAGCGCGTGCGCCAACCAGCTTCAAGCCCCAAGTCGTAGACACCAAAAAGCGTCTTGATATCCTCTTTGACCATCTCAACAACGAGGACCTGTTGAAGCCAGACACCGTCGCTCAGTTGGTGGAATTGAGTCAGGCTCTTGAACGGCGGGATTTCACGCGGGCGGCCGAGATCCAGATGGACGTCCATACCAACAAGGTCGAGGAGTGCGGGAACTGGATGGTCGGAGTCAAGAGGTTGGTTGGAATGTGTAGGGCGACGCCGTGAACCAAACACCTGGAACGGATGTGGTAGTTTGGCGGAAGCGATCGGAAGAATATAGTAAGCGGTGGGTGTGGCACTCTGTCGGAAAGCACATGGTATTCTCCGCCGCGTTGAGCTGGGTGGCCAGTCATGAGCTAACGAACAGAAAGGTAGAAGTATGGGTTAGCGAATACTACTGTGGGCGCTCATAGAACAAGCGAAAGCGAAAGCGAGAACGAGAACGAGAACGAGATACATGATACGCGTGACGTTTTATTATGAATTGAGCAGTGAGTTGTCCGGGCTGTGCCGTCATGGACGTGTCGTTCCATGTTCCACTCCAGAGTACTCCATACTTCCCTCCGAGAAGCTCGTCGAAGTCGATGTTGATGTTAATGTCGATATCGATAATTCTCCGTGGCTTGAAATTCCCCGACGTGCTATCCTCAGGAGTCAGGAGTCATCACATTAGAATACCACACGGCAGAACGTCCAAGCTACATGCTACATAGTACATAGTAAATGAGTAATATGCAACGAGTGGGTCTCAACCCATCGACACATGGGCAGACAGGCAGGAAGGCGGGCACGTAGGCACTTGAACGGACCTTGTCGTTCGCAGAAAGGGATTCTGTGTAGAGATTCTACGTGAGGATCAATCGAACAACATATAATAGACAGTAGACAGTAGACAGTAGACAGTAGACAGTAGACCGAACCCCTTTTGCTGTTCCTACTCCCACGCCTACTCTTACTTCTACTTCTTTCTACCCCAACAAAGCAGCCATCAGGCGAATCGATCAACAACACATCGTAAACATTACTCGGGGGGAAATGGCTAGAGAGGGTGCCGCGCGTGTGTGTGTGTTGTGGTGTACATATGTACAGTATCAGTGTTGCGCGTTGACCCTTGGCCGTTGGCGCTGGGTGTCGAGTTTTGAGTACCGGTACATGTGAATGTTCGTTATGGAGCCATACTGCAATTAATTACTGTACCTACACATCTCGGTACATGATTCGACTCTCAGAATTGACATCGACCGCAAGTCGGCGGTCTATACAGAGTACGGAGTACATATACCGTGCTGTACAAGCAGTTACAGTAATTCCGTCAAATCGACTCGAGTGAGGAGACACTATGGTGGCAACGGCAGAGGCTGCGACAGAGACGGTTGGCAAAAGACTTGGACGGTCAACAACAACAATATTGTACCTACAGAAGTACTCCGTACTCCGTAGTGAAGATGAATCGAGTCGTCAGAGCCTGCGTACTGTACGACTACAGAAGAGTACAGGTACTGCGTATGAGGACTCCGTAAGGTACCTTATGAGTACCTAGTGATATGTACCTGTATGTAGTACTGAACATACAGTAGGACAGTCACCTCATCACACTACCAGGTAGCGGCAGTGGGCATGAGGTCGTCACCTATGTATTCATTCATTTAATCATTCATTGGTGACAGTGACTGCCGTCCGGGACGTCGGTGGTTACACTCAACCCCAGAACATCCTCAGTCAAGCTTGTGTGAGAAGGGTAACCGCTTTGACTCGCTTAATTCAAACCGTACTCCGTCCTCTGCCTGTGATCAGTCCGTCCACCAGTCTGTCCTGTTGATCCGTATATATTTCCCGGCAGAACTCGTCAAACACAGCACGGTACCGCGGGTGCATGCCCACCTACAGAGGAATCTCGGAATTGTACACGTATAGTCATTACATGCGATGGCGAGAGGGTACTCGATCGACCGACGGCGTGATCGAGGGGTCTGCGTTTCCGACACTAAACCGCTACACCACCTCACCTCACCTCACGTTATCCCATGGCCGTCTCTGTCTCCGTCACCAGCAAACTGTCTCAGCTTAAGCGTTCGGAGCCCGGCACCGCCTCTCCCGCCTCCGACGGTCCCGGTCTTGCCGTGATGGACCAGTCTGCTGAATGGGCCTACTCGCTTGCGACCGCCACTGCTCCGTCGTCGCCCGCTCTCCTTGAGGCGGTCCAGCCCCTTTTTACTCCATTGTGGTCCGTCGTCCGCATACGCGTGAGTCCCCTTTCTATCGCCCGTGAAGAACGTAAGCACGGCGTCAGCACCGGACGCTCTGCGTTGTCGTTCCTCAGCTTTCGACGGCGGGACGGGCTCGACGCCCTTGCCCTTCGCGGTATCGGATCTGGACGCTTTCTGATCGCTATAAGGGTCCTCGTAGATCGTCCCGCGACGGTCGAGACCGAAGATGTTCAGATCCGCACTGCTGGACTGTGTAACTGCAGATTGCGGTGCACTGCCCGGGGCCAACATGTTCTTCTTGAGGAGCCGAAGCAAGCTCTCACACAGACGGTCTAGAATCCACTCCGACTCGGACTGCTGGCTGAGCATGGGACTATTCTCGTCGAGCCAATCCCACTCGACGACACCATCTACTTCCTCGTCATATTCGAGCTGGGCGAGCCCGACTTTGGTGAAGCGGATGAGACGGGTGAATTCGCACCACTCCTCGTAGCTGTATCGTTTGCCGGGTGAATGATGGAGATCGTCGGCGGTTTTGCGGATAGCCCATGCTAGTCGAGAAGTCAACTCTGCCTCGGTCAGATCCTCGGATGCCAACTGTTCGATGCTCGATATTGGTGGAGCGTCGTCAGCGGACGGTCCGACTGGGAGGCCGGCCTTGCGACGCTTCTTCTCAGTTCGTTTCTTCATCCAGTTGTAAAGCCAGGAATGTCGCATGACGAGGTCGTGCCAAAGTCCCGCCTTGGGAAGGACAGTCAAGTCACCTAGTTTGAAGGTCCCCCGCTTGAAACTGGAGATGACGGTGTCTCCCATGTCCGAGATGAGAATGGTCATGGTGGGGACCGCAATCAACGACCACACCACGAAGAATGGCTTGCCGGCATTACTTTTGGGACTCAGGTCGCCATAGCCGATGGTCAGCAAGCTGACGTAGCAGAAGTATAGAGCCTGGAAGTAAGTCAGACGTTGGGTGGTTCGCTCGGCCCGCCAGAACACCACAGCGCCAGCACACCATAAGATGCCGAATGCGGTCACTGACATGCACAGGGCGTACCACTTCTTGAACTTCTTCGCGTTTTGCTGAATGTCACGCATAGCATTGAACCGGTCCTTTTCCTCCTTCATGAGAATGGCTTTCGATTGCGACCTTGAAAGCGTCCTTTTCATCAAGGGTGTAATCTGTCGCAACGTGGTATGTATTGGGCCTCGACGGAATGCTGAGCGCAAAAACTGATTAGGACGCGGAGCCTCCTCATCCCATTCCACCTTTTTCAACTGTTCAGCATCGGTGTTCCCGAACTCGATTTGACGACCCTGAGTCGGAGCTGCGTTCGGAGGATCATGTGAGTGACGTGCTGCTTCGTCCAGGTCTTGCTGGATTTGAGGGTCCGGAAGCGGATATGAGATGGATGGACGCCGACCATGTCTCTCCTCAAACTCCACTTCTTTCTCCAGCTCGTCGCGTCGTTTCTCTTCGGTATCGTCGTCGACTGTGATGACCCGCGAGAGGGTACTGACCCTTCTTTGCTCGACGTGTTTGCGAAGGACATTGACCGTGCTGAGCTCTCCGGCGAATTTGTGGATGGAGCTGACCATCAAACCTAGGATAATGGTTCCTCCCACCGAGTATGGAAAAACGAGGCCGCGCCCAACATCGTCTGTGGGATAGTAGTCTCCAAAGCCAATGGTCAAGATGGTCACGTCGCAGAAATATAGAGCATCGGGATAGGTCCAGCCTTCAATCCGGCTAAAGATGCCAGCACCTCCGCCCAGCCATATGAAGAACATCATCGTCTGCAGGATCAGATTGCGTTGTTCATCGGTCAGGGTGAAGTGCTGAGGATAATGGCCCAGGAAATAACCACACATGTTGACCATCAGTATTACAGAATTAAACATGTAGAGGCACGCGGCGATGACAGCATTCCAATAACCCTGAGAATATACGTCGCCTATACCAGGGGGAACATGGAGGTTCATTGAGACGGTTATTCCGATCAAAATGCCCGACGCCATGTAGAAGAGCACGATAGTCGCAGGCAGAGCGACGATATAGCGGACGCGCTTGGTGAAGTTAAAGAGGAGGAAGAGGTTCCCTACAAAGCCACATACCAGCGAGGCGATGTTCAGACTGACGCACCACGTCGGGTCCTTGTAGCCGACGGAAGTGGATTGATAAGTCTCAGGGAACTCGGCCGGGCTTTGGGTGAGTCTGTTCCTCCAGGGCACCACCAGAGCAGCGATAGAATTCAGATTGGCCATAGGTGCGAACGTGGCGGCGATGAGGGGAATGGCGGTGGAGGCAAACCACCAGCTCGTGGGAAGATCATCGTCGGCGGATCGCAGCTTCAGCCGTCCCTTGTGATGGTGATGCGCATGTTCGTGTTCCAGCTTGCTGTCACTGTGCTTTCCCCCGACATCCGGTAACGTCCCTACGTCCTCGGATCCCTCAACTTCCTCGTCCCACTCTTTCTGTGTGTCCGGCTCCTCGACGATACTGCCGCCAGCACCCGAGTTGGAACTCGAGGGAGCCGAGTCCAGCTCTTTCTGTTCGGCATGGTCATAGCCCATTGTCCGTCCGGCGTGTTCGATGTCATAAGGCCTTGATATGCATCGTGGCAGATTGGCGCGGCGGGACTCCCGCGAGGAGACGGAGCTGAGTGCTGGATACTCAAACCGGAAAACGTAAGGATAAGGTATTTGTGACTAAGCCGCAGTCTGGAGATGGCAGGTTGCGTACTCGTACAGCGTGGAAGCTGAAGATGAATTGAAGGTTAAAGGGCATGACGAAGCTGGAATCCGCAGGCCCACCTGGGCGCGACATTCTTTCAGCCAGGACAAAGCTGTGGACTGCAGTGGTGTGTGTGGGTGGTTGATACGAGCGGCGAGGGATGGAATGGAATGAGCGCATCTTCTCAAGAGCATTCTCGTCATTCCACGGCTTTGGTTGGCTCGTCCGTCGTGGCCTGCGCAAGCCACCCCCAAGCTTATTGATCAACAAGCGAATGCACGCCGGGAAGTCAGTACGATAGGCGCTGTTCGGTGCTGACAGTTCGAGTACTGTAGGCCGAGTCACCCTTTTCCTCGATCGGGATCCCTCGCTTCATCCTTCATCGCGTCTCACATGCCGATTGAATCTCACCAGTGGATTGGCGGATCACCAAGCTTCGAGATAAGGTGAATCTAAGTGCCTGATAGAGAAGCTTCTGTACTGAGCACCATTCCGTCTTGCCGTGCGCAAAGCCAACGTGATCATACCCAAAGGGCCAGACTCTGCCGGTCGCGCCAACCACCATATAGTTCAGCCAGTGCGGAAGCCAGATTCTTTCCTCTGAATGTCACATTTGTAGAGTGGCTCGTCTGCATTCTGCGGGCGCATAGATCGATGCGCGTGTAATAATGGGATCCGCCTGGTCTCGATTGTCCCTCGTCTCATGTCCAAAGACTCAAGACTAACTCACAGGTAAATCAAAATACCATTCAATACTTCTCAAATGCTTTATGTGAACCTTCGTCTCGAGCACTGCTCAAGTACTGTACCAATGACAGATCCCATGTCGAGGTAGGCACGCAGGTCAGCTGAACCCACGGAGCATTGCACTTGTTCTGGTGGCGGGAAGAGGCTCAGCCGTCATGCAAAGTTCCTTTACACTATCTCTGGTACACACTACTTTACATATAATTCTTCATTGCGAGAAGGGCTCACACAAAAGTGGGTTCAAAATGTGAATCAACGCTGTAATTGACTCCCTTCAATCTCAAAATATGCCGAGAATTTCATCAGTCGTTGTCAATATAGTACACAATAGGATCATAGGTAACATAGTCCATGGTTCAGTGAAACCTGCTAATCTCGTTCGTCCGGAAACCCAACTCTCCTCTTCGCATTGAGTTGCAATCCTATCGCATGTCCCTGTAACTGCTGGGTGGGTATCCCGCACTGGAGGGGTACGGAGCATATGCATCCCTGCCTGTGCTGGACGACTCTCGAGCCAATCCAGGTGGCGGAGGGGCCTGGAAGCCCGTGCTAATCGACGCCGATGTGTTGTGGCCATTGTAGTGAGCGGTATTGCCTCCAGTAGGCACGCGGTTCAGGTAGTATTCTTCCTCTCCGCCGTTGGGGGCTGAAGACGAGTACATCGGCGGCCCGGCAGTACTGCGCATGGTTGGACTTAGCGGGCCGTCAACGAAGCCCAGTCCGGCATTAGCGACTGATTGCATGCGTGGGCGACCGTCTCGATCTCGTTCGCGCGTACGCTCAACTGGATCATATGCAGCCATTCTCGCAGGGTCGTACCGGTCATTGGCTAGCCGCTCCCGACCGGCTTCGTATTCTCTGTACCGTCTTGCATCGTCGTGGTGGTCGGGCTGATATGACGAGGGCATGTATGATCCATCGGTCTCGGTCCGCCTCATATATGACGAGTTGCCGTTCTCTTTACTCATCGATGGCGACCTGTTGCGACCGGGTCGGGGAGGCTCACGGTGGTAAGTACTGTTGGCTCGGTAATGGCGAGATTCAGAAGGTATCTCCATGGGTGCTGGTGGTGGTCGTTGGTGGATGGCGACTGGCGGGCCCCCAGGCCTGGCAGCTTCTGTTGCTGGTCTGCTCGTAGCATGGACAGAACCCGAGCGTCCCAGCTTAAGCCCTTGAGAAGGAGCGGTCTTGGCTTCCGGCGGAGCGATCGGTTTGTCGAGGTTGCTGTAAGTCTTCCCACCTCCAGGAGCAGCAACATACGGCTTTCGCTCTCTCTCTATTGGCTGTGGTGTTGGAACATCTTCCGTGTTCTCCACATCTCCAGCGTTGAAACTTTCGGATTGCGTCCCACCATATGGCTGGCGCTCGCGCTCAATACTAGCTTGTGAGGAGGATAAACTCGGCTGAGGAGCGTCGGTCACCGGCTCCTGCCTTTCGGAAACAGACCTAAGAGTCGTCCTGGTGGAGGCGTCATCCCCTGCCACACTTGCAGCACCCGTCTGAGACTGTGAGTCTGCAACACTGCTCTGCCGAGAACTCAAGTTGACATTGCAGTGAGTCGACATGACCCTCTGCAACCTGGATGCAATCTCGCTGTCCCCATGGGCGGGAAATAGTCGCCTCGAGAGTTCCTTTGGAAATCTCTCCTTTTTCTCGTCGGGGTTACTGATGGGCATGTCCAGCGCCGTCTTTGCGAGACGTTCATACTCCTGATCCGGATGTGCTCTCAATAACAGCGTTACCCAAGTCTCGAAACCCTGAGGTGTGAGGCCAGGAAGATCGGGTCGCTCATTCAGCTTCTCTTGCACAAGATGATGCTGGCACTCCAGCTCTCTGAACATTCGAGACACCGAAGACGTGCGGTCGTCGAAGATAACTTTCCAAGGATAGACCTCGTTCGGTAGCTTTGTGTCTTCGTAGTACTTCTGCATTTTGGCAGGAGTAATGACCAGGCTATCCTTCGGCTCATAATCTTCGATAAGGTGAACAGCAATGCCGCGAAGGAATTGGCCCAGCCGAGGCGTGGCTCGACCTTGCTCTGTGAACAACTGGCCCCACACTCGTTCCAATATGGTGGCATCTCCAGCCGTAGACATTCTTTTGGGACCCTTGGGTCGACTCGGGTTCGTTTCGGGTTCAGACGCATGGCCTGGCTGGCTCAGAGGCGATACCGCTCTCCTGTCGTTGTTGGGTGACGGGACTCGATATGATGCCTGGCTTGAAGGCGCAGGAAATTGAGGCGAGGGCTGACTGGCGCCTATGTCGTCGGCATATCGATGAGGACTCGGGGGAGTATATACTGTCGCCCTATCCAAAGGCGGAGAACCTGCAGCAGATGAAGAGGTGTCCATATGAGAGCCTGGCATCGGAGGCTGCTGTGTTGGTAGAGGCAAGTTGGATACTTTCAGTTGTTGCAGAACGTTCGCCGTGATCTGGGAAGTGAGTTGTTGTAGCAGGTCTGGGGGTAATGAAGCAGTGGAGGTGGCTTCTGTGGTGTTGAAGGCTGAAGTAACTGCTTCATTGATCGGCTGGTGGGCGTGATGATATCTTGACGGTTCGACACTGTGAGTGCTCTGCTGCGAGACAGTAGAGCCTTCGGTCGACCTGGGGGGATACCGCCCATTTTCTGATCCGACATTGCTCCAAGCTTGATGAAGTTGCCGAGGGTCTCCGTCATCGCTGCCAGTAAAACTGGAAACGCTTGGCTGAGGCGGCAGGCGCTCATTCGAGGCCATTGTATGAAGGAAGCACAGTCCTGTTCCAGGACGAAATTCGTCCTCAACGCATCCAGATGACACTTCCAGGCAGGTCCGTGAGACGCTTCGGTTTCCAAATAGATTGTGAGCACAACCAAGATATCTCTGATGCGGCTCTCACACGCCCACCCACGATACAGCAAGGGATTCGCGTCCAGGCCAGCCTTATCCCACTTATTATTCCTGGCCGGGTCTTATCGGACAGCCAACTCAGATCCTGATCATGGGACGCGCCGTAAGTGAGGCCGTGATACGTAGCAGACCGTCTGTTGGGAGAGGTATTTCGACGTTGTACAGCGGTCAGTTGCGATAGAGGTGGGAAGTGGAACTGCCGAAGGCATGCAGCTTTGAGGTCGGCGAATGACTCGGTCTTAGGAGGCTGTTGTGATGGATTTCTGTGCCGTCCTTTTGAGGGCGACCGTGCGAAAAGCTGTTCGTATTGTTTGCGGCTGGGATGGCTGAAGGGTTCAGGGACGTGTCAAAGCTGAAAAGGGAGTGCAATATCGCAAATATGAGATATCGATGATCCTGTGCACTTGAAACAATCCACTGGAAGCGAGCCGGACGAACGCCTCACAGGTGAGCAGTTCTGGGTAAGTATCAGCGGCATACGAGGATGTCCTGTTGATACGAGCAACAAGATGGTCGAGTTGTGGCTGCGGGATGAAGGGTGTGTTGCATCATGGGTTGCTTCACCAGGGCTCCGCAGCCCACTAATGGGTCTAACGCGGCGTAACCGGTGAAAGGATTGGTGGAGTGCTCGATCTTCACGGGCTATGACAGGCGCAGGGAGAGCTGCCTGGGCTCCTTGGGGCCCTCGGGACAGGACCCTAGTGCCTGTTCTCTGGGCGATGGTAGGCTGGAGAATTCCCCAAATCTTGCTGCCACCCACCTCCCACTTCCACTGCGTACGCCATCATGCTCTCAATGTCGCATGCAAGCTTGTGCTCTTCCCGCTCCCTATCTTCCGAGGTTCGTCTCGCCAAGGTGCATACTTTGTGGCAATCTGGTTTTGATCTGCTCGAAATAGAAGCTGACCCTTGGAGACTGAGCCACAGCGAGATCTTGCGATCGATTCCGCCGAGTAAAGGGCTACAACTTCCAAGCTCACACAAGGGTCACGTCAAAACTTGAAAGATAGAGGCGCCTCGAGAGGGACGAAGAAAGATGGCAACGTCATGGAAACACCCTAGCCAATGCTCGCCTTACCTGTCCAATGGTTCAACCACACCACCCGCTTGTTAACCACCATCAACCTGGAAAGTCAACAACTACCGGTCCGCTTACCTGGGCCAGGTTGAAGAATCCGTGTTACAGCATCCTCTGTTGCGCCCGGCTTCTGTGGTTCCAGGCGGTAGAAGCAGCTAGTAATCAATGCGTTACGCCCTGCCACAGGCACGGTATGGGCAGTCGTGCCGCCTCCTCGTCTAACACTGGTTGATACGATGCCTGGAGGCTTGACCGGTCCGCATACCGTCGAGAAACTATTATCGCTCAACTGCTTTCTCCTCCTCCATGAATCCCGTCGCCATCTGGTAGAAGCACTTTTCTGAATTTGCAATCAATCGTGTAAGCAATGTGAAATCACAGCTAGGCCACACGTGGTACGGAGCGAGCACTCCGTAGCAGGGGTGTGAAAGTGCTCCATACCTGACCTATCTGCTCATATGTCATGGTCGGTCCGCCGTAGGAGTCCTCTTGTGAGCTGTCCTCTTGGCGTTCTTTTCCCTCTATTGTCATTATCGCTGCGTGAAGAGTACGAGTTAACAATTTGCCTAATGATCGGTGAGACCAGCGCGGTCCGATAACTTTCATAGTCATGCTGCAAGTGAAGTGCCCCGAACTGCGGGATACCATTGCTACTTCGTATCTTCGCAGCGGCTGTCTCCTTCATGTGCAACCGTCACGACGCCTCGTGATGGAAAGCAATGCCTGCGGTCGTGCCCCACTCCGGCAATCAACTTTCCAGACGTCGAGGAACGCCACACTCGATCTAGTCCCTTTGGACACCAGGACGGGAAACTTTCCCGCAGTGTCATCGAGGCTCCCGCGTAGACAACCGGTGGGAGACCTCCCCATGCTTGCTGAGCAGTACGTACTCGGCTACGAAGAAAGCTTTCATTGGGTTGTTGCCCTCAAGGCAGGACAACTACCGGCGAATTACCATCTCTGTCCGTCTGGGAAGTAGACATTGATGACTTGGAGGGTAACAAACCCGTATTAAGGACGTTGCATACCATCAAAGATCAGATATGCTGAAAGGGACAGTCCACCAGCAGGGCGGCCTAATTCGGTCTGAGATCTTCCGTAATGCTATCGGTCATTCAAATCTCGCCCTTCTCGGTCTGTAATTGTCGCCCTACACCTGGACTCGACCATCGAAAAAGCGTCGGTGACCTAAAGGATGTTCCCGAAAGCCTCCCGGGCACACAAACCAACCACTTCCAAAGAGCTCTACCCCTGCACAGATACCATTGACCACGGTGAAGAAAGGCATGGTGGCCCATTCATATACGTGGAATGCTTTACCCGGTTCTTCACAATGTAAAGAACCCTTTACAAGCCTTCACTGGTTGCTCAATTGACACCCCATTGCGCCGAGACCTATGCTTCTCCCATCCGCTTTACAGGAGCTTCAAAAGTCCAATATATATATGCAAAACGGTGTCTCCCGCCTATGTCGTGAATTCTTGATACCTGACCTAGTGAGCAAGCTCATCGAGGTCGAGGTAGAGACCTTCGTCGGTAGACGAGGCACGGAAAAGTTACCGGGATCCTCCGCAGTGTGGGCGATTTCATTGGCGGAACAGGCTACGCAAACCGCAATTGTTGAGAGTCTGCAATGAGAGTCACCACGAATTACGGAGTACAGTACCTGGTATCCTTGGAATAAACCTCGCCACAGTACTCTGGTCATGCACGAGCAGTACCCGGGTTTTTCTTACGTCCGAGTGGCCTTGGTTACGCCGAGGAAGCATCCTCATCGGATTCTAGACAACGCTTCTTCTCGCAGTCTGTGAGATTTGCTCATGCTCCGAACCCTCTGAACCTAGCGCTTCCGGACAGCCTGGCGGCGTCGCTTCTGGATGCGGACCAGGCGAGGATGGGGATGTGGCTAGATCAAGGTCGGCAAACACGGGCACTGAGTCCGTGATAGGATATCAAGATGTTGGAGTCGAAAGTGGCAGCAAGTGCAAAGTGAGTGCTTCGAAGCCGATCTAATGTCTATGTCTTGAAACAATCGGAAAGCGCTTGCACGCGCCGCTGCCGTGCTGTAACATTTGCTGCAATCCCGTGCAGAGCTTAACGTAAAAAGCAGGCAGTACCAGCAACTTGCACCTCACACGCCCCCAGCCGCCAAGCTGGTAACTGTGCAACCAAATAACCATGTTTCGTGTTTCCTGTGTTTGCTGTGTGCACGTCGATTGCAAGATTTGCAAGATTCCCACTCCACAGCTTGAAGTAACCGTGGGACCACTCTTCAGCAGAAGAGGGACTGATTTCCTCTGCTGCAATCATTGGACTCTCGCCAGGAATGATGTAGAGGCGATGTCGGTTCAACCTAGCCCATTACAGTTCCCAGTCATCGTCGTCATCGGAGCTGTCCTGCTTGCTGGCCATTTGCGCTTCTTGTCTCTGTCTTTCCTCGCGCTCGAGCTGATTTTGCACACGCGCTTGAATCGGTGGGTTGTAGGCGCCTTGCTTCGCAAAGTTATTCCTGGATCCACGTCCGGAATAGCTAGAGGTGCTACGGGAATCAGAGACCTCGGTGTTGGCGGGAGATTGCGAGCGGACATCCATACCGCCCCAGGCAGATTCACGGTCTTCACCCAAGTAGATTCCGTCACCGTTACTGGATTGTGCTCGAGACTGGACACCAGAACCACTGGCAGATCCAGAGACGGTGCTCAGTGTCGAGCTTGGAGCTGTCTGTCGACGGTGTTCTTCTCGTATGCGTTCTTCTTCAAGGGCATCATCAAGATGGGGAAGACGGTCTTCGATCTCTTGTTGGCAGTTCATGCATTTCTGGTCCTTGTCAGCAGGAGAGCTCTCAATGTTTATCTGCCTCATTGTTCGCTTACGGCATCGTCCGGTTTCTTTCGTTGCTGCTTGGAGAAGAAGCTCAAGTCTTTGGTCAGGCGACAACCAGTGCAGTGGAGCTCCGCTACAGGCTTCGGTGTGCAGCTTGCGCAACGCGGAAGTTCCGCTGGTGGCCCACCTCGACGTTCTCTCGCAAGCGCTGCCTTGTACTTATCCAGTTGGGAGCGGGAGAAGCGGCCTTGAAAGCATTTGACATGGCAAATGGTGCATTCGATCCTGCAGATGATTTTAGCAAGGTGACGGTCTGGTGAATGGAATCTGGCAAGGCGCCTACAATGGTCCCATGTCGACATTGGCGAATCTGGATCCGAAGTCAGCGGGAGGCAGGCGGACAGTATTCATGTTGATTGTTGAGTCGAGGTGAGAGTGAAACGAAATAGAAGAGACAGAGGACAGTTGGGTCAGATGCTGAAGAAGCGGGAAAGAAGAGAATCAAGAAAGGGCTAAACAGGCTTACGACTCCTGCTTTCGTTCCCAGTATGGTCGCTGCTTCTGAGAATTGGTCTTAGACTTCCATGACTTTTGCGACATGGTTCTAGCAGAGGAAGAGGTCGACTAAGAGCGGAAGGGAATTATAGGCGGCAAATCGAGCGCCAAGGCCTCTATCAAAATGTCAGTGAAGGGCGAGCAGCCAGGAGTGAAGTAGCGAGGAAGCATTCAATCGGTTCTACGGAGTACTTCACCCTGAGTTGGGAGCAGGGGCTCATCCAGCTACGATCCGGTCCAGGCCCAGGGTATCAGTCACTTACATGTCTTGTGCTTTGCAAAGTAACCTCTTTGGCCGCTGGGTAAGACCTTGGAGGATGCAATGAGACCGCTTGTTCTGAACTCTCGATCGTGCAGCTTGACTGGCAAGGGAAGTGATGAGTCCTTGTTTGCTGCAAGGCTCAACTTGTAGTTTGTCAAACAGATTCGCCTTGCTGGTACACACCCAAGGACAATGTTCACACCTTGGTGACTAGAAACAGTCTCTCTGTCCGGCAAGAACTATCCACAGCACTTGTTTGCTAATGAAGCTTGTGATATCAACTTGCCTTCAGCGAAGGGATTCAATGCTCACAACCAAGCATACATAAATCCGCAGTTGGAGTTGTGTTCAAATTGGCTTTCTGCAGTTGTTATGCTTCTTGGCATGCAGCAAGCTTCCAGTTGGCCAGATATATACCGTACTTACCAGGTATGTAATCTTCGACTGTCGACACCGATAGCGGCTACATAACCACCGGCAGACGTGTTGCTTTATGTCAACGGCAAGCTAGCTTAATGACAGTCAATGAGCGAGAACGAAGTCGTCAGGCAATAAGAACGTTGTGTCATTCCAAACGTGTGTGGAGGGTTATGGTTTCCCACGTTGAGATAGATTTGGGCTTGAGCAGTGCAGCCAGTGGAGGTCAAACTTGTCACTTCGATCTAGAATAAGATCCACGATTGTATCACGTTTTCAGCAACCGATGGTTTGCCTTTCCGGCCTGCCGAAGACATAATCTATTGATCATAGAATTGCCTTCGCGACAGCATCCTTCAATTAACCAAAGGGGTGAGATTGTTCTCAAGGGTCCAAAACTATCCGATGTACGGGTGCGTTACTGCAATCCGTGGTACCCAGTAATTTTACTTGAGGTTGGCGAGAGCATCAGCCTTCGGGTCGTGTCTCATGACGGTTTCACTCCTCGTGCTTTTGGGCTTCGAGAAAATCGATGTGATCCGCCAGATTAGCGTGCTTGAGGGCCTGGACAAGGGGCATGCCATGACTTCCATGGCTTTTGGCGAGCAAATATCGGTGCGCGATGTTGACACGGTCAGAGTCGGTCAACACGCTTTTGGTGGTGGTCGACCCCAGTCCGGTTCTATCGAAAAGTCGGCGACGGTTGAGGCCAATCGAAAAAGGCTCTGAGATTGGATCAGCGCTTCTGGCCGGCACCAGAAACGCCCCGGTCCTGATGCAAGGTTGCGGCGAGTTGCGACCAGCCACAAATCCAGTCGAGGTCCGCCTAAACCTGTTTTTGGCACTGTCACCAGGAACCGTGTGCTGCTAGCTCAAGGGGCGGATAGGCCGGGTTTTGCGTCTGCTGTTCGGCCACCAGAAACGTGGCAATTTACTGACGGTGTGCTTTTCAATAATTTGGATTCCCAGTTGGGAGCCCTGGGAAGGCTTCGTAATAATGTAGCTTGGCTCATTGGATTCTTACAAGTTGCGCCAGGCAGCAGGCATGCTCATCTGGCCCCAGCAACAGCGTACACAGTACGAGTTACTGCGGACTCCGTACATACCCAGTAGTGAGGGAGATGAGAGCGACGGGCGAATGAGCCTGCTGTCGTGTACGCACTGCAACTTATTATTTTAAATGCTGCACACCGCGTCTGCGACATGGTCTTTTTTGTACGACGGCGAACGATGCGCGCTCTACTCGTTCATTAGTAGTAGTACTTTGGAATCACGAGGCTCTCTCGTGGACAGATTTCGTACTCGGACTCCGTACGAAGTCCCCAAGGTGCTCGAGACCATGGTGACGACAGGTGATGACAAGATGACGATCGAGGATCGACTCGGCAAATGAGGAGCCTCAGACTCCTTCGTCAGCCGGGTCCGCATTGCTTTCAGAACAAGCAGCACGAGCGTCCGGGTTCCTTGTACTCCGAACTGGTAAATGTTGAGTTGCTCGGGGCTGCTCCTTATACTGTGGTGCTGCCGCCTCCGAGCTTGGAAGACGGCCGCCTCCCCAGCAAGCATCCACGACAGCAGTCTTGCGTCTAGATTGAACGACTGGCAGTGCGCCCAGCGTTCACGTGCTCTCGGCGACTGTGCATCCACCTTGGTTTAACGTTCTTTCTGGCCATCGGTGTGATTTTCAGGGGACACAATGATTAGCAATACTATCTGCTTGATGAGAGTATTCTCACGCTCTGACTGCTGCGTTGCTTGTCCGAAAGCAAAATAGGACACAGCACGATCGCTGTTTGGCTGAAGAGTTCCGCATTCCGCGCCCCGTCCGGATGGGCTCAGTGGTTTCTCAGTGCTGGATCTCTGAGGGCTTGGGGCCGGCGGGGCTTACCGCGGCCGTTCAGTGGCCGGAGTTTGACAAGCTGAGCAGCTACCAGGCCAGCCTAGCCACGGTGGTCAGGCACGGCCCCTGCTTCACCTCTCCAACCACACGAGCCCAAACTTTGGCAGACTGCCCTGTGTTTCCGGGAGACTAAACCAGTGTCCAGGAAGCCCTAAAATCAAGGCTTGACTGTTTTAAGCTGTTGCCCTGGTTTGATGCGCCGCGGGCCCCAGATGCCGGATGGAACTCGCGCCTCATAACCTAAAGCCTCGCATCAAGTGCTGACACCACACCAGTACGATCTCGTTTCGCTTGTCCACCACTGTCCTGTCACCTGTCTCTCCCTTTTCAAAACACCGCCGAACAACTCAACCCACTCTCCTTTTGGTCTGCTCGATGTGCAGAAGGAACGAATTTATTTCAGCCCGGTCAGCGCAATTTTCCAATCCTGTGCGCTTTGGGGCATTCGTGCAAGACCAGACTCCGACTTCTCTCCCATCTCCAGCCCCCCTGGCCTTGCCTGCAGAGTCAAGGCGCGCCTCCCACTTCCCAGCAAATTGTCCGAGCGCAGCATCAACGCAGCCGAATGATGCCTGTCACGTCAAACACGTCCCTGCGATACTAGCCTGTGACGAAAGCCCCTCCATTGCATTCAAGAAAGGGGAAGACTTGTCTATCCACTTTCCCAACGCCCCTTGCGGGTCGACTCCGCCAATCGACCCTCCCGTAGCTAGTTCCCCTAGCTGCCTCGAGCGACTTTGCACTGGGTCCTGCTGAGGACTCTGATCCTGATCCGAGCAAGAGCTTCTTGAAGCTCAACCTGGATCCCCATCCCATCTCCCTCCTCATCACAACGTCTGCGTGTGTAGGCCTACCTCGACAAGTACTGAGTATTGCACGACAAGATCGAAGACGACGTCCAGCCTGTCCCGACTGTCTTCCTGAGACAACGTACTAATTCCACCGAAACAACGAAAAGATGACGTGTTAAGTTTCTCAAGAACACCCATCCATGGGCGCAGGGAAGCCACAATAAATACGCCCACACCGTATATCCCACAACCACCGAGGAGGACGGAAAAGGTGCCCTGAGCCAGCCGGAAAACCTGTCGGACAAGATGGCCGTCACGGAGTATAGCCAGAGGCCTGCCTCGTACGCCTTGGTTGCACTGGAGGACCGGTTTGAAGTGATCAAGGACATTGGAGATGGCAGTTTCGGAAGTGTTGCTTTGGCCAGAGTACGGGCGAACGGTGCGAGTGTCGCACGGCGGAACACGATGGTTTGTCCACTTGCACTATTGACTGCGGAAGCTGCTGACACTAATGATTCCAGGTCGCAATCAAAACGATGAAAAAGACCTTTGAATCCTTTGGACCATGCCTCGAGCTTCGCGAAGTCATATTCTTACGGACACTCCCCAATCATGCGCATCTGGTTCCCGCGTTGGATATCTTCTTGGATCCATTCAGCAAGAAACTGCATATTTGCATGGAATACATGGACGGTAACCTTTATCAGTTGATGAAAGCGCGGGAACACAAATGTATGGACGCAAGAAGTGTCAAAAGCATCCTTTACCAGATCCTGTCCGGTCTCGATCACATCCACAACCACAACTTCTTCCACCGCGACATCAAGCCAGAAAACATCCTCGTCTCTACTTCAGCACCTCAGGATTCCCAGTCAACTTTCAGCAGATATTCCTCACTAGTCACTCCGCCTTCTACACCGCCAACTTATTCAATCAAGATCGCCGATTTCGGGTTGGCTCGAGAGACCCACTCCAAATTACCATACACCACCTATGTCTCTACTCGATGGTACCGAGCGCCAGAGGTACTTCTCAGGGCTGGGGAGTACTCTGCTCCTGTGGACATTTGGGCCATTGGAGCGATGGCGGTCGAAATTGCCACTCTGAAGCCTTTGTTTCCGGGGAGCAACGAAGTGGACCAGGTGTGGCGGATCTGTGAAGTTATGGGCAGCCCAGGGAGCTGGTACACGAAAACCGGAAACCGGGTGGGAGGCGGTGAATGGAGAGAAGGGACTAAGCTGGCTCAAAAGCTGTGTTTCTCGTTCCCCAAGGTAATTTGATCTATTCGAATGCTTGTCGCCATGCTAACTAGTTACAGATGGCTCCTCACGCCATGGAAACTATTCTACAGCCTCCACAGTGGCCCTTGGCCTTCAGCAACTTCGTCACGTGGTGTTTGATGTGGGATCCCAAGAATCGTCCAACATCGAAGCAAGCAATGGACCACGAGTTCTTTGTCGACGCTGTTGATCCTCTCAGGCCCAAGTCATCATCACGGCTGCTCGGCCGGAAGCACTCGGATTTGATTTTCAGATCAAAGGACGTGGCCGACACCCCAACCATCACTTCGAAGCCCTCCTGGTTCCGGAGATCCCTCATTGCTCGTGAAAGCGCCCCCGCCGTGCCTCAACACACTCCCGAGCCGAAGGCGGTGCAGCAAGAACCAGAAGGACTTGTCAGCAGACTTCGACCTCAAGCGAGTAAGCGTGCGACGTGGACCAATGGCACCAACTCTAACGGCGCTGCACCAATGCCAATACTGCCTTCAATCCGCCCTATCTCACCACTGCCCAACGCCGTCACCGCACAGGCAAGCTCTACATATGTGTCTTCCAGCGAGTCGAAGCACGAATCCAAACCGGCCGAAGAGAAATCGAAGAAGATTGGTCGGCAGTTGTCCATCAACTCACACGGTAATCATTACGCCGATCTCCACCGCCAGGAGGCCGAGCGGGCACTCAACGCCAACAGCGGCCTCGTGTCACCACCCAGTGGTCAGAAGGAGAGCTTCTTCTCACATCTGCGCAAGCGGGCGAGGCGCTTCTCTGGACGGCACGGACTGGCGTCACCCAGCGGTGACGATGTCGAGGCAAATGCGGCCAACGTCCCATGGTCTAACAGATCGTCGCTCATGGTCGACAGCGCCATTCCCGAAGTCAACCACGATTTCTCCGACCTTGACAAGATCTTACAAAATGTGAGATACAGTCTTGATCGTGCCGAACCAGAGATGGGACACAGGAAGTCGTCGACAGAGGTGACCTCCAACCAAGGGTCTCTGAAGAGGACGCATTCAGTCCCGAGATCACAAGGGAGCCGGTCCAGCGAGAATCTGGCACAAGTCCCGGCTCCCACGAATAACCGCATCTCGCGTCGTCCTATCGCAATCAATCAGTACGAGACGCCTGAAGAAGCGGATGAGTTGCTTGATGAAGCCTTGCGCTCAGCTCAGCGGGCGGTGCGGCGACTTGACCAGAAGGGCTATCCCAAAGACCAGGCACAGCGACACGCATTGGCACAGAAAGACTACAACAGGCAGTCATTACCACAGATCCCGAGCAACCCGGCTTTGCACGGTGCCTACCTCACGCCATCGCCTTCGGCGAAGAGGGACGGTGTGCACTTCAACTCAAACACCACTTCCACAGTTCAGCCGCTGAACATCACCAAGAAGCGCAGTGAACATGACCATGTACCTTCCCACTGGCCTACGCCGCCATACGAGGAGAACGATTGGGCATCTGCAGCTGCCAACAGCATTTTGGCAACAGGCCAGATGTATCGATAAACGATGATTGCTATCCACCAGCCAACTCACCACACTCCTTGAGACCCCAAAAGTACCTGTTCTGACCATCTTAGCACGATATACTCTGCCTGATATCCTGTACGAAAAGAGGAGGAGTGTATCCTATGACAGCAAATTTATGAGCGATATATGTTTGGCGGCGTTGTGAACAGAATGTGGGAACAAGCTGCACCAAGCGCTGCCAAGCGCTGCCTGCTTCCCCGGATCAGTCCGCGACAGGTGCGGCTTTCGATTCTTACACCCCGGAAATGGGCTCACTTGCATTGGGAACGCATTGTTTTGGGTCAGTGGTGTTTCGGGAGAGTTGGTTTCGGACGACGAATTATTTGCTTTGTATGAGGTTGCATTTTGGGATTGCCAAGGTGCTGGCATTGTCAGCTAAGACAGCGACAGACTTTTTCCTTTGTTAACCGCCCTTGGAGGTGAGAGGCTGTACAGCTAGATACCATATGTATGGACAGGACGTGGTCTATGGATTATTGTGGTGTTGGAATTGGTATTTGGTGGTCGGTGTCCAAGACCATGACTGGATTCGCGGTTTCCAGATTGACAGAGATAGCTTGTGAGCAATCAATGCGATATTGGATCACACTGATATTTGTCTCTAAGTGGTCTGGATCTTTCGAGGCCGTGTGTCTTGCTTTACCCGTGTCAGCAGCGTGGCCGCTTCACAAGTGGTGCGAGTCAGATGGCTATGGCGCTATTTCACGAGCAGGTGTCAAGTACCCTGGATGAAGCTGGCAGGTTGCTATGATGGCGACTTGGAGCTGAAGAATGCCACAGACGTGTCACGGCGTGCTGGAATACAGTTGTGCATAGTCTAATCTGACGGAGGTTGACGTGAGAACGGACTCTGTCATTCTGCTCTGATCGGTGATAGATGTCCGGGTGGCAATTCAAGCATGAGTCGAGCAATGGCCATCATGCCAGGTAATCGTTGAGATCCAGGCTGGCCAAAAGATCCATGCTGCGAGTCCTCATCATCAGGCTGTCTTTAATGTGTACCCAATAGTCTGAGGCTGGACGAGATGAACGAGGTAATTACTTCGAGTGTTTTTTGTAGCTGACTAATTCCGGAGTAGTTAGCGTGCCTTTCCAGTAGTGGAAACGAGCCCGGGTATTTCCGTCTTGGCGAGATTTCAATTGGTTCATCCTCATTGCGCATATTGCGACCTTGGAGGATCAGAGGACCAGGACGAGAACGAGAAACGAGAACGAGTACCAACAACCCTTCCTTGGTCGAGACAGCTCGCCACGATGAGCGCTCTACCAGGGGCACACCCATCGAGGGCATTTCTGAGCGGAACGATGTCTCCCTTGTCGATGTGTCGACAATGTCTCCGCAACACCGTCATCCGCAGCCAGCATCAATATCAGCATGCTCGGCCTCGAATCAGCATAACCACCGCCCGTCGCGCCGCCTCCACAAACAGCGGCAAACCCATCGTTCTGGAACAACCAGATAAATTCCGCCCGCCGTCACATCCCGCGCGATTGAACCGTCCGCGAAGGCCAACGGCCGCGTATAACCAGGGGACGACCTCGGAAGAGAAGGCGAGGCAGCAGCACAGGTCGTACCCGCACATGTTCCCCAACCAAGGCACATTCATGCATTGGTTTCTGACGGATCGGAAGATTCATCTATGGATTACAATGGTGAGTCCAGTAGTCCCACAGCGAATGAGTCGTGTTGGGGGAGAAGGAGAGGCCGTAAGACGGGGACGCAAAAGAAAAGCACCCAAAATGGCACAATCTCCTCGTTCACGCAGATCCACGACCTGGCTAGATAGCTAGCTCGCCCTGCAGATAGCTTTACTTGCTTCACGACGACTGATATTTATCCCCCCTGCGTGGGGGGCATGTAGGGCACCCTCACCATCCTGGCGTGCATCACCATGACGCAGTCGTTCGTGCGCACGTCGCCCTACGCGCATCTCCTGCCCTCGCTCTCGTCCTTCCCGCTGCACCCGATCGAATACATCTCGGAGACGCTGTCGGTGCTGCGCCTGCACATCGAGTACGAGACGCAGCGGACGAACGAGTCACGACAGCAGAAGATCCTGGACGCGCAGAAACGCCGACTGTACCGTCGTGCGCACGGCCTCGAGGATCTCAACGCCGACGAAGACCAGGGCATCGACGTGCGCGGCCTGGTGCCCTGGGACGACGGGCTCACGAACAAGGAGCGCACTCAAGGCGGGAGGGAGATCGTCTTGACCGGTGCGGACATGATCAAGCTGGGCATGCAGCCCGGCGAGCACCAGATCGAGTTCATGAAGAGACTGGAGTCGCAGGGCGACAGGTTGAGGAGGGTCAAGGAAAGGGGCGTGGATGCCGTGCTGAGGGAGGAGCAGGAGGCCGCGACGAGGGGGAGAGCTGCGACCGGCCTGGCTGCTGCCGCCGAGGGCGAGTCATTACCTGGTCAAGATCCCGGACAGGAATCCCAGCCTCAGGCCCAACCGGAGAAGAGGCGGAGGAAATTGTGGTTGGGCATCTGGTGATGGGTACTACAATTTGACAGGTACTTTGCTGGGCGCGTCGAGTCGAGCTGGCTGCCACGCTGCCTGCAATGGACATACTCGTACTGTATTCCATATGCTTGCTCTTATGTGCATGTGATCTGAGACACAAACACACATGGATACAGTTTGATACGGGTAGCAGAACCAGTACCAGTATCTTGACAGAGAGCGTCAGTACTGCGCGCGAGGCGTGACTGTGTCAGTCAAATGCAAGTCGACTTCCCTTTTTGCCATTCACAAGGTTTGCAATTGCAAGCCGCAGTTTGTGAGGCTCATCTTTACGACTGTATATACGTGCACTACATATCTCTATGTTGAGTGCATATATGTTTATATGTGTGTATATGCGTGACCTGTATTCCTCGCACCGTAGGTACTGCCCCCTGCGCACGAGCGGTTGAGGTATGCACCGAGTGTGCTCGGTCTTTTTAAGTCCAAATTCGGAGCTCTTTCCTGTGGCGACGGAGGAGATGGTTCGGTTCCGGTGAGGAGGTTTCGTCTTTCTTTCTCTTTTCTTTCTCTTTTCTTTCGTTCTGCTTGGTATCAACTAATTACACCAAGCAACGGACTGACAGATTAGGTATCGAACCTGCCGGCCCACCAGGACTGCGAAGGTAGATTGCACAATCGTGATGCTGTGGCGGTTTGGTAGACCGGTCGCGTCTGGCAATTGTTTTGCTGCTCACTGAGTATTGTGGAAGTCGTTGTCGGACTGAGCTGCCTGGGCCTCTAGTGGATGAGGTCGCGTGAGAGGCAGTACAACCCTATGGCAGTTCGAAAGCGGCCATCCATGTCGTTAGGATGGTATTCGTGGCTTGTGGCACTGGATTCCGCGGGTTCATTCGGCAAGTTTGTCTGCTAGACACGTACTCTCACCACTGTTCAGTGAGGCTTGTAAGACCCGATCCCCTTGCAAGGCTGAGCGGTGCTGAGCGGTGGACTGAGTGGGAAACTCTCTGCGTTCAGCTTGCAAGCACGGTTTGGCGACAAAGCCACTGTCGGCCCAATCTGTAGGACGCACAAGCCCTAGGACTCCTCATGAATCATATGTCCCATTCGCCCAATCTTAGTCTCGAGGTATTTCTCGATCTCGGCCCCTCTGACCCCTTTGATTCCGCCCGTTCGCCAGGCAATGGGTATCATGGGCACCCTTTCTCTGACCCGGACTTCTTTACCGGGTCCTTCAACTGCTCTCACTTTGTCGGGATTGTTGGTTAGAAGCCTGATCCCCCGTTCGCTCTCTGGCTTTTCCGCATCGCTATCCGTTCCCAGCCCAAGATCTTGCAGAATAGCAGTCGCAAGACCATAGGTTCTTGCGTCGGCGGGATGTCTGAGTAACAGATTTGCTTCTACTGTATCGTTTCCCAGATCTTGAAGGTTGTACGCTTTTAATTTAGAAGCCAGGCCGATGCCACGGCCTTCTTGGCGAAGATAAACTATGACGCCGCCGGTGGAATTTCGAAGAGACATGAGTCGAGCTGCTTCGTCCAGCTGTTCGCCGCAATCGCAGCGGGCTGACCAGGCAGTTTCGCCCGTGTAGCATTCGGAGTGGATGCGGACGAGGGGTGCCTTGCCGGCCGAGGACGTTGTTATAAGTGTATTTTCGAGGAGAGTGTTCAGACTGGCAGGAGACTGATGATTTGCCGGTTGTTCGGCGTTTTGTTCGTCCTTGGCTGGCGGAGGCTGAACGGCAGCACTCAAGGCCTCAGAAGGGACCTCAAGGACCCCGTCTTCAGGGAGGGTGGTCACATTCTTCAGCGCCGAACCGCTTCGTAGCCGCTTGGTATGTGGTCGTTTATTCTGCTCGGAAGGGTCGATCCTCGAACTCGTACGTCCCGGTCGTAGTCGTCCCACGTAGGCTCCCCGAATCATACGATCCATCTCTGTCTCCCCGGGCTTCTCGGCATCGAGACTCCGACTCCGAATGCCGTTGCCAAACACAATTGCCAAATGCTCCTTGTTGTCGGAGTCATTTTGGTACAGATGCAGGAACATCTCGGCGCCGGAGGTTGTGGGTATCCTCGCACGTACTAGACACTCCACGTGTGGTAGCTTCTCGACCAGGCGAGGTTGCTTGACGGACGGGTCGTCGAGCGAGGTGTCAACAGGAATGGATTTGGGCTCAACATGGAGATGGCGAGAGGGTGTGCCTGCGCCCGGTGTTGCTGGTGGAGTAAAGGCCGGGGAGACGAGATTATTCGGAAGGCCGGGGGTGGGAGCGCCGCCATCGTCGAGGTCAGACCAGTTGGCCAAGTATGCTGTCGACGGTCGGGCGACGGGAGATATGACGGGGGAGGCGTGGGAGGGGTAGTCGGCGGTGGTGCGAGCCATGGTGGCCCGGAGTCGTATAGGCGAAGAGGACCAGGTCTATATCCCAAGGGGTGTCATGGCGACTGTAGCCAGGAGTACGAGCACACAATCCAGGCACAAGCGGACTGAAATCGTCGAGGACGGAAGAGGGGAGAAATGGGTGGATGGTAAGTGGTAGATGTTAATATGGTAAATGGTAAATGGCTGATGAAATGTCCCGGTGCCGCAGCCGCCGCTTCCACCACGTCGACCACCTCGGCCCTGCCTCCGCACTTTGCCAATTCTTCTCTGCTGCTGCTTGGTCAGTCGGCGCGGAGCATTGGGTAAGCACCAACACCAGACGATAGCATCTCGGTCGAAAGAATGCCTGCCTCGAAACGAGACGCCCTCCTCGCCGCGTCTCAAGCATTCTGCAGCTCGTTCGCCAACAAGGAGGCGCCAGCGAACGTCCTCAGCCATTTCTCATCTTCCGATGACGTGCTGGCCGTGGAACATGGTCTGCCTCAATTGGCACCGTTCCTGGGCCGTGACTTTCGAGGACAAGCAGGCTTGGAGGCCTACTTTCAACTTCTGTCTTCGCACTTGAAGTATGAGGACATGAAGTTCAGCAACTTCGTCGTCGACGCCGAGGTGTCCAAGGTATCGGTGCGAGGCGAAGCAATCTTCACCTGGATCAGCACAGGGCAATCGTGGGACGAAGTCTTCACCTATGTGCTCGAGTTCGACCAGGAGAACCGGGTCTTGGTCTACGAGGTTTGGGCCGGTGAGTGCAGACAGTACGCTCAGAACTCCTACGCTAACCACAGATCAGATAGTGGTGCCGCCTATCTAGCCAGCGAGGCCCAACTTAATCAATAGACGATTCAGTCCTCCGACCCATCGTCCCTATCGTGATTCTGACTCGCAGAAGACGCAACTGCCTAGCTTGCAGGGGTCTTCCTCCTGGAATCCCCTCGCGCTGGATCTGGTGCGCTCCCCTGGCCGCTCATTCAGTTCTTCGGCTTGCTGTCTTTCGGCTTGTTGTCCTTGTTGTCCTTGTTCTCGAAGACGAAACGGCCTTCCACAGTCTGCAGCCCCTGGTCGTCGTCGTCAAAGCTCAGGCTGTAGTTAGGTTTCTTGAAACTCTGCACTGTGGCTTTGTAGAATGTGTCAGTATAGGGATACTTGGCGTACACACTCGTGCCGTCCTTGAAATATTGGAAGGTCGGGTTGTCTTTCGGGATGGGCAGAAGATTCTTAGCAAGGACCCGCCGCGAGGTTGGCTTGCCCGACGAGGCATCGACCTCTGGGTCCCTCACGTCGTATTGAACGCTGCAGCTTCATCAGAATCGTTACCCGACGGTACTGGATTGTCTTAACTCACGGCTTTCTGTCCTGTAGCACCTTCTTGATGATGACGTGGATGCCCACGCCTTCGAGTTCATCTTGCGCCTTTTGGTCCTTGGTGTCTTTGGGAATCTTGAGGTCCGGGTATTTGTAAAAGACTTCCACTTCAGGCTTCAGCTGCCCCGTCCTTTCGGCCTGAAGTCCCACGTTTGTCTCAACGCTGTCGTCCCTGATGGCTGATGGTGCTCGATTCTGGCTCGCTGTACTTGAGCTACGTTGGGATGTCCCCTTGACTCGTTTCATCAACTCCGAGCGCCCGTCTCCTGGGCTAGGCCCCGGTGAATCCACCGCATCAGGGTCGATATTGGATCTCTGCTGCTTCCGCACCTTGGACTGGCCATTCCGCGGTGCGGGTTCGTCGCTCGTCTTGAGAGTCTTCAGGATAGCGAGATTGCTGATAAAGTCTTCTTCCTCCTGCACCTTTCGCTCCAGCTCCGCGTAACGAAGCATCTCCCTATAAAGTTGATCCAGGCGCTGCAGTTGGTCGGAGGTACCTGTATCCAGTTGATCAGGCGAATCAAAAACAGTGTTGCAGTAGTGCCACTCACGTCCGTTGGCCTTCATCTCGCCTTCGAGAGCCATAATATCATCCCCAAGGTCCTTTTGCTTGTCATTATATTCTTTGACCTTTCGGAGACTCTCAAGGGTCCGGTTGAGCAGATCGTTTTCAAGGACTTCTGTGCCATCGCGGCCAGTCGTGCCCCGGCCCGCTCTGGGGCGAGATGACATGTTTAGATGCGACAAATGGCTAGTTTTAACAATAGTATACGTGGTCATACGAAATGTTTAAGAGACACCCCCGCTGTAAAGTCTCGGTCCATACATGCAGCAAGAGGGCGACCAAGACTCATAGTTGTGTCCTCAACCAAGTGGACTAGAAGCAGCCATGGCCGTTACGGTGCCAGAGCCACTCACAGCCACTCAAAGGATGATGGAACTGCGCTCGAGGCAGAACCAGCCACCGGAATGTCTACAGCGGGCGGTTTCAGCACAGGCGCAAGTTCGTATGACGGCGAGCGGACCGCTTTCCCGCTCCTCTTGGTCACTGATGCCTCAGTCGATATTTCTCGGTCCCTGACCAACCACGTTTCCACGAATCTACACCTGCCACTGCTGCGAAAGCCTCCATTTCCACTGGATCTCAAGCCACTTTCATCCTCTTCACCGCCATCTTGATCTTTTCTTCTTCCTCTCGAGATTGGTTTCTTAGTTAAAACGTCCTCGTCCCAAAGTCCGACTGAGTGTGCGCACACCCTTCACCTTGACAGGTTCTCAGTATTACAGCCAGAATCCAGACATCATGCAAGTACCCCTGCTTCGCCTGCAATGCGGTAAGTGTCGTATTATGGCGTGGTAATCTATGAATGTTGACCTTGTCAAGGCTGTAACAGCTACGACTGGGGCAAGAAGGGAAAGGACTCTGCAGCCGCCAGATACGCTGCTGCAACGCCCTCAGACAGCTTCACCGTGCAGGATGATAAGCCTTACGCTGAGCTATGGATGGGCACCCACCCGTCATTGCCTTCCAAGGATCTCACCACCGGCCGGTCACTACTTGACCTCGTTTCAGACAACCAGGCATTGATGGGAAGCGACATCACCGAGAAGTACAACAAGAAACTGCCGTTTCTCTTCAAGGTCCTGTCCATCAACAAAGCCTTGTCGATCCAGGCTCATCCCAATAAGAAACTCGCCGAGAAGCTCCATGCAAAGGACCCGAAGAACTACCCAGATGATAACCACAAACCTGAGATGACCCTGGCCATCACTCCCTTCGAAGGTCTCTGCGGCTTCCGGCCTCTCAAGGAAATCGCTCATTTCCTCTCCACCATCCCGCCTCTCCGCGAATTGGTCGGCGAAAATGAAGCCAAAGGTCTTGAAGAGATCGCCAACGATCCATCGCCATCTGAAGCCGAGGCCAAATCCCGCCTGAGATCGGCATTCAGCTCGCTCATGAAATCTTCCAAAGAGGAAGTCGCTGAGAAGTCGCACGCTCTCCTAGACCTGGCGAAGCAAGGTTCCATCTCCCCGGGACCCAGCGTGAACACCTCCGAGGAACTCTGCGAACTCGTCCAGCGCTGTAACAGCCAGTTTCCCGAAGACATCGGCCTCTTCGTGCTCTTTTTCTTGAACTTCGTCAGGTTGCAGCCAGGACAAGCCATGTACCTGAAAGCAGACGACATTCATGCATACATCTCCGGCGATATCATTGAATGTATGGCCAGCAGCGACAATGTCATCCGCGCGGGCTTCACCCCGAAATTCCAGGACGTGAACACACTGACGGATATTCTGACATATGACCATAACCCACCCGAGCAACAACTCCTCCAGCCGGTTGATTACCCATACGTCACTCTGAATGACAAGGCGTACAGCTCGAACAGTGAATCTCTACTCTATGACCCACCCATTGAAGAATTCAGCGTGGTGCGCACAGTGCTCAAGAAAGAAGGCGCTAAGGCCACGTTCGAAGGTCTCGCCGGACCGAGCATCATCATCTGCACGAGTGGCGAAGGCACCATCAGCGTGGGACCCAAAAAGGAAGACTTCAAGGAAGGTTGGGTGTATTTTGTGGGTGCGACAGCCGAATTGGTGGTGGAGAGCAGTGCCAAGGAGATGGTTACATTCAGAGCCTTCTGCGAGATTGGGGACGCGGCGAAGCACAATGGGACGCATTGACTAGTCGAACCGAAAGGTATGAATAGTCGATTGTGAGGATAGCTCGATGCCAGCGACCGAGGTAATGACACTTTATGCAAGCGACGATGTCAGAAAATGAGCGGCTTCAGTGGCAGTACCAGAGAGCCAGGCTTTGGAGACAGCCAATGCTTGAACAGATCGATGCCAGGTAGATAGAGTGAGTGAGAACGCCTGGGATGGGTGAGATTCCACCCTCGCAACATAGATACTGTAGATGGCCTTGGTTTGATTCTCAGGCAACCTCATCCCGTGAAACGAGGCCCCAGCAACGGCACTGTATCGTCACTTCTATGTGAGCTAATTCGCGAAATCGGATAGTGTCACACCAACCTCTGGCGGAGCTAGGCAAAAGAGACGTCGTAGTGCGCTAATAGGATCATCAAGTGGCAGTCAAGTCAGTCGCCCGATTTGTAAGCCTGTCGTCCTGTCCAGTTCGAAGTAAGCGACTTTTTCTCACCTTTGCTATTCACCAACCAGACCGACGGGCTTGGTAGACACAGAGACATATAAAAGGTGGTCAGCGTAATTAATGCCGGCATTGGGCCAGAGAGTCGTCCATCGATTCAAGAGGTGACAATAAAATTCTGGTGGCGCTGATTTCCGCCCACATATTGCTCCCCTCCCCCATACAGTAATTAATTACTACCGTACTCAGTGGGAGCCTCCTCAACACAACCACCACAATGGCTCCAGTCCGTGTGGGCATCGTAGGCCTGTCGGCAAAACAAGGCGCCTGGGCGACGTTGGCTCATCTGCCTCGACTCGCCAAATCTCCCAACTACGAAATCGTGGCCTTGTGCAACTCGTCGATAGAATCGACCAAGGCGGCGATCAAGGCACATAATCTGCCCGAGACGACCAAGGCGTACGACACGTACGAGGCTTTGGCAGCGGACCCGGACGTCGATCTCTACGTGGTCTCGACCCGAGCGGACACGCACTATGATGTCGCCATGCCAGCCCTCAAGGCCGGCAGGAATGTCTTTGTCGAGTGGCCGCTCGCCGCGACCACGGCACAAGCAAAGGAGATGGCGGCCGTTGCCAAGGAGAACAAGGTCAAAACCATGATCGGGCTTCAGGGCCGCATGTCACCGAGTGTGAACAAGGTCAAAGAACTGGTTGACTCGGGCGCTCTGGGTGAAATCCACAGTGTGAACTACCAGGGTGCCATTCACGTGTGGCAGAACAACGCGGCGAGCGACCGATATCACTACTTCATGGAACGCAGGGTCGGCGGCAATTTGCTGACCATCTACGGAGGCCACGTTCTCGACTCGATACTGTACGCGCTGGGAGAGTTGAAGGCCGGCAGCTACACGCCGCTGGCAGTCAACCTCCGGCGGAAAATGCATCTCATGAAGCCCGACGGGTCGCTGTCGGAGGAGCTCTACGACAAGAACACGCCCGACCAGATCCTGCTGCAGGGGCGGCTTGACCGGCATCCGTCTGCGGTGTTCAGCTTCCACCTCCGAGCTGGAGACAGGTTTATTGGCTCCCCTGGCTCGACCTGGCGGATATATGGCACCAAGGGAGAATTGGCCGTCGAGTTTGCGAGCGCTGGACCGCAAATGGCCAAGGCTTTAAGCATTCGGTTCTCCAACGCTGAGAAGGGCGAGATCGAGGAATTTGTCACGGACGAGGGTGGTGAAGAATGGACCGCGCTGCCAACCCAGGGACAGAATATCGGCCGGCTGTATGAAGCTTATGCAACTGGGCAGCCTTACGCAGACTTTGACCTTGCCGTGAAGAGACATGAGCTCATTGACGAATTCTGGGCCACGATGGAGTAGTGTGCTAAGTCCGGGGGATGATGCGGGATGGCAGAGCATGGGCTCGTACGAGGTACAAGTGTTCGTAGATCCTCGTGTGGCATCTGTGGCGCAAACTAGATCTCGACTGGCTTCTCCAACGGTTCTGGTGCGACGCTGTGCTGTGCTGCGTTGCGCTGTGTTACTGCTCTGGGTTAAGCAAACGATACCAGACCATGGAGTGATGCAGGCTGCACGGTCATGGTCATGGTACGCATACCCGGGCTCGACCTCTGACGTCTACTGTGTAGAGGCTGCCGCTGCTCCGAATGTGTCGACGACGTCATCGCCACCTGCTCGGCTAGATAGAGCTTGTATTCTTTGCCTGCCATCTGTGTTGGAGCCTGTGGGAGTCGCAGCAAGGACGTCACAGACAAAGCCGGCCATGTCTGCATCGCATTTCAGGTCAGGTACCCACAGATACAAGAATGACAGGCAGATAGATCTATTTCAAGACCGGAAGAAAGAACGCAGAGATTAAATTCTGAAATTGGCGCAGCTGGATGAGACCATGCTGTTCCGATTGCTCCTCGTGCGCTGAGTGATTGCGGCCCCGAAAACTGCCGATGACAACAGGGCCCATGTGATTCGTCGGGTCGCCTGGGCAGAACCAGAAAGAGCCCCAAGAGCCGGGCGGAAGACGAGCGAGCGAGTGCTGAAAGTGGATTCGATCCTGGTCATTCATCGGCGTCACAGACCTTTTTCTGGTCTTTGTTCCCCTTCAACTTTTTTGCTTCAGTCTCTTTTGCCATCTACGCCTGCAACAACTGCTTAAGCTATCTCATACACGAGAGCTCCCTCATTCGTATCCATACTACCACCTTTATTACCCCAGCTTCTTTCATCACATCAGAATGGGCAAGGACGACGGTTTCAAGGAAGGTGAGTGTCTCCTGCTCCACTGGCCTTCGCAGCTTCGCAACAGCTTCACTTGATGCTTTCATCACTCGAAAACGGGAGGGGAGAAGGACGGTGTGTCACTGTCACGATCACGCCACTCGCGCACGACAGCGTGTATCTGTTTCATGGCCGCGTCGACTTGGGCGACGCGCTCAACCAGCCGTCACGCCACCCTCCCTGCTCTACCGTAACCATCGATGAGATATTCCGCTGCCGTATATCTAAGCTCGAAACCATGGTTTGGGGCTACTTCGCATATCTCCCTCAAGAGCTTGACGAGCTCGAATCGATGTCAGGAAAGCAAGCAAAGGAAGCTGTTGCGGAACAGGCTGCAAAGCAAGAGCGGCGAGAAGAGACATGGGACACAAGCTCACATTCATTTACTGCAGGTGACGCAAAGAAGGGTGCCAACTTGTTCAAGACAAGATGCGCACAATGCCACACCGTCGTTGAATCAGAGGGCAACAAGATCGGCCCCAACCTGCACGGTCTCTTCGGTCGCAAGACCGGCTCCGTCGAGGGTTTCTCATATACAGATGCAAACAAGTCAAAAGGCATCACGTGGAAGGAAGACACTTTGGTGAGTTTCCTACTTGTCTCAGATCGCTCTTGCCTGTTGTCTAACCTGTGATTAGTTCGAGTACCTCGAGAACCCCAAGAAGTACATCCCGGGCACCAAGATGGCTTTCGGTGGTCTGAAGAAAGGCAAGGACAGGAACGATCTGATCACCTGGTTGCGTGAAGAGACCAAGTAGACATCATCTGGATCTACTCGCGCCTCAGCTTCTTCGCTCCGCGCACATTTCGACGTTCCTCGGGATCATCGGCTGCTTGTATCATCAAGAACGGCGAGGCGCACATTTACCTAATTTGACGGTTGGACTTGCATAGCAATTACGCTACGACTGGATGGGAAGCCGGAGAAGCCGGTAGACGAAGCTCCTTGTACATAAAAATCCTCCTGTTACCTGGTCCTTTGAAGCCGTACCTGCATTTTTCTCACGCGAGGACTGGCAGAGCTAAGCTGTGGAGGCTCCATATCAATCATCTCTTCTCCGCTGCGTTATCCGTCGATCAGAGAACCGTGAAAACACGACGCTGCTCGTGACCAGTTGTCTTTCCTCCCATGACTCTTTTCACAGTTTACGGAGTACTCGCTGATAAGCAATTCGCCCTCCGGAAGCGTCTCACAGCCTCCAATAAGGGTGACCCGTTGCAGCACTGGCAGACAGCGGTACATGCAGCAAGGAACGCAGCCCCTTGCATCAAGCATCCTGGTCTTGACCCTTTTCTGCCGTTTGATTGGTCGCGAACTTCCCCTCTCAACCACGACACCACGGTTGCCAGCTGTCCCAGCCTCCAGACTTTCCCTTCCGTTTCCTCTCTGTTGCAAACTTAGCTGGTGCCCGCTAGCCGTGCGAGGCGAGAAGCACGCTGCTCGTCCGTGTGCCTCGATGATCGCGTTCTGAGAAGAGGCTGGGCTTGCAGCACATCCCGCATTCTGCCAGAGATGGACTTTCCTCTTTGGCTGTCTCAAACGGTGCGCCCTCTATGCTTCGGATTGCCTTCTGTCTATCGAAGCAGTAGTTGAGGCTTTGATAGTGGTTTCATTCATACCATTGTTGCCTGGTGACAGGTATTCTGGCCCAACGGCGAGTCAGATTGCTTCCCTGTGAAAGCCGGCCTCTTTATCGGCCTGCTGCCCCGCCTTGACCTTCCACGCAGCCTCGCATTCATGTGTTCTTCTCCTTTCCTTCGCACACCTCGATGTTCGCCATGATGCAAGCGAGGCCCATGGAAGGCGCCTACTCCGAGACCCTGCACGAAGACGCGCAATCGCTGGAGGCTTCAATAGAGGACTTCGAGGAGCAAGAGCGCCGCTCCCCTCTATTTCCGGGCTTCAGGCCAGAACGAGCGGAAAGTGAAGCTGACGATACATCGAGCGCTGGGTTGCCGTGGTCGCCGCCGGGCTTCAAGAGTCGCAACTCGAATGCGAGCAACTGGTTTCGGCAAGATCCATACGGGAAATTTGACCTGCGACCTTCGGTCAGTCCTTCCCGGTCACGGCAGACGAGTCCAGAGGCATATCAAGATGCGGTCGAGGGCGATCCAGACATCACAATTGCGGTTAATACACCTTTGCCTGCTGGCACGGATTCGCCGGTGAGGGAGCGCTCGCCAGAGGTGGAGCCACAGTATGGCGCAAAGACCTCAGACTTCAGTCGGGAAGAACCCATATCTGCAGAGAGTCCGAACAATTGTAATACCTTCCCCACGGCATGATGCGTGCAGACTCACTGACAGTGGAGTGCAGATATTCGCCTACAGCTTCGCGCCGAAGTACAACACAGGGAGCCTTTTGTCCCGTTTCTCAATTTCGTGCAACGGAAATTCGACGTGATAACCAAGACGAAGTCTGCCACATTTATGTCCGTTCTCACAACGATACTACTCGCTTCGCTTCTACGCATCATTCTCGTTCCACCGATACCACCCCCGGTGCCAGACCTGGTCAAGGTTTCGACCTTGGCGAAGTCGTTCGAACCTCTAATCTTCTATTCGGAGAACGGATATACGCAAATCACAGCGCTGCAGGAGACGAGTGTGGCGGTATGGGATCTTGGAGAGTCGGTCCGAAGCGCCAACATGACTTCGGCGCCATTGATTGTTCGTTCGCTGGATGAACTATCCGAGAGCTTGAAGAATCTTGGTCTTGAGCTAACGCGCTTCTTTGCCGACGTTGACTCAGATGTGGACAGCATCCTACTTGTCATGGACTGGGCGAAACGGGAGCTGGAGGGGGTCACGACAGGACAAGGAATATCACTCAGCGGAGTCGTCTTTGATCACCTGCACGGCGTCTTCAACCGAGGCGGCCTCCTTGAGACGTCAAAGGGGCCGACAAGTCTGGGAGCGTTCCTGACCAAAGTATTTGGAGCAAGTTCGCCGCAGAGGACAAGAGCAACATTGACGAGGACGTTCCATGAATTCGTCAACGTGCTCGAAGAGTCGATCAACAGCGAGTTGACTCACTCGGCGGCGTTGTTCGCTTTGTTCGAGTCGATCGATCGACAGTTTCTGAACCTGCAGCGAACGGTCGTCCGAGAAACAGACACGCAAGAACGACTGGAGAGCGATCTCCTCTCGTCGCTGTGGACGAGGGTGATCGGCCCAAACGCCGCAATGCTGCGCAAGTTCGAGAAGAACAAGCAGCTCTTGTCGAGCGTCAGGTCGAGGACGGTCAACAACAAACATCTCCTCATGGAGCACCACACCAGATTGCAGACGCTGAAGATCAACCTCGAGACGTTGCGGAGGAAACTGGTGAGCCCGCTAGTCAGGCGGAACGACTCCGTCACGATCGACAACGGGAGCGTCGTCGACCAGCAAATCCGAGGGCTGGAGGGAACATACGAATACTTGCGAGGTGTCCGGGACAAGCAGAAGAGTAAGCTCATGGAAATGGTGTATGGGGCAAAGGCCGGCAGACCACGGCTCGTCGGAGTGAGCGAGGAGGCGGGAGGGATAGGAATCGACGCATGAGCGGGAGAAAAGACTGCGACGATGGCTGGGCAGGACGTGGTAGAGAAACACTGCGTCTTCCTCTGTGCTTCGGTGAATGTACTGTGTATGACTTGTCAGTCGCGGTGATGGAGATTTAGTTATATTCCATACGTACTTTGTCACCTGTATTCGGATTGCCAGTGCAGGAGTGGACAAGCAGTTATATTCCATACATACGTCGTCCCCAGTATTCGAGTTGCCAGTCGCAGTAATGGAGAAGCAGCTTGTATTCCATACTGACTTCGTCCTCCGAATTCGTGTAGCATTCAATTCTCGGCCTTAAGTTGATCAAGGGCGCAATGCACGATTCGTTAACTCCGGCGCAATTGAATCTCGTTGACTCTCGAAACTTTTCGTGACAACCAAAGTTCGTCTCAGAGCACCGTCCTCCTGCTTCCAGATCTTCGATTCTGGTCCTCGATTTCCAGGACGGACAAGTCAAAAAGTCATTCGCTTGAAGGCCTGGCGCCCTCGCACGAGTCGCTCACTACGGTACTTCATGTGTACTCTGTACCCACAGTAATTACTGAATTGTTCGCCCGCCGCATACAACCCCGCGACCGACAGCATTGAGCATTCCTGGAATCTTTCATTCCTGACCTTCCTTTTTGTGAGGAGTTAATTACATTCTACTTGTGCTGCAGTGCGCTGCACATCTCTGCATCATTTAATTCAGAGTCACCCACCAACCCACCCCGAAAGAACTGACCAGACCATGCCCTCGCTCACGACGTCCCTCCCCTTCTCCCCCGCCGAGCTCGCCTACCTGCATACATCGCTCTCGTCGATCCCGCCCATCCGCCCAGATGCGCGACCCCTGCCGACCGATTTCCGCGCGCTGAGGGCCGAGACGGGCGTGCTCCCTTCCGTCAACGGCAGCGCGCACGTCGGGTTCAGTGATGGCCGAGAAGCAATCGTGGGGGTCAAACTGGAGGTTGAGAGGACATTAGCAGAAGAAGTGCGGGCGAGTGTGGGAGCAAGGGCGAAAGCGAAGGCGAAAGGAGAAACAGTCAACGATGGAGGAGCTATGGATGTCGACGTCGAGGTGGATTCCGCCAACAGCCCACGCCAGAGAGGCAGACACGAATGGGTGACGCTCAGCCTGACGCTGCCTGGTCTACGGGACGATGACGCCGGGTTGGTGTTTCTGGAGGAGATGATCCGGGAGCCGCTACTAACAGGACGCTCGTCTTCTTCAGATCTAAATCTGAACCGCCCTTCTCTACATCTACAGGACAACTTGGTCATCAACTCGCGCTGGCACTGGCACGTGTACATCGACGTGCTGCTCATCTCGGCGACCGGCCTGGCGAGCTATCCGCTGCCTTTGCTCAGCATGGCGACGCATCTGGCGCTTCGGGACACTAGGGTGCCGCGCCTGAAGAGCGAGGGCGAGGAAGATCCCGTCGCGGATGACGACTGGATGGCGAGCACCTATCTCTACGCGAGGAGGATGGGCGGTCCGATGGCGTCAAGACCCCCGGTCACGCTGCTGGTCGTGGTGGTCGGCGAGAACGTCATCTTCGATCCGAGTCGCGAGGAGCTTGCTGTTGCGGACGCTGTCATCGCCGTCAGTGTCGGCGATGTGAATGGCCAGGGTGGCGCCGATGAATTTGAAGTCCTTGCCACGAGAATGATTGACACACCTGCACGCGATACCATGAAGGGTGTGCCGATGTTTGGCGAGGTGGGCGAAGGGGTCGAAGTGCCGGGTGTTTGGAAACCGCGAGTCGGAGGGATCAAGAGGTCGATACTCAAAAAGGCGATCAATACCGCGCTGACCGGCGGTGTCGCTAGGGACGTGATGGACGGGCTGGACGGGTTTTTAAATCTCGAAACGAAGACTGCAGGCGATGCAGGTGCTGGGTGAGAAGGGGAGAAGTGGCTGGAGAGTGCCGTCTCCGTCTCCGACTCCAATGTGGTTTACTTACGACGAAATGCGAAACGCAAACGTATCGAGAAGCCAGCCTGCCGTCTTACCACGTCGTGATTACGATGTGATCGTCACCGGATTAAGTGGATCAGTCGTGATCGTCCACAGATGAAGTGGACCGAATTCGTTATGTCATGGAGAGAATGCCCATGCCGCGCTCACCAGGACAACGGAGCGATGAGATGTACTCACATCCCTTACCAGCTGGCGTACACACAATGCGACAGGAGATGGAGAGCTCGACTCGTTTCGTGGAGAAGGAAGCCCGCTTTAGGCCTCGTCTCTGCACAAGTGGTGGTGCAACCGAGCACGTCGGATAGAGCGCGATGCCTCCATCGTTGCCTTCCTCGTTGCTGAGACTTTGGTCTTCGCCCTCCGACATACGATACCTTGTATACATGCCCGTGTACGCTCTGAGTTCGGCATCCTACTTGTGGCAGTACAGATGGCCGGTCACGAGCACGGGGAGAGGATGAGTTCAGCATTCTAGAATTGCAGACGGCCGGTCATGAGTCATGAGTCATGAGTGCGAGTTTCTTCTCCATCGACATCGGTATCATATTCGGCGCCCCTGTCCTCAAGAGGTTCATACTCTCTCGCGAGAATGTCGCGACTAGGGTATCCGGAAGAGTCTGTGCATATTCGATACAGACTGCCTACAAGCCAACGGTGCAATCAGTCCGAAGTGGGAAAAAAAAAATTTTACCGCACCGGCGCAGCGAGCACAAGGGAGGAGAGGACTCGAGAGTTGTGCCCGACGAAAGATGGGCACCACTCGTGCAGGAGCTGAAAGTGCTGCATTCGACTCGACCCGACGCTCACGGCTCGGGGCGCAGCTACAGTATTGGAGAGGTCTTGCCCTGTCAACCACCCACCTTGGGTACCTAGACTAAGTGATGGAGGGTTGGACGGCAGGAGACAGACAGACAGACAATAGATGGACAGTAGATAGATAGATAGATAGGTAGCATTGTTAGAACGATGGCATGGTCAGAACGATGGCATGGTCAGAACGATGGCATGGTCAGAACGATCAGTATCGGCAAGCGGGGTTAGGAGAGATCATTGATAGCATATTCAGAACATTAGTAAAGTTAAAACGATAGCATGGGCCAGGCAGCGAGGTCAGGATGGCTTGTCAGCAGACCGGCTGGTGTGGGCGATACTCGGGACAAGTCTAGTCTCCCATCCAGTATGAGTGCCTAAGTATGTATCGTACACTTGCATGTCTCGATCTCGAAAGTACTGTATCAGCCTTGTCTCTCTACTTACCGTACGGAGTATCTGTCCATCAGACCTCCGCGTTTGACACTGTCCTGTCCTCGTGGCGCGTGGTGCTTCTTCTATTGCCCGGCGCTGTCCGTTTCTTCTGCCTCCTGTCGCCGTCTTGTCTCCAAGTATACTCAAACGTCACTCCTCGATCCTCGATTCTTAACCCGCAAAATGAGCGGCTTTTGTGTAATGGTGCCACTGAGCAGCAGTATCCCTTGCAGATTCAATGTCATGGGACGGGAGGAGGATTCGGACCACAAAAGAAGACCACGGACCAGTGAATGAGTGGGGAGTGGGTGGGAGGCCAGATTTAACTGGTTTGTGGCGAGTGGATGAATTGAGTGAGTGAGTGTATGTACCCTCGGTGACACGATCCCAATCTCAACCAGTACGATGAATGCGGTCTTCGTGGATAGCTGAATGTGCTCCGGTACCAGATCTGGCACCCTCCATCTTCTGGTCTGGCATCATGGTTCGCGCTCTCATTCGTGACTATCCTGTGACGATGTACAATGCTTGCATCTAACTCGTCGTCCATTTCTGGAGTTACAGAGAGAGCTGGCGGGAGAGTGATCAGATCCGGCGACTCGTTCGCGTAGACAAAAGGTGGGCTCGATGCAGGTTGATTGCCAGTCTATGAGGGCGGTTATCTGGGTCGGGTTGTTGCGCGAGACTTATATGTTTCTCTTGTTGAGATCAGGATGCATCCATGGTCGGCCACACCTCGTGCAACTGAACACCGCTACGTGAAACGTCCTCCTTGATGATGTAGTCTGCTCCCACCGGAATACGGGCGTCGGGGTCCGATCGAGAATGCCGGGTACGGGGATGCTTGTATATGAGACCTCACTGTATCGTATCAGTCGAACATCAGGGTAGAGTGAAAGTCTTACCGTATGCCATTGTCGCGACCGCGGACTTGGTCACCAGATCTGGCGGGCCAGCCACGCGGAAGGGATGTTTGCTATGACATGTGCTCCATTGTCCATGAAGAAGATGAAGACGCGGTTGAAGCCTCCTTCCCGTTTTTCACACTGCACGACTCTTCTGGCTCCGGGACATGCGTCTACAGCTTTCTGGCATGATAGAGGGAAGTCGAACTTCAAAGATCGAGCTTGCCGTTGTGCCTTGTCCCGTATGAAGCCAGCGGCCACTGGTGTAGGTAAATGGATCAAACGGTGCTGTCATCTGGAAGTCTCCTTTGCCATGGAAGTTCTGGTTCATGCGTAGAACAAAAGATACAGTGCTGGGATAGGTCTTGGATTTATAACCAGGTGCGACCAGGATTAAGACGCACATCTCAGCATAAGAAAGGACACGCATCGCAGCATGAGAGGACACGCATCGCAACATGAGAGGACACGCATCGCAACATGAAAAAGGACAGGCGGTTCGGTGATTGTTTGTGGAGGACCGAGCAGCTACTGTAGTCGCAGTCGTCTGTATCTGTCAACACCGCCCAGATCCCGCCAGAACTGGTGGGTGCAGTAAAAGGGAAAACCCCTAGGTGAGAATGTGCTACCAAGAGCCCACTCATTCTTTCTCATTGTCGCCGAGATCAATTGAGAATAAAATTGAGGGTCACTTCAGTTCTTTTTGACGAGCGGGGTTCAAGGGAGGCGCAACGGAGGGAAGGAGCGCGTCTAGACACGGTGTGGCGCGCCCTCTTTTTTCTTCCCGAGCCTGAGAACGAGAAGAAAGGCATCGCCCGTTGACAGCCTATTGATAGCTACGTAGGCACGTACTAGTAGCTAATGGCAGGTCTCCAGGGTTACGGTCAATACATGGCTCGGGTGATGCGCAGCCGCACTGCCCCCTTCAGCGCCAGGGACGCCCATATGAAATTCAGGTGGCTGTGTCGAGTAGCCTTTCTAGTGATGGTTACATCGTGGCAGCTTCTATTAGCTAAGTCACAGTACCGCAACGACTGTCGATATCGGTGCCACCCAGTTCGTGTCTGCCTCGCGAACCAGATGATTCAGACCTCCGATCTGTGACTTGTCTTCGTGTGAGTGCAAAGTCACGCTCTGGTGGACGCGAGGGACGCACTTGATGAATTTCTAGTCAACATAAGGCGATCAACACTCGAGCACTGGTCACCTAAATACCGGGTACTGCAGATGCACGAGATGTCCATGGCTTCGACGACGTGCAATTTGCCTTTTCCCAGCCTTGCTACTAAATACAGAAGGATGCATAGATAACCATCGTGATTCCATAATCATATAACACCGATGTACTAGGGTAGTGCGGTTCAGGTATAGCGGACATGGCGTTCACTTGGCGCTGACCACGCCAGGCGCCCGGCCGACCCTCGATCCTTCCAGCGACCGGATCATGCAAACGGACGTTCACTCGGGCCCCTCGTCGACCAGGACGCCGTCGATCCTCTGGTCGGCCAGCATGCCCTCCACAAAGGCAAACGACGTGACGAGGTCTCGCAGCCCGGACATGGTGCTGACTTCCAAGAGTCGCATCAACGCCTTGACCCGGCTCCAGAACCAGTCGTATTCGCTCTTCTGGTCGGTCAGGCGGGCGCCAAAGAGCCCGGCAATCAAGATCCAGAGCAGGAGATGGTTGGACTTGCCCGTCCAGATCTGCGGGGCGGTGGGTAGCGCGACGGGGGAGATTTCGTTGGCCGGCAACAGGATCTCATACTGCAGTTGCAGCTTCAAGCGCCGTGTGACCAGGACCGGGTCGACGGGGATGTCGTTGTCGGGGTGGTCGCGCAACAGGAAGCCCGTGGAGATGGATCGGAGGAGGATGATCAGCGCCAAGCGGCAGCACAACTCGTCCCCGTAGCTGGGCTGTTCGAGCAAACGAAGGGCAAGCGACCGACTCTTCCACTGGATCCCGTCTCGCTCGGGCCCGGGAAGTATAGACCGCTGGGAGAGGGTGTTGTAGGAAAGCAGGAGCGATCGCAGTTCTTGCACAATCTCCCTAAGATCCGGACTGTAGCTTGTCTGCTCGAGCGTCCGGGGCAGGGCGGAGCAGTGGCGGACCGAGACTGGGTACTGGGGTTGCCAAGCGAGAGGTTGGGGCATCGTCCCGTGGCCGGCGAGGTGGTCGAACCGATTAGGGCCCATCGAGTCGAGAACCTTCGAGGCGTCGGCCTCGAGGAAGATGGTATTGTAGCTGAGGAGGTCGTAGATGTACTGGTCCAGAGTCGACAGCCCGGGGGTCAGCGACTTCCAGAAATGTTTCAGGACGTTAAAGTGCGTCTTGGATTCTTCATACCGCTCCATGTACCAGCCGCAGACGCTGAGATAATAGATGTCCAGGATGATCTGCCGGTCCTGGATCGCCGACTGGCTGTCATTGTCGAGCAACATCCGAAGGCATTGGAGGGCCTTGTGCAGATAGATTTCCGGTCCGTTGTCCGCACGGAATGACACTCCAGAGACCCTTCGCATGCGGCTGGCCGTGGCCGCTAAGAGGGCGTACAGATGGACGCTCTTGTTCATGCACCCCTGCATGATGGCGCTGATGCTTGAGATGTGCTGGATCGTGGCGGCGTCGGGCGGCTTGTGGCCGTTACTGCTTGCCTGTGGCGAGGACAGAAGCGTAAAGGAGAGAAAATATTGGAGGATCGGCTGCACGTCGCCGTCGTTTGCCAGGGGCGTCGAGTCGAAGGGGTCCAAAACCGCGTACCTTGTTCCACCAGGAGTTAACAGTGGCGCCGCCTGAGATACTCGACGCTCATCCGACATGGCTCGTGGTCGTGGCTCGGCTTCAGGGCTGGTCGAGGATCCTTTCTCGCTCGTCGTACCACCGGTCTTCTCAGATGGCTGGGGCGTCGTTCTCCTTGAGCGCTTCTCCGCCGACCGGCTGACTCTCTTCCCCGAACCGGAGCGCTTTGACTTCGCAGGCTTGCTGGGGTCCTCAAGCAGTCGAGACACACGACATCTCATCATGCATTTCTCGAACGCGAGTGTGTCGGTATCCCGTCGGCCAGCGGCTCCGTTGGCGCCCTGGGATACTGCGACCTCTTGCGCCCATCGTTGAGCATGGCTGTTGATGCTGGCAGCCGCGCTGCGGGTAGTGGAGCGAGATAATGTGTCGGAGGAGGGGGTCTTGACGATGAAAAGAAAGGGAGCCTTGGTCGAGGCTGGCCGCTGGGCATCGATCTTCAGGCTATTGAATGTAGCAAACTCAAATTGAGCAGGGTTTTCGTTCAAGACAGTCATCGGGGTCGTCCGTTGCTGAGACGTTTGTGCAATCAGATTTGTGGCAGCTCGCATTCGGAAGCCTGGTTGTCATCCAGTTTCGGGCCTTTCCCTGCACGCCAATCTGCACTACTTAGTTATTGCGGCTGTCCAGGCTGGTTGTTGTCCCAGCTGGGCTGTCGTGGGCCCTGCGTCTGGGCCGAACAGAAGGCGTGCTTTGAATTAGTCGAAGTTCACAGCGTAGCCGTACTGATGGGGATTAGCGAAAGTGGCACTACCGCATGCGATGGGTAGGAGGCAGGATCGTGATTGTCAATGGCTGTCTTGCTGCAGAGGCCAGAGGTCCGTTAGCTCATCATGCACTGCTTGGTGAAACGCCACCCACTGACCAATGAAGCAATGCTCGTAGCGAACAGGTTGATGCTGGAGCGTCCTCTGCGAGCCGATCTCTTGCAACGCTGTCGAGCTACTTTAGGTAGAGGGAGTGATAAGACCTCCTGAAGGTACGTGATCAAGCCGAGACACGAGAGCAATTTGTATGGAGCGTGTGCTGTAAATGAGATCTTGAAGCTGATACACGCCGGTGCCCGGGTAGTGGGCTGTATACAGCCTTGCATACTGCCACCCGCAATACCTGACCGATACACGCAGCTATACAAGTGGAGGCATCGAAGAACTGGGATGACTTATCGTCTTGCCAACTTGGGCATCGGGGTTCTCGAGGAGTGATTGGCTTTCACGCAGATTCCGAATGTCTCTGGCCATCCAGAACACAGTGATCTTGAACCCCATTGGGATAGCAACTCCGGGCACCCCTCTGGGTGATCCATCAGGGAGCAGGGTTTCAGTCTCCTGGTCGGGATACGGCTCCTTAGAGCCCGTAGCCGTGAGCCGGAGGGGCACCTACCGCGAGTCTGGCAACCCTCTGGAGGCACACACCCGTTGTTGCCGCCTGGACGTGCTTCAGAGGGCAACCACGACCACCCAGAGTCGGTCTAGGCCCCCTTGGCAGCAGTCATCGGGACCCAGCAATCATACGGGCTTCGTCGAGCTTAATGCAAGTTGCCGCCTCCTTGAAGACCGATTGTAGCGTTTTGTCATGCCGATATAAATAAGGCTGTGTGCCACTGGGGTCTATACGCTCGCTTCGTCCCTCTGCCAAGGCGGCCGCTCTCCTGATAGCCAATCGTAATGCCGCTTTGGATGTCTGGGAAGAGTGTCGTGGACAAAAGCCGACGTCCGACGCTTTACCGGGCTTCGTCCCCAGAGGAACGTCGCCCCGGAAACAAGCTTTTGCACTATGATGATCCCAATCGGGCAGTTGGGGCCCTCGGCGTGCAGAGGAGCCAGTCAGCCTAGAGCATGGCAATACGACAGGGCTGCTCGCTATACAGACGCATACCGACACCACCGTTGTTTCCCGTCGCTGACAAACATGAACGAGGATAACAGCCACCGCTTTTAAGGTTCAAGACGGATGATGGCACAAGTTCGAGTGCAAGTCCACCTTCTGGCCCTCTATGGCCCCTGGCCGGGACAATGCAACATGAGATTATGATCGGCTATTGCCTGTAGTATCGTCGTAGGCAACACATCGACACCGCCTGGCTCGTGCATTGTGTACACCATGCTCGAGCGTGGTGCCTCTGTGGGGTCTTCTAGTGATGGAAGAGAATCGGGGATGCGCCAATCGAGCTAAATCCGGCTCTGCTGCCATGTCGCGGATAGCCGTGTTTGTGACAGGAGTACCGGTGGATAGATGCTGGTGGATGCAAGTCATTGCTGACAAAACGGCACCCTGTGCTCGCGTACCTTGTCCACCACCAGACGCTACAACGAAACGACGCCGACGGCTATTCACCGACTAACAGTCGCACCTAATCTTCTGATCGGAAGTTGCCTACGCTGTATTTTTGTGGAGATCAGAGTCAGCAAACAATACGAGGGGATGGTGTTGGGATTCGAGCCTGTCGCCGCTGGGACACACCCTTTGGTTTGGTGTACGGAGTACATTGTAGCAAGATTCTGTACATCGCCGGATCCCAGACCTGGTTTGGGAAACACAGCGTCTTCGACTGGACTGGCTGCTTCACACGGAGCCCCCAATTGTACGAGGACATCAGGGGCAGCCACACTAGTCTTCCGGGCTGGCTCATGCCATCCAGCCGCCCACGATCGGCGAGAGATTATATTTGTCGGGTCAGGGGTGGGCCCGGCAGACTGTCTCGCGCGGGCTTCGACGGCGAGGTTGGCCGACCCCGGGACACTCTCGAGAGACCATGCCACATGCAGAAACATGTGGGCACGGTCTTGACCAAGAAATCCGAGATTTTCAGTCTATTCATCTCGTTTTCACGCAGGGAAGATCCATCAGAAGGAAGATGCATGGGATGAGACGTCCCAGGCCATGGGATTGTCATGATCTGCTCATGACAACGCTCTCCATTCAACTTTCACCTAAGAGTACGAGTATCGCTTTCGTGGGGATGGAAGGATTTGCAGCTCCCTCGCCACGGGCGATCATACTTGCACCAGGCAGGAGATGTGGCGTCGATTTCGCGGTACTCACCTCGAAGTCAGGGTATTGACACTCTCAAATATCCTCACCTGCACTGCTCCCCTGGACCGGCTACTTTCCACAAGTACTTTGGGGTTCACGTGTTGATGACAGCGTCCTTCTACGCACCATATTGCTGCCCCAAGCCTAACAACGGGTCTACCCTGCGTCCTCGGCAAGCCAGCCCGTGTGCCATGGGTCATGGCGTTGGGGTTGCCTGGGAGTAGTCAGGCTCGATGTGTTTCTCGAGTCCTGCCATCTAAACACCGGTTGTTACTGGACGTCATGGATGAAAGACACATCGTATTTCCCGCTGCTAAGTTTTGCCCAGCCCCGAGCTGTAATTTGTTTCCAAAGAGGGACCTTTGGAGAGAAAGTTCCTAGTATTTCTCAGGATCACCTTTTGGCCCAGCCCCAACATAGCTTTTGTTTCTAAAGAGGGATGTTGTAGGGCCGGTTGTAAAGAAGTTCTTGTGGGTTTGATTGGAAAGACGAGCCTTGTGTCGAGCTGATGTGAGACCGGACCCATCATCAATCTCTCACGCGCCATGCAGTTCGTATGCAGCGTGAAAACAGATGGCAGGCAACCTAGAGCAGAGCAGCGTCGCTGCTCCAACGCCCGCTGCAAATCACGCGCCTCTGATCGTGGAGTTTTGGACCTCGTAGGTGTGCGATCTGCCAGTCTGTCCTAAATTACTTGTGTACTTCAGAGACCACGGGTTGGAGACGTGGTTACGGTTATCTACTGTCGCGGGGGAAGCTCCCCAATTAATGTGCCCAAGCATAGGTATCAGCGCTGCTCCTTTCGACTAACCAGTAAGGGTCAGGTCTCCAGTTACAATACTTAAGTAGGGGTATAGGGGATACGATACAGGGGGCGAGGTATAGCAGACGGCTAGGTGTGACGAGATACTTAAAGGTAGGTCTAAGTAGATGATATAAGTTGGCTACGAAGGAGTGTAACTAGACTGTCTAATAATAAGCGTATATATATCCGTGTGTCCTACACTACGCTCTATTCGCTCTACTCGCTTTATTACTGTACCTCTAGGGCTAATAGAGCCTATTACGTAACGGCCTATAGCCACCCCTAGTTCGTCCTGCGTTCTCTATAGGCGTTTAATAAATATAGCGAGTCTCCGCTTAGCGACTTATAACGGGTCTACCGCGAGGCTATATATAACACTATCCCCCTCTTAGCTAGGCTCTTATCTCGAGAGCTAGTCTTAGCTATAATATAAAGTTAGGGCTACGCCTAACTTCTAACCAGTTATAGCTAAAGATACCCTCTTCCTTAATTTCTATCTACCGTCTTCCTCGTTATAATCGTGCTACCGAATACCGCGCTCTTACAAACTCGATCGACCTTCTCGGTACTTATAACAATATATCTCCCTACTCGAATTGTACCCGAAAAGGATAACTCTATATACTGTTGAAGGGAAACGCCCGCTGTAGTAACTACACTTATAAGAATATAAAGTGCGACGGGCAGTTTTCGGAGGAGGAGTTTGGAGTCTTGGAGGCGAAGAAATAACGCCTTCGGCAGAAGGTAGAGGAATACTGTTATCGTCTCGCTGAGCTCGCTTGTAAGATCCTATCGACCTAAATAACACTATCCTCGGCCGAGCGGGAGATCGAGGGGATAACCTGTACTTAGAGTGATATAGTAATCCGGTAATTATTTATCTTAGATACCCTAGATCAAGAAGAGGGGTATATTCCTAACGAGCCTAAGTCATTAAGTGGGTCGCAGTCCGACGGCGCACTACTAGCTTTTAACGACGCCTAACTAGACGCGCTATTCGCGATGAGAACTAGTTAGGGTAACTTTCTCGTACCTCCTATAGTAATGTAGGAGAGAGGTTCGTTTCCGGTTCCCAGGAGTTTTCTATAGCGTCGTACCCTAACTACTTAACTAGGTAATGGGGCTTACCTTAGATGAGTTTAGTCTAGAGTACCTCCTCAACATTATACTCCTTATCTTCGAGTTCTTCGCTTACGGGTATAGACTTAACGATTCTAGCGTTCCTAGGCGCTAGTTCTAGTAATAATATATAAAATACGGAGTAGATTCTTATATCCTCTAGCAGCTTTAATTAATATATCACTAGTCTAAGCTTTTCTTTTATTCTAAATAGTCCTAGTTTAGTGTAATCTAGTTTCGTACTTAGTTATTTTATCTTAACGTTTTTTCGTACTAAGTAGACGGGGTCCCCCCTAGAAAAGGTCGGTCCCTCGATCCTTTTCTTATTCGTATATTTAGCTATCCTGTCTAATAAGAATTCAATATCCGTTTTAAGCTTATTATAGAGTTCGTGTATTTAGGTGGCAACTACCGTAGCTTTTTAGTTAGGTTACTACTCTATAGATTCTTCTAGCCGCGAATGGAATCCGTAGTTTATATAGAAAGGTGTCGTTCTTATTACTGCTTTATAGTTATTAAAGTAGAACTATACTACTA